TTTTGATGGGAGAACATTTAGGATTATTAGGATTATTAACAAGTTGGTCCTACCATTTTAACATAATTGTCCTCACGGTCTGCTTTAGATATCCTTTGTATCTTTACTAGGAAATTGTCTACCTTTACCTTCTTTAGTTATGGTAATTATCATTCTCTATTTCTGTGTGTAGCACATACTTAGGTATTATTTACAGATGGTGGCAAATTCTTTCCATTTGTTTTTGGAAAGTCTTTTTTTTTTGCTTTCACATGTAAATGGGATTTTTGCTGGGTATAGTAATCTGAATTGAAATCCCTTTCTTCTCAGACATAGACTATGTCTCTCCTTTCTTTCCTGGCCCGTGGGATTTCTAAGAGAAGTGAGCTATGCATCTAATTGGAGAGTCTTTGAAGGCTATCTGCATTTTCTCTCATGTACATTTTAGAATCTCTTGTGTTTTACTGTGGAAAGCTTGACTACATTGTGTCATCATGTAGGTCTTCTAACCCAATCTCTTTCCATGCCTTCAGAAACTCCTAAAACATGTATGCTAGCTCATTTGATAGTATCCCATAAGTCTTGAACACTATTTTTGTTTTTTTTCCATTTGTTCTTTTTTGTCTAAATGAGAGTCTTCAAAAGATTTATCTTCTGGGCTGGGCATAATAGCCTAGTGGCTAAAGTCCTTGCCTTGCATGTGCTGGGATCCCATATGGGCACCAGTTCTAATCCCTGCGGGCCCATCTCCCATTGAGCTTCCTCCTTGTGGCCTGGGAAAGCAGTCAAGGACAGCCCAAAGCCTTGGGACCCTGAACCCATGTGGGAGACCTGGATGAAGCTCCTGGCTTCTGGCTTCAGATTGGAGCTGCTCCAGCTGTTGCGGCCGCTTAGGGAGTGAGTTAACAGACAGAAGATCTTCCTTTTTGTCTCTCCTCCTTTCTGTATATCTGACTTTCCAATAAAAATAAATTAAAAAAAAAAGATTTATCTTCTAATTCAGAGATTCTTCTGTTTCTCCAAGTCTGTTGCTAAGGCTTTCTACTGTATTCTTTGTTTGGAATAATGAATTTTTTTTTCTCCTGATTCAGTTTAATTTGGAGGTTTCTGTCTCACGGGAAATGTTTCCATTCATGTTGTGTATGGATTTTTAAAAATTTCTGTATTTGCTTCTCATTTTTGAGTAGTCTTGTCATTAAATTTTTTTCCCAAGCAATTCCTCTATCCATCTTCACATTCTAAAACTGAAGTGTTTTTGTGTTCCTTTGGGAGAGTCTTCCTTGTTGTTTTCCTTGTTTGTTTGTTTGTTTGTTTGTTTTCTTCTACCTCTGTTTATTCTTAGGCATTTCAATAAAAGCTTGTTGGTTTTCTCCTCTGATGGATTTTATTTTTGTGCTTCGGTAGCTTAATGGAGTAACTGTTCCTTTAGGGAGTATCTGGAGGTGTGTGCTAGGAGTGGGCATGCACTCTCATCAGTGACCAGTGTGGAGTAAGAGGCCGGAGTGGCACCCAGGTCAGGCGTGGTGGATTGCCTTTTTTGTCCACACAGGGGAGGCCTGTCAGTGTGAACACAACTTCTCCTCAATTCTTTCAAGGTGATTGACACCCAATGTTATAGTAGCTGTAAACCCAGGCATGGCATCTTTAACACTCATTTACTTAAAAGACAGAAAGAGACAGAGGGGCAAGTTGGATTTCCATCTGCTGGTTCACTCTTCAGTGTTTGCAACAGCTGATGCGGGGCTGATCCAGGTAAGGCTGAAGTCTGGAGGCTGGAACTCAGTCTGAGTCTCCTATATGGCTGGCGGGGAGCCAAGCATCTGAGCCATCTTCTGCTCTCCCACTGCCTGGGATAGCAGAAAGCTAGGGTCAGGAGTGGAGCCAGGACTTGAACCTAGGAACTCTGATAGGGAATGTGTGTATCCCAAGGGGCATCATAGCCTCTGTGCCTAACACCTGCCCCTAGTGGATATCTAGAAATAGTGGTTCAATTAAAATCTATGTGTTCTTACATTTAAACAGACCTTTCCAAATAGAAGCACTGCTGGTACTGACATTTTGGAGATCAGATGGGCAACACTGATTAAAGTCCAGGGTCCTCACCCTCCAGAATAGGTTGTTGATTTTCCTTATGTTAATCTTTCACTAAGGTGTCTTAATCTAAAAGAAGTGCTCTCCCCAGGAGAGAACTCGGCAAAGAAGACTGGGAGTTTGGTCCAAAAAGATGGAGCAGAAGGTTGGCTTTCAGGAGGTGGTGTCAGGTGGACAGCCAGGCCTCTGTGATTCCAGCAATAGGGTTTAATCACTGAAATTGATAGTCTCCTTTAAGTAATATGGTAAGAGAGGAGCAGCTGGAACCAACTGGAACCTAGGAAGGAAAGCCTGACACTGGGTCAGTAGTGTCAGGAGGTGGGGAGCAGACCACCCTGCCAGACATCACACATAAATCAGACGTTTATCAAAAGATGTTGAGGCCAAGGCTGACTAACTTGACCTAATGCTCCCTTCCCATCTATATAGCAGCTGCACTCATAGGCCATTTTCTCATATGTACATACAGATGGTGAAGGGAGGATGAGCAGTCAACAAACATTGGCAGTGCTTGAGGAACTGCCTTATGTCCTAATATAACTTCACGTATAATAGGACGTTGGAGTTTAAAATCAAGTTGCATTAAAGATATATTTGAAGTCATGCTTCATTGAACTCTAAATTTAATACTGAAAACTGTTGATATGTGATTTAGGGATTGTGCTTATGGCAAAGGAAAGGACTGACTTCAAAACATAGATCATCATTGGTGATGGGGAAAGTTTGGAAGCTGTGTCTCATTCCATGTCCCACTGTAGTGATGGGAAATTAAGAAATACGAAGTACACTATTAAGGCTGAATGTCCTAATTCTTTAACTAGCTCACAAGTTTAGTGAGTCATTATTTCATAATCATGCAGATTAAAATGTTTCTCATTTTCATTGTGACTTCTTTGATCCATTTATTATTCATAAGTGTGTATCTCATTTTGGGATCCCTGGCTTTGAATCCCGTCTTTGATTCCAATCAAGCTTCTCACTGCAGTACACTTTAAGGGCAACAAGTGGCTGCCTCTACATGGGAAAACCAGAGGGAACTTCATGTTCCTAGCTTTGGCTTAGGCCGGCTGCTGTCATTTGGGAAGTGAACCAGCACACAGAAGCTCTCTCTCTCCACCTTTTAGATAAAATTATCAGTGGTGGAGGAGCTGGGGTTGGGGAGGAATATGCTGCTTAACAGACTGTAAATCTACTTTTTCTTTAGGAAGAGTCCCAAGGTCCATGTTAGACGTAGCTGTGCCATAAGAGGATAAACTTACATGTGAAAATCTAAGTTCCCAAGTCTTGGTGTCCAAAATACAGGATTTATTCTTTTCAGGGGAGTGGAACACTTACTTGCCCCATGAGCACTGAGTCAGACTCCTAGCATTACTCCCTCTGGTGAGGGATGCTGCCCATTCCTCTTCCCCACAACCCAGCAACACACTCCCTACTTGCTCCTTTGGTGAGCCTATAGTCATTTCAAGGTGAGAAGTCACCAAGAACCTATTGTTGGATTCTCTGCAGACTTCTGCAGCCAGCTGAGCTCTAGGAGAACAACAGGGAAACTTATCTGAAGCTCCTGAGAGGCCATGATGCGGGTGTGCCCCATGCACATCTTCTGGGAGAGCATCTGCATTGGTCCCACCCACTGGGACCCTCCCAGTTCCCTCACCTGCATTCAACGTCCTTTTCCTTCACCCTTCCTCACACCTCTTCCTTCTGGAAGCCAGTCTCTGATTAGTCCATTCTTAACTAGGCAGAACCTCCTCTGAAGGTCTGCTCCAAATGGAGCAGAACCTGAGAATGGATAGGACAAGAGAAAATCCTCATCTTCAAGACCCACAAGGAGAGAATTCTTATCCTAGCGGATGCTCCTGCAGATTCAAAGCGAGCGTGCACCCCCCAGATGCTCTGAGACCAAAGGTTTCCCATGGTTTATTGACACAGGAGTAGAACACAGGCATAGGAGCAGAGAGGCTTGTGGGGACAGGTGGGGACCACCATGTCATAACCCCTCTGGCCTCAAGGGGTGCAGCAGCCCAAATAACACTGGGGCTTGAAGAGCTCTACTGTTCACGCCTTTCAGATCCAGAGGCACAGAGGCAAGCTGGGCAGGAGGACCTGGAGTTGGGGCAGGAGATGCTGCAGCCCTGTTCTTAGGAAGCAGACTGTTTTGGAAACAGGCTATGAGAGTCTCAGGGACATTGGGGTTTCACAGAGTTGTAGTTTGTGCTGACAGACACCCTCCTGCACCTATGGAGCCTAGAATGTGTGGGGTCACTCAGGGCCCTGAAGATCCTGTTTCCTTGGAGAAAGGGCTCATTGCAAACAAAGCTGAGAGCTGGGGGCTGGGCTGAGCCATTGCAAAATGCTAAGAAGGCCCATATTTTTTTCTCAGTTACAATAGCAGGACACAAGAGCATCTCTCCTACAGGACAGAGGACCTGAAGGGTCTGAGCTCACAGATTTGGAGGAGGGGACTCTGATCCTCCATCCTACTTTCTTTGCTTTTGGGAAGTCCTTCTGGGCAGCTTCACATGGGCTTGAAGGGTTCAGAGAAGGCCCCTTTCCTTCTACTGTGTTTCTCCCATGGTCAATAGGACCAAGAGGAAAAGGGTCAGGGTATACTGACTCTGCAAATAACTGGCTAGGTTCAGTTGTGCCAAGGCTGGTGTTCTTGCATCTGTGGCGCTTACCAACCTCAAGCCGAACAGAGTTGTTTCCAGAGCCTTTAGCTATAGCATTTTCCCTTGTGTGGAGGGGGTGCCCAGTAAAGGAGCCAGGCACGTCAGGTGTGGCCCCTCTGGGCTTTCTTAGGGACTCTGCCTACCATTCTATTCCTCAAAAATGTAGCAGTTCTCCACCAACTTTAACACTAATCATGACAGTATTGAGCCAGCTGGAAGCAGAAGGTAGGAGTGGCAGGGGCAGCCCTGGCCTTCCAGGCCTCAGGACCACTGACAGGCACAGTCGGTGGGCTCCTGCACCGTGTAGGGCACCCAGGTGGCATTGGTGGCACAGAAGAGTTGCACAGAGCGCCGCTGCAGCCCCACCTCGCGGCAGCATTTGCAAAAGCGGGCGTAGGTGTTGATGTTGTGGTTGTAGATGCTGGCGGAGGGGCACCTCCCATCGCAGGACACGAGGTTCACCTGGAGAAGGCAGGCCAGTGAAGCATCCCACCCCCACTCCTCTCCTTGGGCCCCTCCCATGGCCACAGGGGCACCACGCACCGGGGTGTTGCTCCTGCAATCATTCTTGCGGATGGTCATGCGGATGGTCACCTTCTTGCAGGAGCGTCCGTCCTCCTTACCTGGGGGTAGAGGGGACAGGACACCTGTGGCCAGGCAGTGTCATGCTGCAGAGCCTTCCCTCCTATGCTGGTGCCCATGTGTGTGCCCTTGCCCATCAGCCCAGGGCTCTGGAAGGAACCAGAGTCCATTGAGGGAGGCAGACAACAATGTGAGCAAGGGACCCAAAGGACAAGGCCTGGGTGGACAGACTGCCTCTCCCCATCCCCGCCAGGCTCAGCGCCCTCTGCTGGTGAACTGGGCCATGTCCTTGAGCTTCAGTGTCCTGAGAAAGCTTCTAACAATAAGACTGTGCAATATTTTGAATGCTCAGAAACCCCAGTCTCAGGTGGACACTCCACACATCAGGTTTGCTCAGTTTCATATCAATCAGACGATGCTAAGGAGTTACCACCACACAGACCCGGTGATGGCAACTGGTGGGGCCTGTGGGTTTGCTCCACCTGGATGCCTCTCACGGACAACTGATCATGTGGGTCTTAAGTGCCCACACTTCCTCTAGCAGTTTACGCCTGTCTCCTCCTGTACCTCCCCATCAGGGCCTTTCCCGATCTCCCTTCTCTCCATCCAACCCTCCCCCTCGCCTTTTTCTCATCCAGGACTCCATAACTGTACTACCAGATATATTTATGTGGTTGACATATTAGCTTCAGGATTGCCTTTTGCATGAGTCCCTTCCACAATTTAAGTTATTCTAACACCAAACAAATATTCACTGTTCACACCTGAGTGCAGATTCATGCTTTGGTGTTCTTTTTCTTGATGAAGGCCCCCAAGGGACAACAGCTCAGTACTTCCACCCCATAATGTATTTTACTAGTTATCTGTCTTGTTTATGCTGTGGGGAATGCCCAGCATGGGGCCAGGTGCATAGATGGTGCTTGACAATATATGCTGGATGCATGAACTCACCATGTAAGCTGGGGTGCCCACCAGGAATGGGATGAACTCCTTTCTCCTGGCCTTGGCACCACCACCTAAAGGTTTACCACTGACTAGTTGGCTGGTGCTCAGAACTAACCCACTTTATCCTTCTCTGGTCTCAGGGAGCAAGACAACTGAAGGCTGTTCCTGCCATGGCACTCAGCTCCTAGTGCCCGACAGAGCAAAGTGGTGAAGGCCTTGGTGGGCACCAGCTGAGCAGGCACTGTTGAAGCATTCCCATGCAAGTCTAGAGGTCGTGTTTGCTACCCAGCATGTGCTGTGGATCAAATGGCCTTTTCCCAGAGGTAGGGGGCAGAGGGGCCCTCCCCCAGCCGTACTCCCAGAGCTTGGACCCCCTAGCAGAAGAAATGTGGTTGGAAACAGCAAGGCAGCTTCCTGCTTCCGGTGCAGTGGGCTTCTGGGCAGAATACCTGGGTAACAGTGGGCACTAATTCGTGGAGGAGAGAGAGGACTAATGAGGACCACAGGAAACAGGGTCCCCGGAGAATCTGAGGAGAGGAACATGGTTCAACCAATGGCTCTGAGCCCAACATTCCTGGAGTAGGTCATATGAACTGAAAAAGTCTTAAATTCATAGCTTCCAAGGATAGGGTTGGCGCATGCATGAGGTGGCATGCATGCACTTGGACAGGGGCAGGAAGTTCCAGGTGTTGAATGCTGCAGGAGCCAGGGATAAGAAAAGATGCACAGTCTCTGACCCAGCAGGGCACACAGGAAGCACCTCCACAGCCAGGGCTCTTTACCACCAAAAGGAACTTGTGTTAAGGGCATCTGGGCCAGGGAAGGAGACAGTAGAGTGGTGGCCTCCTGAATGTAAGATAGCGGTGTCCACTGTCTCCAGTCAGAGCAGAAGCCTTGTACTGGGACAAGAGCATGACCACCTGCGGGTCTGTGCCAGTGTCGCAAGCCTCGTTGAGGAGGGCACATTGTTTATTAATCTCATACCTGCAGAGCTGCCACCTCATCCCCTCCTCCAACCAGCACCCTCTCCCCCTGGACTCCCACCCTACTCACTCACATGTCCTGCAACATCCTTCCAAGGAAGGCACCACAGAGCCCCCAACCTAGAGGGAGAGAATGGGGAGGCGAGTGGGAAAACCCCTGTCCCAGACCAGGAGCCAAGATCCCAGGAAACAGCGCAAGGAGTCCAAGAGTCTCCACTCTTGCTCCCATGATTTCCCAAGGCAGGAGCTCCAAGCCCTGCTGAGTGGAGGAAGGTTGGGTCCCTGGACCACCCTGATTGCTTGGGACAACTGACAGCAAGGCTAGAGCCTGGAAGAGGTGCAAGCCTCCTGTCATTCCCCAGACTGCTGCCTTCCTGTCTCGTAGTTGTCATGCCACCCTGTCTATATGGTCAGGGAAGAAGGAGTGCAGTTGGGTAAGTGGTATGAACTCAGGCTACAGAAGTGGCCCCTTCCTCCGGGGCTTAATTTTCTCATCCCTAAGATGGGGGCAAACTCCCTTACAGCTCTGCTGCTCTTTAGTGAAAGAGATATAACAATGCATTGAGAATGCATTGTGCATGTGCATGTGTTTCTGTGGGTATGCAGGAGTAATTCCCTACATGTGGATGTGCATGACCATGTATATTCCTTTGTTTCCTAGGCCACAATCAAATCTTCAAATGCCTTAGGTGTGCCGCACTTACAGCTGTCCATGCTGGGGCTGGAGCCCATCACAGACTGACTAGGGCCTGTACATGATGTGTGTGAGCAGGACTGTGTCTACATGAGGGTCCTAGAGATGCTGGGGCATGCGTATTCATGGGTGTGCTGAGTGAACAATGTACTCAGAGCAAAGAAAAAAACTGGGAGCAATGTGGATTTGGGACTGCAAATCCTTAGGGACAGGCTGTGGGGAATTGCACCCAGAACTTTCCCCCACTCAGCTCCCTCTGCTGCCTTTGAGACAGCTGAGGTCCCTGGCCTGAGGCCATGCTGTGTCAGGGGAGGACAGGAGGCACTGACCTTGGCGCACTCAGTCTCGTTGAGTGGCGGGCAGCTGATGGGCGAGCGCACGAGCACAGCGCCCATTGGGGTGCTGCCGCAGTGGTGGCGTGTGCACTCTGCAATCCAGGACGTGCCAGGCTGTGGGGCAGAGTGGGAGAGAGCAGTCGTGGCCTATCAGGTGACACAGCTCCAGAGCTGAGCAATGCTTACAATCTCATCTGTGGACTGGTATGATGGCATAGCACAGTAGTCCTCTGCCTGAAGTGCCTGCATCCCATACATATGTCAGTTTGACTCCCAGTGGTTCCACTTCCTAATCAAGCTCCCTGCCACCTGAGGAGGTGGCAAAGCATAGCCCAAGGCCTTGGGACCCTGTATCCACATGGGAGACCCAGAAGAAGCTCCTGACTCCTAGCTTCAGACCAGCCCAGATCTGGCTATTGTGGCCATTTGGAAAGTCAATCAGGAGATGGAAGATCTCTCTCCCACTCTCTCACTGTAACTTTTTCAAGTAAATCAAATAAATATTTTAAAAATGAAAATATAAAGATCACATCTGTGGTCTTGGGCCTGGGGCCTAAGAGGGGATACTTTCCCAGGTAATCTACTTGGGAGCAGCTTACCAGGAACAGGGAAGTGGTGCCATTGGGGAAGGTGAAGAGGCAGGACACGTTTCTGCAGGAGCCGCAGCAGGCTGCCAGGTCCCGTGGGTGCTCATACTCCTGGTTCTGGGGGACACAGCAGGGTGGGGTACATGACCTTGTCAATGGCTCTGCCTTTACCATCCACGTGTGGTCTTCTCCAAGGGATGCCCAAGGGATGCCTCGTGTAAGCCTGTCTGCCCTGTGTGGGCAGGCCTCTGTGACAACTGTCCTAAGGCCCCCGTATTGCCACTAATGACAGCATTTTCTATGGGCAAGGGACAGTGCCTTCGGGATGTTAGAAAGGACAGAACCTCCTTACATCTTGGCTGTTCTCATCCAAAACATGAGAATGACTCTAACCTCTGTCCTTGTTCTTTTTTATTTAGTATATGCCAGAAGCTAGTTACTGTGCATGTTGAACATTCAGCAAATTGTAGAAATGGAAATGCCCAAACCACAATAGGGCACATGCCAGGACTTCAGCAGGTGCTTTAATAATGTATTTGTCCTTGCCCACCTGACCAAGCCCAGAATCCTCCCTTTGCTCTTCTTGTTCCTACCCTGGGTGCTACAGACAGCTCCCCTGATGCCCTCTGCCTAGGCTGTGTGTGTGTGTGTGTGTGTGTGTGTGTGTGTGTGTGTGTGTGTGTGTGTGTGTGTTGGGGGGAAGGTGGGTGGCGAGGGTAGGGCTTGGGGCAGGCTACAAATACTCGTCTGTCTCCTGCCAGGCCCCTCACTTGCCCCCTACCGCCTCACAGTGGACGTCACATAGCACGGAGGTAGTGTTGATCTGGTAGAAGCTGGTGAGGGGGTCCAGCATGTCCGTGCAACGGGAAGTGTGGCACACGCCGTCTGCTGAAAGCTCCACCACTGTCTGGCCTGGCTGCATCACTCCCAGCTCACGGCTCAGACACACAGGGGCCTTCACTGCAAGGGTGTGCAAGGTGCAGCAGTCACCAAGAGCTCAGCCACTGACACCTCCCCACCCCCATCCCCACCTGGTGGGCCGACCTGGGGCTCACCTGCACTGGCTCCCTCCACTATGGCCCACCCTGCCGCACTCACCACACTTATATTTGGCGCAGCCGCACACGTTCTCCTCGCTGTGCATGAATTCTTCATCCAGCTGGGACTTCTCCCACTGTGAGGGGACAGTAGCATGGAGGGTCAGCTCCCTTGGGAGCAGTCTGCCACCTAGCCCCTGTATGACAGGTGCCTCACTGCAGGAATCGGGTGGGGCCGGGGAATCCTGGTGCCCTGAAAGCACAGTCTCACTCCTGTTTGGGCTCCTGAGTCTTACTGATGAGGGGTGCTCCCTTATGTCCTGCTCCCCATCCAGATGACACCACTTTGTTTCTGTGACCAGTTGCAGGGCTCCAAGCCCTGGGATGAGGTGAGACAGTGCCTGGGATGTCAGGCAATGTGCATGGCTGACAGTCTTTGCTCTCCTCTTCCTGCCCTGCAGCCTGCTGCTTATGATGTGCCCTCTGGAGTCAGCTCTCCTGGATTCCAGTTCTGGCTCATGACCTTGACCTTACCTTCCTTGTTTGCGTAACTGAGACAGTCATGGGGTTGTCATGAGAACTAATGTGATGGTACACTTAAAAGGCCCAATACACAGAAGGTGCTTGTCATGTTTGTCCCAATTAATCACCAGCTTCCCTATAACATCATCACATGACATCATCAGCATCACTCACCATCATCCTCCCTTGCCCCACTTCATGACTATCACCATGTCAGCATCCGGCTCCTAAATCCTCCCCACCTTTGTGAAGCATGAGCTCCACGGAGGGCATCCGGCCCAGAAACCAGTGGCTGAGCTTCAGGCAAGGCTGCTGACTTGTAGGTGAGGATTCTGCACTTGTAGGAGAATATAGTCTCCAGGGAGGAGAGAGAGAAGGCAGGATAATTGGGGATGGGGGAAACCAGGGAGCTAGGGAGGAGTAAAGCTTCCATACCAGATGGCACCGGGGCACTGGGATGGTGTCGCAGTCACACTCTGAAAAAGAACAGTGGCACCCGCTTGACTAGGCATGCCTAAGGAAGAGTCCTGGGATTTCCTGGGCTTTGCTGCAGGTGCAGATCCTCCTGTACCAGTTATGGCTGTGGGGCAGGGGTGGGGTGTACATGGAGGTGCTTATCAGCTCCCTTCACCCCTTGCATGAGGTGGCAGCTCACTTGGTTGGGCAGGCACTGCGAGGGTCCGGGCTCCCCAGTGAGTATGAAGCAAGAATGAACAGGCAGCCCAATCAATCATGGATTTCCTGTTCCTCCCACACCCTCCATCCCCAGAGTCTTTTTGAGAATGAAGGCAGGGTCTCTCTAGGAACAGATTGGGTGAGGGTGGGCATTCTAACCTGCCTTTCCCAAAAGTGCCCCAGTGAGCCCAGGCTACTGCCAGGCCTCACAGATGCACAGGCCAAGCTTGTGCAAGCTCTCAAGGATGGATCGTTCCAGGACACAGTGCCCATGAAGCACCACCCAGCCCCTCCAACTCCCAGGTAGGTCATCATGCATGCAGCGAACAGCTCTAAGCACTCACTGTACTGAGCTTTGCCCAATGCTCTGGGGACCAAGCAATGAATTAAAAAACCCCAAGCACCTGCCCCCAGGAGGTTCACCTTCCAGGGAAGCCTGGAAAAGGACTAGCAACACATCCAGAGACAAAACAGAGCTGTCCTTTCCTTCTTGTAAATCATGCTGTAGTACACCATTATTGGTTGTTGGCTCTCCCAAGAGCCACCCCAATGGTGGGTCCCCGAGCAGTGACTCACCGCAGGACTTGTAGGGGCAGCAGCGATCAGGGCTCCACACCTCCACCAGGGTTGTGCCCAGGCCACACTGCACTTGGGGACAGCGGAAGCTCTCACACACTGTGGGGCAGAGGCAGCCAGTGACACATCAGTCATAGACGATGTGGCTAAAAATGCAACACTTGCTAGGGAGCAAGTGCTTCCTGTTCCTCGTGAAGTCTGCCTAGTGTGTCCAGCACCTTCCATGGCCAGGCGCCAGAGTGTCCCACAGAGCCACTTTGGGATTTTGTATGACAATCATTTTCCATGAACTTTTGAAGACCCCTTGTACATATAAAAGCACAGAACATGTCTGGAAGGACACATGGGGCACTGTGGTACAGGGGGTTGAGCTGCTTAGGATTCCCCCATCCTGTGTCAGAGTGCCAGTTTGAAGCCTGGCTTCTCAGCTTCCAAGCCAGCTTCTCTCTAATGTATCCTGAGAGGCAGCTGATAATGGCTCCATTGTTAAGGCTCCTGCCATTCATGAGGGAGACATGGATGGAGTTCTGGGTTCCTGGCTTCAGCCTGGTCCAGCCCTGGTAGCTGTAGGCATTTGGGGAGTAAACCAGTTGATAGAAGACATTCTTTCTCTCTTTCCCTCACTTTCAATGTCTCTAACATTCTGCCTTTCATGTAAACAAATATATGTATGTATATACATGTTAAAATAGGGCCTGTGGCATAGCAGCTAAACTCACTGGCACTGTGGAGTGCCAGCCCCCTGGCTACTCCATTACTGAAATAGCTTTCCATTAATGCACCCTAAAAAGCATGGAAGATGCCCCTGCATCCTGGCTTCAGACTGGCCTTTGTGAACATTTAGGAAGTGAACCAGCAGGTGGAAGATGTCTCTCTCTCTTACTCTGCCTTTCAAATAAATGCATAGATCTTTAACAAAAAAAAAAAAAAAAGAAGAAGAAGAAGAAGAAGAAGAATACTAAGGACCAGTGGTGTGGCATAGCAGATAAAGCTCTCCACGTGGGACACCCAGAGGAAGCTCCTGGCTTCGGGCTGGTCCAACCCTGGCTATTGCTGCCATTTGCCATTTGAGGAGTGAGTTGGCAATCAATTTCTTTGTCTCTATTTCTTTTTCTGTTGTTCTGACTTTCAAGTAAATTTTTGGTGTTCTCAGAGTGGGATACCTAGCAGTCTTCTCATTTTGTTACATTTGCTTGGTATCTGTACTTTCTACAACATTTGTACCATGCCTTTGTAATGATGAAGGGATGACAAAGTCTGGAGAAGGTGGGGGTAGCAGCAGTCCCCATTCCCAAGCACCTCAGGGCGGCTGTGCCATGAATGTCGCCACCAAAACTCAGGCCAAACTCGAATCCCCATGGTGAGATAGAAAAGTGAGACGGGTGAACAGGTTACAAGGGCAGAGCCAGGCACCGATGGATCTCTGAACAGCTGTCATGAGAGCTCATTGGTGCATTGCCTTTGCGTCACTATTACCATGTGATGCCCGATGTCACCCCAGGACTCCACACAGAGAGTCCATGCCAGGAAGACCCTCACCACGTGCAGTCCCTTTGACCCTGGACCTCCCAAGTTCCTAGAGACATGAACTGAACAAAACTATTTCTGTAACATTTTCCTCATTCTGTGGCGTCCAGCTACTATAGTCAGGTGTTTTACATGCAAATCCAGGTGCTCTGATATAGGTAGAAGTATCCCAAAGTATATCTTAACTGCTGTGCCCACATCCACTCTGGCTACCACCAGCTTACACATGAGCAGCCTTGGCTCAGAGATTTTATAATTTCGCCTGGGTCACACACAAGCGGCAGACCTAGGCCTCAGATCTGCGACTGACTGTGCCTGCACTCAGTGTGTGTTACCAGCCTACCTCCTGAGAAACGCAGAGGAACACAAGTGAAGCGCGACAATGAGGGTAGGGTGGGAGAGGCATTGAGAGAGGAGGCGAGAGGACAGTTAACGTCTGCTCAGATCAGCTTCACAAACACAGACAAGGGGCCTTTGAGACCTCTGGGGCAGCCATGGCCAGGTCATTCAGAGTTTGCCTGGGAGCCTGTATGGTTTACCACTTGCTTCTTGACCTTAACACAGTCAGGGTTGTCCCTGGGGCATTTGGGACCTTACTATCTACACTCCCCTGAACAAGTGAGGGCCATCTCACCTATTCCTAAGGTCAGCCAGCAAAGTAGTTTGTGTAAATTGAAGCATACCATTTTGTTCACGTCCATCTACTAGGTTTACTGAAAGTCCGCAATGCTAGCTCCCTTATGCTTGATAGTTGCTACATGGCACATATATGTCTTCACGGTTCTGTGAATGTAGCAACACTGTGCCAAGGTACCTTGAACACAGTACACGTTATATTCAGGTAGTAGACACACAGTAGATGCTGTTACCAGCTACTGTGAATATACAGTCCTGATGCACATCGTAATATAGAACTACTGCGTCAAGTACATCAGGAGGGACCCACTTTTGTTCATTATGACAAACTACCAGGTCCTGGGAGGCTTGGGAAGCCAAGGCCTTGGGTACAGAGTCCATGGACAGGCCATGTACTCACACGGGGACAAAGGGAGCCTAGAACAGTGGCCTCTGGCAGTCAGAGAATGAGGTGTTTTGTCAGTGCTGGGAGTAGCACAGGGGCCTCAGCATTCCTTGGATTCCACGCCTCCCTCTGTCCCTTGGGGGCTTCCATTGAGGAGCACAGGCTTGGGGTTCCCTTCTCCCCTCACTATACAGCTTCCATAGCCTGGCCAGAACTACTTCGGGTTGGGCTGGTGTTCCTGGCATCAGATCAGGTGTGCTGGTCCTAGTTTGAAGACCACGTGGCAGGTGCCAGAGCCCCATTCATGCCCTGGCCCAGCACGTGCTCAGGCGAGACTCACCACACTGGTACAGCGGGCAGCAGAGCTCTGTGCTGTTCCTGTGCACCATGAGCGCTTCCCCTTCTTGGCACTCAGGGATGGGGTCGGGACAGTCACCACAGGCTGCAGAGAGAGGGGAGTCACCCATGTCACACAGGAGCCGGGGGCTGAGTCAGGGGAAGCCTCGACAGCTCAGGGTGGCAGAAGCCCAGGTCACAGCTGTGCATCACAGTCCTCATGACCCGAGTCAGAATCTGGAGGGCCTTCTTGGGTTCACACAACCTTATCCTACCCCAGCACTGGTGTCCTGGTGCAGTACTATCTGTTTCTCGTTAGTCCTATGTGTTTTTCTGGATGGAGATTTTTGCCTTTCTCCATGTGCATTGCTTGCCCCCCTTCCTATGAACAGCCCTGGGCCTGCCTTCCAGCTGCCCAGGGAAGCAAGTGTGAGGTGAGCCAGCTGTCCTGCAGGTGTTCCAGAGCATCCACCTACCACAGAAGTAAGAGGTGCAGCAGGAGTCCCCCAGGCGGCCGGCAATCAGGATCTGGTCCTCGCGGCAGCTGGGGACCAGCCTCTCCTCACACTGATCTGGGTCGCATTCTGCAGAAGGTGAATCTTAGGTACTGGGGCCAGATTCCATCTGGCCATGAATGGGCTTCATCCCTGGCCAGCTGTGCTGCACTTCCAGCCAGAACACAATCCTCCTTCCCACCACCTGGGGCTATGTCCCACTCTACTACCCCGGGATCTCTCACCACAGCTGTAGCTGGGACAGCAGGAATCCTCCTGGAAGTGGGTGAGGAGTCGGTGGCCAGGGCGGCAGGTGGGTGCCAGGCCCTCACACAGAGTCTGGTTACACACTGGACAGGGTGCCACAAAGCCTGTTACTTGGAGGCCAGGAATCCCTGACATGTTCCAGCACTAGTCACTCCCTAGACACCTTACCTCACTACTCCCTCCCTCAGACCCAGGACCCATACTTCTGGAAGCTCCAAAGGCCACCTAGGGGACCAGAACTGGGACAGAAGCCTACCAAGAGCTCAGGCTTGATGGCGATGCCCAGGCTGCAATTCACACTGCCACCCAAGGGGTGCTATTGACAACCTAATGCTACAGCAGAATGCAGGGAAGGCACAGAGGAAGTTAAATGATTTGTCTGAGGCTGTCAGGCCATAGGTGGTAAAGGAAGAGTGGGTCAGGCTGCCCGGCTCCAGACTCTGTATCTGTAACACCACCCCCAAAGCTCACTTCCATAAGGCTTGTCATCTGCTGTTCCCACCATCAAGGTCAGGGGCAGGACAAGGTATCCTACAAGGTGAGAGCCAGGCAAGCGAAGTATAGGACTCACCGCAGACAGACCCCAGGCAGCAGGGGTCCTCAGTGGGCATGAGCACGGCCACCTCCCCAAAGCGTGGGCAGCTCTCCAGGCGGGGGCCTGGGCACTCCAGGTCCACTGCGACGATGGTGTCTTGGGATTGGCACTGGTGCTGGCAGCAGCCGCTGAGAGAGCTGTTCCAGGTCTCCCCCAGGGCCCGCGGCATTCCAGTGCTGTCAGTGCAGGCTGCAGCGGAGACATAAACAGGTGTGGGGCACTGAGGATAGGGGCAGATCCAGATGTCACAGTCTTAGTCCCCTGGGACAGTGGTTACCCTTGGAGCAGATCTGGAGGGCTGCAGCAAGGCCTCAGCCACCAGCAGCAGGAGGCTAAAGGGGTCACCAGGGTCAGCTCAGCCTGGGTGATGGCTCTACCAGGGTGGGGAGGAACCTACCACACTTGTCCTCGGAGATGCAGAGTGCAGAGTGGCGCCGGTGCAGGATGGTGCCCTCAGAGCATACGCAGCCCTCGCCCAGTACCTGACACTGCTCTGGGTCCAGTGGGCCCAGCAGCCCATCCTGGCAGGCTTCAGGTGGCTCACAGGCCGCCACACATGCCTGATAAGTGGAGTTGCTGGGGCACAGGAAGGCTGTAGGGGCACAACAGGCACAAGGCCTTGCTCAGACCTAGGCAGGGCTCCCCATCTGAGGCAGGGAAGGGCAAGGATGGGGTGCACGGTGTACAGTGTCTAGGTCAGGGAGCTTGGTGGTATCACTTCCTTCTAGACCAGGTGGGCTGCTGTACAGACCCAGGCTGCTGTTGGTTTCTACAAATAAAGTTTGGTGGAGTAGAGCCATGTTTCATTGTTTGGATCTGGCCCATGTTGGCTTTGTACAAGGATTGGGTTGAGTCAGGTCATGACAGAGCCCTGACTCTACTCCCAAATCCAGCTACTTGCTAATGTGCATCCTGGGAGGCAGCAGGTGACAGCTCAAGTGAGAGACCTGGATTGAGGTCCTGGCTCATCATTTCAGCATGGCTTACTAACCCTGAGCATGGTAGATAGTTGGGGGTTGAATAAGCAGATGGGTAGTAAATAAGCAGACAGCAGATCTGCCTCTATCCTAATAGTAGTAGTTGCAGTAGTAAAGTGAAAGGAACAATGATCACTGGCCATTAGCTCTGCTGTGGGAGCTCATGTAAGTCACCATACATACTTGTCTCCTGTCTTGTTTAAGATGGCCTTAGGAACTAGAGCTGTCTTCATTTTATAGAGACTCCATATATTTAAGTGGAAAATTAATTATTCATTAATATATCAGTTTAGAGCATAACTAATTTGTTCATTAATATAAAATATCTATATACATAAAATGGATCATTAAATAGTATTTATAAACTTTTAATCAATGTAGATAAACATATGAATGATTAAACCTGGGATAGCCAAGACTTGAACTTGGATCAGGTAGAAGTGCCCCTTGTACCAAGAGGTAGGGTAACCATTGCAATGGCGGAGACCCCTGCACCCGCACTCACGGCAGTAATCAGAGCGCCGCCACTCAATGCACACGTGGAACTTGTGGCACATGGCCACGTACACGGTCAGGGCCACACAGGGCTGCTGCACATACTTTGTGTCTCGGATCCACAGCTCACAGAAGGACTCTGGGGAGACCTGGGCACACAAATCAGACCGTGCTGTTGACCCTGAGACCGCATCCCCAAGCAGGCCCAGCTCCTCTATCATGAGCTTCTGCAGGCAGGTGCTGCTCTCCCCATTCCCAAGTGGCTTCCCCTGTACTGGACCCACTGGCACGTACAAAGCGATGGCAGGCGCTGAAGGTACGGTTGGAAACCATGCGAAGGCAGGGTGAGCAGTCAGCCGTGGCACAACTGTCTGGGCGGAAGCGGGTCTGACCCACTGAGGCCAGGGAGCTGGGCACCTGCCAGCTCTCCAGAAAGGGAGCAGGGTCCTCGAGTCCATCTGCCACAGAACCATCCTGCAGGGTGAAGTCGTTGGCTGCGTCTCCATCACAGATACCTGAGGGGAGCAGAGCAAGTCTCATGGCCATGATGGTCAGTGCTTCTCCCAGATCGCCAGTTCTCACTGGCCTCACAGCAATCCCCAGAAACCAGTGTCAGTATCATCTTCGGTGTTTAGAGATGGGGAATGAAGTGCAGAGAAACTGACAACTGCTGCATAGGAAAACACGCCAGTATTGTCGTTAGGATACACATCAAAGTCTGAAGGGATTAAGGGAGACGTTTTGAATTCCTTTTCAAATTATTCAGAAAAATATATAAGCATATTTATAGATAACATAATCATATAAAATGCACATATGAAGGTACTTCAAGTTCATGGAAATAGAGTTGAAAGATAAATTTATTTTGGCTCAACATATTTAAACCCATGCACATGATGGGTCTCCAAAAAGTCCATGAAAAATCCTTCTTATGGAGAAATTATGCATGGACTTCAAAAGTTTTGCACTGAATAATCTCTGAATTCCATTTTTCTGGAAATTTTGAAGTACAGAGAAAGAGAAGCAAATGAAATACAGTGTGGACAAGCCCATAGTACATCTGGGTAAAAGGGTCTATGGGAATCCTGTATGCTGTTCGGCAACTTCTAAGTCTGGCATTATATCAGACTCTGCATTTGCAGAGATTACTAACTACACTGCCTGCTTACTGTTGGTCGTTGGCCTTCTGTTCCAGCTACCCTTGCAGCTGGGGAGATGTGATGGAGTCCCAGCCCACGGAACATCAGTGAAGGTGAGAGGCACTTCCATGTGTTATCCACAAGGACTTCCCATTGTCCTGTCTTTTAGGGACTTGGAAGCCCAAGTTGAACATGACAGAGCCACCAGATGGAAGGAACCTGTGCCTCTGAATCATCATAAACCACCTGTGAATTTGTTTGAGCTGGAAATTAACTGTCATGGAGCCAGGGGAAGGTTGTGGTGGTGGGGTTATCTTTCACAACTTCTAACTGAAATCCCAGCTTCATCTCTCATGCACTGTCTATATTCTCTAGATGACTTCCCCTGCCCGTGACTCTCCCGAGCTACGCTCTCAACTCTCCTTGCTGCTGGGGTGCCTCAGAGGCAGCCATCAGGACCTTTTCAATTCAGTGCAATCATTGCCAGTTTGCAGGACTGGCTTTGCAGAATTTCAGCTGAGTGTATCCTTATTTCCCTTTAGGTTCCCATGATCTCAGGTGTTCCTTTGTCATTAGTACCCAGGGTGTCAAGTGTACCAATAAAACAGAGATGTAGTGATCTGCCTTCTCTGCCATCTCCAGCATGATTTGACACAAAACTCTAAGTATTAGCAATCCTAATGGTCACATTTGGGGCTTGGCTTTGAGTTACCAAGGGTTTTCTCAGGCATATGTTGACACTGGGCTCCTAATGACCACTGAGCTCTTTTCCAGAAATGGACAGAACAGGAGAAAAAAACAGTGAGAGAAGGATGGTGGTAGTTGGTCCACATGTGAGGAATGTTTAGTCAGCAAATGAGAGTTCCAGAAAGCAGGTATTACGTGTTTTGCTTCTAGTGACTTTTACATAGTTAACACACACACAAAGAAAAGAGCCAGGAGCTGGCTGTCATGAGGTCGTGTGTAGAATGTTGAATGAAGGTGCATGGACACAAGGATGCAGATGGATGAAGGGGGTGGTGTGTTGAAGAACCTAGGGATTTTCTGCCTTTTGTGATTCTGCCTTAATGGCTTGGCTGGGGGCTGTGTGAACCTCAGGCCTGATAGTCTACCTGACACCCAGCAGGACACCTGGCAGGTCACGTAGGCAGACAACTCCTCAGGAAGGAGGTACCTGGCATTTGATAAGATTCACAGCCTAATAGCTCGTCGATTTGTACTTTTTGAAAGTTGCTTGTTTCAAACCCACCAATAGAAGCCTTCTAAGTCATGACTGTATAATTAATAACCTGAAATGTATAAGAACTGGGGGGCTTGGGCTCTCTCTCTCTCTCTTCTGGCTTGCGCTTCTTTTTGCCCTCCCTGTGGATCCTAGCAGCCTTGGCTGCGGCTGCCCCTCCCCCGCCCAACCATGCTGGGCTGGGGGAGGAGGCTGGGTTACCTAGGCTAACCTGAATAAACCACCTTTTTGCCTTAGCACCGACTTCAGACTTGATGATTATCTGGGGATTTAAAAAATCCGGCACAACAGTGTGTGAGACATGGTCACTTCCATGTCTGTGGCAGCTTCTCATGGAGTGTCTCATAGGTGCTCGTGAGTTTGAGTCCTTGCAAAGTGCAGCAGCCCACACTTAGGTGCCACCTGTATTTTTTTTTCCCTATCATAACACCTCCAGTCCCTTAGAGGACTCTCTACAGTCAGCTAGAGTCTAAAGAGCACTGACTCCATGGGCTATGATAACTCCTATAACTCCAGACAAGCTACTGAGCTTCTTAGCACCCCTTGCCTTCAGTCCAGTGGGGAGACTAACAACGACCTCTAGGCTGATGTGTGGATGAGCTGGAGTCAGTGAGATGTGAGGGTGCAGGTGCTTTGTGAAGTGACCAGGCACATACAGATGGGGAGATCATCTGGCTTGAGGAGGTTATTAGGAAAGCTGGCTGAGGGGACAGCCAGCTGAGAACAGAGCCATGTGCCATCTCTGCTAGCAGGATCAGTCCCAGGACACAAGACACTAAGTCTCCTTGCCAGGGCACCACTGCCCTGTAACCCTGTCCCAGCAAAAACCTGTGTATGGGTGCAAAGGAAGCCTGGGAAGCATCCCCTCTCCCCGTAGCTGGGCCCCAGCTCACCACACAGGCCACGGCCCTGGGCCTTGCTGGCTTTGCTGGCCTCCAGGATCATGAGTCCTGAGCTGTGGAGCCACTGGATCTTGATATGCATGGGCGTCCCGATCACATACATGTGGCCCGTGTCTTCAATCTGGAACCCATACCTGCTCACAGGGGGCCACACAGCCTGTGAGTCCACAGTCACCTTGGGAGATAGAGTAGGCTCCATGTGAATACAGCTTGCTTATTCATCTACCTATCTGTCCACCCATCATCTGACAAACACATATTAGACATCCGCTAAGGGCCAGGCTGTTTCAGGCACATGCAGCCAAAACACAATGTAAGGTTAAGATGCAAGAATCGTGAAAATATTTTTTGTGACTGCAACCCAGATTCACAATAGCAGGATCAAGCTGTATCTTAACAAAATCAGCACTAATCCTGAGTTCTTTCAGTCACTTTCTACTTTCTGAATTCTGCTCAAATCATTTCTTCTTGGCGACTTTTCCTAAATCCCTAGCCTTGGGGCTGGATACCCCTTCTCTACAGCCTCCTCATCTCGCACTGGCCATTAAGAAAGAATCTGTTTGTTCCCTTGACTGCAGCTCCACTGGATGGTGAGTGTTTGAGGACAGAAATTACGTCTGATAAATTCCCAGAGTCTGCCTTTGGGTCAGACATAAATTGAGACTCAGGCAATATGTGTTAAACACGTAACACGCCCTAATTCGCACAATCGAAAGCTATAGCTTCCACCACATTTATTAACAAAGTTAATTTTAGAAGTAGCAAGAATAATGAGTCCTTCAAAGACCTCATTGTGCTTGGAGTGGCGAGATTGGCAGCGATTCATAACTGGTGAACTATCAAAACCACTTGAGCAAGACCCTCGGAGCATGCCCCACACCTGGGACCTGGGATGGATGGGAAACTGGGTGGGGCTTCTCCCTCAATACCCCCCTTTAAACATGAAGGAAACAGTATGGAAATAATAGTCTTACCCACTTTCCTATAGTCCTTGAAACTTTTTTACCCTAAATAACTATGTAAAGATTGTCAAAAATATAATAAAACATTTAAAAATAATTTTAAAAAGGAATAATGAGTCTTATGCTATAAAAATGGGAGATGAAAAAGATTATGATTTGGGGGCTTGTGCTGTAGTTCAGTGCATTAGACCATTGCCTAAAGTGCCAGCATCCCATCTGGACACCAGTTCAAGTCCCTACTGTTCCACTTTTGATCTAGTTCCCTACTAAAGTGCCTGGGAAAGCAGCGAAAAAAAAAAAAGTCTAGTGCAAGTTCTTAGAGCCCTGGCCCCATGAGGCCAACCCAGAGGCGGCTCCTGGCTTCTGGCTCCATCCTGACCCAGCCCCAGCTGTTGTAGCCATCTGGGGAGTGAGCCAGGGGATGGAAGATCTCTCTTTTCCTCTGTCTCTGTAATTATTTCAAACAAATTTTTTAAAAAATTGTGAATTAAAATATTTATAATGTAACAAAAAAATTTTAAAAATTATAATGTCTTAACTTTATCCCTTCAGGAATACAATTTACTTTCTTATCTTAAGCAATTAAAAAAAAAGAAAACAAAATACAACCCTGACATGAAATAACAATTTTCACACATGAAATAGCTGGAAGTACAGTCAATAATCCCTAGAAGGGGGGAACAAATGAGTTGAACCTTATGACTGCCCAAAGTTATCTCTCAAAATTTCTAGCCAACAATGCAGAGAAGAAGCTAAGCCCAGCCTGATGACTGCCCTGAGTTACACAAGTGGGTGTTATGGCGGTGCCAAGGTGGCTAGAGTGTGCATTGTAGAACAGTGAAGGAAAGAGCTAGAGAGAAGAGTAGGGGAGAGATGAACCTGAATGAATTAAAACTCTGAAAGTTCACAGGAGGTCCCCCTTGAATCCTGTCCTTAAAGTGTCCTCATTTTCCAACTGCATACTGGTCTATGCATACAGGTGAACAATTCCCTGGGGCTGTGGAAAAAACCAAGTGATAGAAGCAGAGAGTCCTGAGAACCAGCAGAGGCCCAGGATTGGAGCCAAGCCAGCTGGAGCAGGTCAGCATCCCTGGCCACGCAGGATAGGGCAGGAGATGTGAAAGAGCCCTGCTTCAGAAGTGATGAATCCATATGTAGAGTGACAGCTGGAAGCACTCGTAAAGGTTCCTCTAGCTTCACCCAGTGAAATTTAAAGGCAAGTCTCAACGAGAGAAACCTTTCTAAGTGTCATAACTCGTATAAGCTCAAGAATAAAAAAAAAAGAAAAAAGAATTTCCAGCATCCAGCAAAAATATACAATGTATGGAATCTAGTAAAAACTTGCCAAGCATGCCAAGAAGCAGCACAATACAACCCCTAGTGAGAGATGAAAATCAGAATAGACCCAGCAATGACATATGACAGGATTAGAAGGCAAGGTCGTAAAAATGCAGCTAATCTAACAATGGTCTATACTTTCAACAAAGAACATAAGAACATTAAGGTAAGGTGTGAGAGATGGGAGTAAGACCAAAATCAAACATCTAGACATGAAAAATCTCCTGGATGGGATTAACAGACACTATAGGTAGAAAGGTTAATAAAGACAGAACAATAGATACTGTCTGAAAAACTATGAACAGAGAAAAATGGACGTGTTTTGATTTCAAGTGTTTCGATATACACGTAACTGGAATATACAAAAGATAAATGAATTACCAGGCCTATCGTAATCAAATTGTTTAAAAGCAATGAGAGAAGGAAAAGTATAATAGTAGCCAGAGAAAAATGAGTATATTTTGTATGGAGGAACAAAGGTCAAAAGTGACAGAAGATTATCAGAATCCATAAGCAAAAGACAGTAAAATTCTATGAATGCAAATAATAATAGCCAAATGTGAAAGCAGCACAAATTTCTACCAGCAAGTAAATGGATAAACAGATTATGGTGTATGTTCATTGAAAGAAATACTGTTCAAGTATAAAACTGAAATACTGATGCATGTCACAACATAAACGAACTTTAAAAATCAGGCTGAGTGGAAGAAACCAGATAGAAAATATCACATATTGTTTGACACCATTTATAGGAGAGATTCAGAATAAGTAAATCAAAAGACGGAAGGCAGATGTTGGTTGATGGGCGTGGGGAAAGGCCTGGTGAGCAGCTGACTGATGGCTCTGAGCTTTCCTTTGGAGATGATGAAGTTGTTTGCAGCTGGAGGGAGGGAGTGGCAACATGGCATCGTGAATGTAGTAAGAGACTGATTTCTTCTATTTAAAACAAGGCATTGGTTTCATCCCACTGGAAACAACAGGGGAGCAACTTTAAGTATCAAAGAAAGGTCAGCCTATAAATTCTACACTCAGTGAAACTTGTTTTTAACAATTCAGATGAGATGAAGACTTTTTCATACTTGCTGACAAATACAAAAAAAAACTTATCATCAGAAGATTTGTGCTGTAAGAATACTAAAAGAAATCCTTTAAGTAGAAAAAAATGATATCAGATGGAAATCCAGATCTACACAAATGAATAAAGAGCACCAGAAATAGAAAATACGTGGAAAAATGTAAACTTGATTTGCTGAGGACAACTGCGCACAGTGGCATTTACAACAGAGAGAGAAGCAGAGAAGTGAGGACCACAGCACCAGGGCAGGAGGACATCAGAGGATACTGTTACAGAGCTCTCACACTAGATGGGCCATGACATATTACTTGAAACTAGACTGTGACAAGTTACAATTATATGCTGTAATCCCTAGAGCAACCACTGAAAGACCAAAGCAAAAGGTATAGTTAATACTTTAATGTAGGAGATGAAATGCAACAATTAAAGGCAATCCGAAAGATACATACAAAAAGAGGAAAAGGGACGATGAAAATAAATAGAAAACAAACATATAAGCTTAAACGTAACTTGATGACTCAATTAAATCTGATGGAACTAAATTTCAGATTGGATTAAAACTAAACAAAAGAAATATTCACTTCCTACCAAAAATCTCACTTTAAGTTTTAAAAGCCACAAATTGGTTAAAGGTAAGAGAATGAAAAAAAAAAAAGATATACCTCAGATATTCATGTTAAAGTTAAAGAAATGCTGGAGAAGCTGTGACAAACAAATCTGACAAAATAGAGTTAAAAAACATCTGTAACGACAAAACTCAATTTCACACACACAAAAAATGGTTAATTGAGTGGAGGATATAATCTAAGTGCTATGTGCCTGATAACTTCAAAATCCATGAATAAAAAACTGATAGAACTCCAAGGAGAAATAAACCAACAATTTCAGTCGGAAATATCAACACCCTCTCTCTCAACTGCTAAGCAGGCTTACAGAACAATAGGATTTAGAAGTCTCGAACACGCTGACATTCCTGAAACCATCCCCCACCCCAACTATAGAATATGTGTTCGCTAAGATAATATTTGGAACATAAAACAAGTCATTATATTTAATAAGATTCAGGTTCATCAAATTAGGCTTTTTTGAGTACAGAATTAAATTAGAAATCAATAATAGGAAGCTATCTGAAAAATCGCCAAATATAAGGAATCTTTAAAAAGTCTATGGAAATGTGTATTATGAAAACAGATTCTCAACTTTTCTTCACCCCAAAAAACCTTATGTCTTTTAATTCCATGCTTTCAAAAAATTCTTTGAAATATCCTCATAATTGGAGACTAAATAAAACACTTACAAATAATCCATGGGTCAAAGAGCCATCGAGAGTATTTAAAAATATTTCAAACTGATTGAAAACAACACTATTCAATCAGTATTTCACAGGCAAATTATAGCACTAAATACAGAAATCAGAAAAAGAAAAGCACTGAATCAAAGGCCTACACTTCCCCTTTACTTCTACCCTAAAATCCAAAAATGAATAAATTAGACTCGTAGTAGGAGAAAGACTATAATAAAGATCAGGAACCAGTGAAATTGGAAATATAACAATCATGGAGAAAAACAAATAAAACATGCTTTAAAGAACAATAAACTTGGATTTCTTCTAAAAAATACACACACACAGACAAAACACCTAGAGGTTTCTTCTTAAAAGCACATACAATAAACTTGAAAACTCCCTATCCAGGCTTTTCAAGGAAAACAAAGCTGACCCAAATTACAAGGGCTGGGCATTAGATAGGGCACACGGATGCAGATCCTACAGACAGTCCAAGGATAGCAAGAATCTGTGGACAACTTGGACATATAAAATGATGCGTCAACTAAAGTTTGCTGGAGAAGAAACAGGCAACCCGAAGAGCTCCATACCAAAGAAATTCAGAATCCTGCAGAGGAATATTTCCTAAGGCATCACATGAGGCCCTCATTTGCTAATACCAAAACTAAACAAATGCATTCACAAAAAAAAAATCTTAAACCATCAAGGAGGTTTCAAAAAATGTGTAAAAAGGGCCTGGTGTGGTGGCCTAGCGGCTAAAGTCCTGGCCTTGAATGCACCAGGATCCTATACGGGCACTGATTCTAATCCCGGCAGCCCTGCTTCCCATCTAGTTCCCTGCTTGCGGCCTGGGAAAGCAGTGGAGGACGGCCCAAGGCCTTGGGACCCTGCACCTGTGTGGGGGATCAGCTCAGCTCTGGCCATTGTGGTCACTTGAGGAGTGAATCATCAGATGGAAGATTTTCCTGTCTCTCCTCCTCTCTCTATATATATCTGACTTTGCAATAAAAATAAAATAAATCTTTAAAAAAATGTATAAAAACAGTACTATAATAGCCAAACCAAGTGAAACTTATTCCAGGAATGCAAACCTTATTCAACATTCCAAATCGGTGAAATTTATATTCATACAGAAAAACAGTATGATTATTTCAATAGATGCAGAACTTAAAGAATGTGAAAATGAGTGATTTAAGATTAATAAATATAGGAACTAATAAATGCAATATTACTAGACAAAGTCAGTAGGTATACATTAGTGATAAGTAGCGGACAGTGATTTAAAAACAATCTCAAGCCTGCACGCCCTGGGCCTCCCACCGGCTGCGACCCTGCCCCAGAGGCCAGCTTTCTGATGGACTCACCTTCCGGTTGAAGCGATCAATAGTGACCTGGTGGGCCAAGTGAGTCACATTCAACATCACCAGACAGAATGGGGGCCAATTCAGGTGCCCCTGCAGAAAGCAAATGGTGAGTTCATCAATGGGGAGCTTTGTCCTGGACCCCCAAAACCTGAACCCAGATTTCCATGGAACACATTTGGTTCCACCTGAACACAGACAGGCACTTCCTTCCACCTGACACTCTGCCCCTACCCCTAACACCACCACGGACCACAGCCTTGGAGTGGCTCCCCAACTCCTCGGTGCTTCGGTGACATCCCAAAGAGGCCTAGGAAGCTGGCACAGGCTGGGAGGTAGTGTACTCTGCTCAGCCCCTTCTTCATGACACACTGTCACCTGGCCTGCAGCTGGGACGTCACATCCCTTCCAAGGGGCTCCTGGGAACAGTGGCACCTTCTGTGGGCACTTTCACCTCAGACCTTACCTCTGGCAGCTCAAACCCAGCCCACTGCTCATTCTCCCCATTAAATCTCATTAAATCCCTAGGTCCTGGCAGGAAGGGGAGCAAGCAGCAATCACCAGATTGGCGCTTTTGCAGTCAAGGACGTGGACCGTGACCGTGTCATCTGTGCTCTGGCTGAGGATGTAGGTGGCCTCTTTGAACAGGGCTGCATGGCTGCCATCGAAGGTCACGAAGCTCAGGTCAGGGAAGATGGAGCAGCGGCCTGGGGGTGGGGCAGAGGCCTCTCAGGTCATGGCTGTCTTGGGAGGCAGGGCAGGTGATTCAGAGGCCAGGGTGAGGGCGGGAATTCTAGGAGACCCCTCAAATCACAGCACAGAGTGCTGAGGTTGGGAAATCTGCCACATTGAAAAGACAGGGCCCATGGTTGTTGGTAAGTGGTGTTGAGGGATGTTGGATGGATGACAGAGGGGGCTCCCACTGACCCCTCAACTCACAGGCACACTCCCAGATGGGGCAGCAGTGGTCCCCGCCGACACGCACCGCAAGGCCCAGGACCCCACAGCGAGGCCGTGAGGAGCCCTGGGGACAGTGTTGAGACTGGTTCACACGGATGAGCTGGCCCTCCAGGCAGATGTGACGCACACAGTCTTGCTCAGCAATTGGCTGCAGCACAGTGGGGAGGGACAATGTGAGTATCCACCCAGAGCTTGAACCCCACAACACTGGCTGAAGCCTCAAGGACACTGGATCCTTTCTATGATCCTTTCTAGTGTTTTAATGGGGCAAAGGAAAGTGGTTTCAACCCTCCATCACCTGAGTCCTGGCCCGTATTGGGAGCTCCAGGTGCACAGATGTATAGACAACACAGCAGCTCACACCTACAGACTCCGATACACATCAGCACACACTCAAGCCCTTCCTCACAAAGGTACCAAAATACACACAAAGGGGTCCCAGAATATCAAGCATCACACACACACAAGAACACATACTGACATTGTTTCACACATATGGAAACAAACTTGCATGCAAATGCTTGTACATACAACATGCACCCACCGATACACTCACATTGTTACTTGGGATATCCCAACATGCCATCCATCAGCCCCTGGGGGCCCAGGGTGTCACCCTGCTCTGGGGTCCACAGGGAGCTTGGAAAACGTTTCAGATACCAGGAGCTTGGGGTAGGGATGTGGCCAGGCACCACCTCACTGTCCTACAACTGGCTAAGAGATGGGAGCCTGTGCATGTGGTGACCAAGTCTCAGTGGCACTGGGAAAGGATGGGAGAGTTCCACAGAGCCAGGACTACCTTGACCATCACTCACAACACAGGTGGCAGAAGTGTTCGCCTCCATGGTGGTTGCTGAGACCAAGACCAAACTCCCCGCGCTGCTGTGTGCTGGAGCTGAGCGGCCAGCCTGCTGGGTGGTAGCCTCACCCACTGGTTCCACTGCAGGCTGGGGCCTGGAAGAGGTCCCGTGGGACTCTGCTGGCTGGGGCAGCAGAACCAATGAGCTCTCTCGGGAGGCCGTCCTGGCCGAGATGTGGCTCAGTGGGTGAGAGGTGGGCCCCAGGAGCACCGTGCCAGCCCAGGGGCCCTCGGCTTTAGTCACCAAGGGAGCATATGTGTGAGCTGCAGTGGGCGTGAGCTTTGTGGTCAGGCCTCCCTGGGCAGAGGCATGGACAGAGGCAGGCAGGGACACCTGCTTGGACAGCACAGCCAGCTTCTCTGTGGGGCTGCTTGGTGGGGTCACGGAGGCTGTGAAGGCTGCCCCTGCTCCAGAAGTGGGCAGCATGGTCCCTAGAGGCAAGCCTGCAGCCGGGGGCACTGTGTGCCTGGGTGGGTATGATTGGAACAGCTTGGCTGGGGTGTGAGACAGAGCTGGGCTGAGGATCCGAGCAGGTGGAGCGGTGGTCATGGCAAGAGAGGTGACCTGCTGCTGGGGTGACGGAGTAGTAGCAGAGACTTTGGGGCCAGGTGTGGCTACTGGGGCAGATGTGCCCACCTTGGCCAAGGGAAGACTAGTATCGGGAGGTAGGCCAGAGAGGAGCTTAGATGGCTGAGTGGATTCCAAAGACATAACAGGCGTGGCCCCCACCCTGTGAGCAACTGTGGACAGGCTGGTGGCAGCTGGCATGCCTGGGGGCCTGGTGGCTATTGTGCTGTGCTGGGCAGAGTATGGTGGGGCAGTGGGGACTGGGCTTAGAAGCAACAAGGCAGGCAGGCCCCCAACCTGGCCATGCCCAGGTTGTTCCTTCTCCAGCCCCTCGGTTATCAGAGGACCAACAGGTGCCTGATGTGTTGCTGTGGTAACCGCAGCCAGGGGGATGCTGGGACTGGAAGTGCTCTGGGCCTGGGAAAGCCCGGGGAGGTCTGTGTCATTAGTGACTTTAGTTTGTGCAGGTGTCTGCAAAGCCTTGTGTGAGCCTGAGGAGGCTAGAGGCCTGGAGGTCCCTCCAGGCAGAGCCCCAGGCCTGAAGGAGGGGCTGGCTGGTGAGGGCAAGGAGCCTGGGCTGGGGACTGTTACAGCTTTGGTCAGGAGTGGAAGGCGAGGTACAGGAGGTGACCTGGAAAAGACTGTGGTATTGGGATCCCCTGCAGAGGTCATAACCACCCTGGTTGTCGCCACGGCACTGGACACAGCACCTGGTGGGGGTGTCTGTAATGAATGGGGAAGGGATGAGGACTCTGGGGCGTGGGGGCTGAATGGGGGAAGACTGGTGGTCACCCCTTGGCCAGCCAGGGCCTCTGTGGTGTGGACAGGAAGGTGAGTCACAGTGAGGCCAGGTGACTGGTGTGGCGTGGGCCGGCTGGAGCGCACAGGCGGTTTGGGTTCTTCAGTGGCTGCCATCCGCGGGCTCAGGGCCGTGGACAGAGGGGTTGCCGGGACAAGGGCAGTCCTGTGAGTAGGCGGTCCAGGGGTTTCTTGGGGAAGTAGTGGTTCCTTATCACCAGGGATGGGGTGCACATGGCTGGCAGGAAAGGTCTCATTGCCAAGGGCTGCTGTGGGGACCCAGGCTGCTGGCTCCACACCTAGGGCAGAGAAAAGAAGAGAGGCTCAGGAGTTGGGGTGTCTACTGAGATGTGGAGCCCAGGGACTGGCACCCTAGGTGGCAGGGCCAGGGTAGCTTCCCACGACCAGGCAGCCAGGGCCGTGTTTGTAACTCTGTATGCCCTCAGATGAAACAGCAGCTCTGGACTTCACCCACATTTTGAACCTGGAGTTCAGAACTCAGGTGTAATCTGGTGGCCCTGCTCACTTGTTCTGAGCATCCACAGAGGCTCCTCCCCCTTGAGCCTCATTCTGTTGCTGTGATGGGGCCCCCTGAGCCTCTGCATGCTCTAGGGTGTTCTCCAGGAGACCCAGTGCAGATCCAGCCTATACAGGGCATGGGTGCCCTGAGGCCTGACTGCTCCCAGGAAGCCGGATTTAGGGGAAACCCCAGGGAGGAGGGGTGCTCCAGGCCACTCACAGTCCTCCAAGTAGACACATCTCTGCGTGACTTCATCCAGAACCTTGGGCAGGGGGCACACGGGCACACAGCCTTCTACCCTGAGGACAGAGCAGGTGGCGGGTTGGTGGCTTCCACGGCTTCCTCTGACACATTTGTACATGCATGAGCAGGTGCACTGTGTCCACACGTGGGCCTCCATACTGTCACATATGTGTACAAAAACATGCATACCCAAATATGCAAGCCACACATTCCCTCGTCAAACTGAGGGAGAAACCCACACACAGGGTGTGGTCGTGCTGTCCACACACTTGTGCCCACCCTGTGCACTCACACAGCCTCACATCCACCCTTCGATCCTGCAGAACTCCAAAATATTTACCCACATCTACACATCACTCAGACTCCCACAAATACCAAGATGTACACCCCCGTGCACACACACCTGGCTACATGCAGCACGCATACACGTATAGCTGTATATGTACAGCTCATACATATGCGCAACTGCGTACAGCTCATGCACCCTTGCACACGCACACAAAGCTCAGCTATATGCTCATGACGTACAACAGACAATGCATATTTACACATACTGCACTTTTAAAGCCAAGGTTCATTTATCACACAGCACACATACGAGTATGTGGGTTCACTTACTCATATACCCTCCCACAGACCACATGCATGCATTGCATGATCACACCAGAAGGCACACATGTGTGTTCACACACACACTGCTTGCCGCACACACCTCACCTGGGCACATCTTGGCAGCTGGCTGCACGCGGATCCCGACAGGTTTGGAAGCAGGGGCTGGCACAGGCATCATAGTGCCATTCACAGGTGGGGTAGGCAGCGCCTGAGGGCTTGGCATCTGGAAAGGGGACCCACCCCAGACCCTCTGGGCCAGGGACCACAGCACAGGTACTCCCAGCTGAGCCCATGCCTGCCCCTGGGCTAGACAGATTCACTCAGCGAAAGTGAAACCAAACTGTGAGGAACTGAATTCCTGAAGGTTGGGGTCCACATCTGAGGGCACAGTGTTGGGAACTTGGTGTAGGGAACAGATCTGCAGGACTCAGCTGTGGGCAGAGTTGGGCTTCCAGGGGTAGCCAAAGAGGAGGCTTTGGCACCAATATGTGTGTAAGGCTGTCCGTACCCTGACTCTTGTGCCCTGGTGCCAGACTTGCCCTATGTGCCATGACCCAGCTACCTCTTCATGCTGGCTCCCGGCAGGGCCGCTACAGGCTTCCATGGAGGCAAGCGGCCTCTCCCTTGAGAGGCAAGGTGAAGTGCACTGGGGGACCACTGCCTCTTCTAGCCCAAAGCCCACTCCTGAGCATTTGACCCCAGGTGGCTGTTTCGCCCCAGGCGCTTCCCTCTCTGTCCCTAGAGGCCTCCCTGCATCAGCCCCTCAGGACTCGAAGGTATAGTTTGAGGACTGCCCTGGAGACCAGGGGCCAGCATTGTGGTGTTGCAGGTTAAGCTGCCACCTAGAACACTGGCATTCCACACAGGTGTAGGTTGAGTCCTGGGTGTTTCACTTCTGATCCAGCTCTCTGTTAATGCATCTGGGAAAGCAGTGAAAGAAGACCCGAATGCTTGGGCCCCTGCCACCCACACAGGAGACCCAGGTGGAATTCCAGGCCTCCAGTTTTGGCCTGGCCCAACCCAGGCCCTTTTGGCTATTTGAGGAGTTAGCCAGCAATGGGCAATGACAAACCTGCCCTGGTGGCACTTCTTGACCACTGGGTGGAAGAGCAGCTCTTCCAGGCAGAGGAAAGAACAATGTGGTGGGGCCCATGCACCTGCAGAGGCATGGCAAAGACCTTGGAGCCTGGATAGAAGATTATGAGCTGCCTCAGCAGTGCCAAGAGGCCTGCCTGGGCTTCCTGTAAACGGGTGCATACGGTACTAGTTTCCAGGGACAATCTGAGCTGGTTTAGGGGACAGCCATGTGCCCCCAGTAGCAAGAAAGCTGAACCACAGAGTGCTCCCTTGAATTCCAGCAAGGACATGTATTTTTAGACCATGGACTTAGCCAGTGGAAGGAGACAGGACCCAAGCTAAGCTGCCTCGGCTCCCTGGGCTCCTATCACGGAGGCTGAGTTTGTCTCCTCTCCTCTCCAGTGTCTGGGTGCCCAGAAAGGGACGGGTCCTTGTCTGGTAGGTTTAGGGTGAGGATGGAAAGGGCAGTAGAGAAGGCTGGAGGGGGAGGGCACCTACCCAGGAGGCGGAACAGTGTGCCCCAGCGGAAGGCCTCTGTGTGTTCGTATAGCCGCAGGTTCAGTGTAGGGCCTGCCACCATCAGGAAGGAGCCGGGCTTTGCCAGGGACTCGATGGCCATGTGGCCTGGCTGCCATGTGCCCCGGTGCAGCAGGAAGGAGGCATGGCAGTGGAAGGTTTCACCACGCTGCCACTTGGCCATCTCCAGTGACCCGTTGGCCGTGACATGGAGGAAGAAGTTGGGTCTGTCAGCTGCCTCCAGGGACACAGCGTCTGGGTCTGCACAGAGCCACATGGGTAAGATCAGTACAGAGGAAGGGCCACAATCCGGTGGGCATATCCCTGTTGGGGGGCTCTGTGGATTCCTGGGGCCCATTCAGTGACTGCCTCCTGGCCATGGCTCACATCACCTCGGAGGGCAGGCAGAGGGTTTCCAAGGGCTCAGCTTCTGAGCCCACAACGTGGCTGCCATCTCTCCTTCCTTCCCCTCCCTCTTCCCTTCCTCTGCCTTCTGTCCTTTGTGCCTTCCATGTGCCTGGTGCTTGCTGAGACCCCCAGGCTGATGCAGTGACAAAAACAGAAACAGCCACCCTGACATGGTGGGCTGCTCGAGTGGGACTTGGGGCTCCCTGGGCAGAAAATGAAAAGCGTCTCTTCACTCAGCTGGTCAAGTGGCACCTGTGATGCCCCCTCCCCAGATGGCACAGGGAGGCCTCAGCACCCTCTCTTCCCCCAGTACCTGACTCTCTCCCCCAGGGCTCAGATGGGGCCTGGCAGGTCTTACCATGGGCCTTGGCCTTGCACAGAGCTGAAGTCAGCAGGAAGCTCACAATGTCTCCTGGTGTCACATCCTCTAACCTCATGAGAACCACACCTTCGCCCCCTGCCTTCCCGGCTACCAGGGCACCCCCGGCCGCCACACTGGCCAGATGGTAAGGGCCTCTACCAAGTGCTGCAAAGACAAGCCTGGTCCTAAGTCTTGCCTCCCCAGATCTTTGCCCACCTCCCTTTCCACCTGCCCCACCAGTCAGTTAGGGTTAAAGGGAGGGCGTGCAAAATGCCAACCCTAGTCAGTTCTCTCCCCTTTGCCTGCCTGGTTCCAGGGATGGCATGGACTGACTGGCACCTCAAGGAACATCAACCTCCCCAGGGTCTTTAGTCGTGGCCACCCTGACAGCATATGTATCAGAGCACATCTTGCTGTTCTGCCACCTTGGCTAAAGCTACAGGGACACATGGCCAGACAGCCACCCTCAAAAAGAGCAACTTTCACTTGCTTTCACCAACTTGAGATTTCAGGGGCCAAAGAGACAAAGTTCCCTGGGCCTGGTGAGCAGTGGAGCCTGGGAAGGCTGAGGAACTGGCACATGTGTGTAAATGGGCATTTATGTCCTGGTGAAAGCCTTGGGACACATGAAGCTGGTCTGGCCCAGGCCCTGGGCAGTGGCTGCAGGGCAGCTCTGGGCTAGGCTCTACACCTGCAGGACTCTCTTTGCATGCCAGGCTTTCCCAAGACAGGCAGAGCCTCGGGCTGGCTAGTGTTGCTGTGTCCCGAGAGCAGGGCAGGGCAGGCCTGGCTTACCTTTATTGAAGAAGTCACAGTCGTATGCTGAAAAGAAACATTACAGACACTGCCTGAGAGATGGCCAGGGTTTGTGCCCAAGCCTCTGTCCCTCCCCAAGGGTGGGGCCAGGGCTGCCTCCTCCCCCTGCCCCAATATTCAGGGCTGGTCACTGGGTTTGGGCATCTTATTGGAGAGGAAATACAATGGTTCCCCTTCACCCTCCCAGCACAAGACTCAAGGCCTGGCTCAAGACAGGCTCTTGGCACATGCATAATGAATGACTCTTGGGCAGAAGTGTATGTTTTGCGTGGTCCCAGAGGGCAAGAGTTTAGAATCAGAATGGAAGATGTGCAGAGGTATCCAAGCACAGGACGTGCTGACAAGCTGCTTCTGCAAGTGTGAGCTCAACACGCACTCTGGTGGTCAAAGTCAGCATTACAGGCTGTTGGCCCAGGGCCTCAGCAGTGCAATCCTCTGTCAGCTGGCTACAAGGCAACAAAAAGCAAGTTGAGTGGATGTGGGATAAAGGCTGAGGAGGGTCCTGCTTTGCACATAGGTGTGGTCTAACACCATACCCCAAACCCAACAGTTAACATGCTCAGCATCGCCCTCGGAAAAAGGGCACTTGGAATTGGACCACTGGCCCACTGGGTCAGCGGGAAGAGGCCCAGGGAAGCATGGGACGCGAACTGCCTGTGATCAGACCTACATTCAAAGCTCCTCTCTCACTCACCAACTGCAGGTAGTGGGAGAAGGTACTTAACCTCTGTGAAATCTTTCCAAAAAAGTATAAAAATCCTAAAATAGACAGGATCAGTAATGGTGATTCCTGAAAGTCAAAGGCAAAAAAAAGAAAAACCACCCACGTGACCCTCTGATATTTTGTGTACCAAGGAGTTTTTTGTGTTTTTTTTTTTTTTGCATTAAAAAATTACTGTAGCCATTTGAGAGGGGAGAGAAAAGGAGAAAGGTAGATCTCTCATTTGCTGCTTCAATTCTCAAATACCAGCCAGGCTAATCTGAGTCAAATCAGGAACTCCACCCAGGTCTCCTATGTGGGTGATGGGGACTCAGTCACTTGAGTCTTCACTGCCACTTTCCAGGGTCTGCCTTAGCAGGAAGCAGGGTCAAGAGCCGACACCTGGGCCCAGAACAATGACTCGGTGGCTAAACCCTCGCCTTGCATGTGCCAGGATTCCATATGGGCACTGGTTTATTTCCTGGCTGCTTCACTTCCCATCCAGCTCCCTGCTTGTGGCCTGGGAAAGCAGTCAAGGATGGCCCAAAGCCTTGGTGCCCCTGCACCTGCATGGGAGACCCAGAAGAAGCTCCTGCTCCTGGCGTCTGATCAGCTCAACTCTGGCCATTGCAGCCACTTGGGGAACAAACCAGCGGTTGGAAGATCTTTTCCTCTGTCTCTCCTCTCTGTAAAATCTGACATTCCAATAAAGAAAATCTTAAAAAGAAAACAGAAAAAGAGCTGCGAGCTGAGTGGAGACATTGTGGCCATGTTTAAACTGTAATGAGTGTGGTGAGCCTGTCCTTCCTGAAGGGTCGCAGCAGAACAGCAGAGGAAGAGGCAGTCCCAGGAAGGCCCCGGATCTCAGCGAGAGCCAGGCTGGCAGCCTGCCCATGGCAGCTTGGCCCAGGAGCATGGGGGGAGGCAGGTACCAGATCATGCAGGTCCAAACCCTGGCTTCACTGCTAATCTGTGAGAGCCCCAGGTTCTCTCTATAAACTTCAATTTCCTCAACTAGAAGAGGAATTCATTCTCTGACTTCACAGGGTGATGGTAAGAAGCTGAACACACATGGAACAGGAGGCCTGGCCCCTGGAAAGCACCTGGCCATGGTGGGCCCCGGGAGTCCCTCAGAGGGCTGAGGTAGGTCACTCACGGCAGAGGCGTGGGCTGCGCCAGTCCACAGCCACTCCATGCTGGCAGCACTGGTGCGCGTAGGCAGCCACGCTGGCACAGAAGCACTCGCAGTCCCCGCCCCGGCTGCACCCACATGTGTCGGTCAGGCAGTTTGAGTAAAACCAAGTGACATCAACCTGGGGGAGGTCAGGGGTCAGAGGTCAGCTCCTGAATGTCCAACCCATGTTTTTTCACCTGCTGGCCACCAGGACAAACCAAAGCACCATGGAATGGGGCACCCACTATGTCAGGGAGAGGGGAGGAAGGTAGCCTTGTGAGAACCGTGCTCTGTCCCCACGCCAGCTCCAGGTCCCACCTCTGTACCTGAGGTGTCCTTTCTGAGGCCTAGGGTTGTCTCAGAGCAGAAGGGACCCCGGGGAAGGTTCGGGAGTGGCCTGGCTGGCACTCACCACAGGGTGGCAGGTCTCGAACACCTCGCTCAGCAGAATACCACACTGCTTCTTGGCAAAGGGCTCTCGGAGGGGATTCAGGACGCAGGTGTCCCGGTGGTCCAGGATGTCTGGGCACTGAGGGGCAAAAGCAAGCAGGACTGGTTGCCACTACCCCCATGTTCTGGTTCAACCCTCTCCTCCTAGTGTGGGAGGGGCCTGGGACTTGTTCCAGAGCCATAGAGGGAGGTGTCCGAGGGGAAGGCATGGGCATGCATGGGCGGTCACAGAGCCCAGCTTGCCTCGAAGCAGTGAGCTGGGGAGCTCCAACTGGAAGCTCTGTCCCTGCACTGGACAGCTGGATGCCACTGCCAACAGCAGTGGTGGCCTCCCTGAGCCTCCAGATGAGAGGTCAGCCCTGGCTGACATCTTGATTGTGGAATTTGTACTCAACAGATAATGGAGTGCAGCAAGGACTAACTGAACGTGCTGTTTAATGCTGCTCAGCTTGTACTCACAGGGCTGCACAGCAATGAGTAACTGGTGGACATGTCGCTGGGGTGTGCTGGGCCCCCTGCCTGCACCTGCCTGGAGCCCTAGTACATGCTTGAGGCAATCAACAAGACAGCAATGCACAGGGACAGCCAAGGTGGGCCATCCCCTCATCTGCTCTGAAATGGGAGGGATTAGGGCATACTTTTCTTCTGGACACACCTGGGATTTCAGTGATCTCTAGGTTATGGCCAACTGTGTCCCTTCCCCCCATCTACACAGGCCCTTGTGTACCTGCTAGCAGAGAAAGAGGATCACTCAGCCAAAGAACACCAATACATAATACTCACGTCACTACTCTTCCTGGCCACACCCAACGGCAGACATAAACAATTGATCACAGGCCCCTTCCAGCAGAGTCCTCACAGACAAGTCTTAAAACAACCCCTTCTGAGCAACTACAGTTTTCCTGTGAAGTAAAATCTACACACTTCACGGAAGACCACAGAGAGGGTGGCTCTTGCTGTAGCTGTCACCTGCTACATCAGCATCAGATGAGCTGAGACAAGAAGCCAGGCTGTTTGCTCATGGTTCAGTGTTCTTTGCAGCACTGCCCTATTCCTGGCACATGGCACATGGCATGGCAGGCTCAGACACTTGCTAGACCTCAAGAATGACCCCTCATATCTGCATCTGCAAATGCTGTCTTCCCTCTTAGAGGCTTTCTATCTGACCTACTCATCTACTCCAGTACAGCTGTTAAGTCTCAGCACAGGAGTCACCTCCTACATGAAGTCTTCTTTGATAAATGGAACACTTGCCAGTCCCTCTCAGTCTCCCCTCTTGTATCAGTCTTGCTTTTAGGACTAGGAGGCACAGAGACCGGAAAAATGGCCACACATCAACCAGCCTCACCTTCCCCACTTGGGGACAGAGCAGCTGACTCCTTCCCAACCCCCTCACCCTCCCACCAGGGCTTTGTCCAAGATGGAATGGAGAGTTGGATTAGAAATGCAGGATGACGCATGGCATTGGGCCATAGTACAGCCCAGGATGATGGAGGGTGGCCTGAGGTTGGGAGCAGGTCCAGGAGCAGTGTCACACTTCCCCAGTCTGGGGCCAGGTTCAGGGTTGATCAGTGCAGTGCCCACCTGAGGGTAGAAGACATGAACCAGAGCAGGACAGGATGAGGCTTTACCTCCACAGCAGCCCAACTGCTGCCAAATTCCTGGGGGTTAGTCAGTTCCAGGTTCTCCGGAGTCCTCATCTCATTGACTGTCTTCAAGTCAAAGTTCCCACAGAGGCCTGCCAGCTGACCCTAAAGGGAGAGAGGAGCCCAGGGTCAACTACAGGGACATCAGGGGCGAGTCAAAGAAGCAGCTTCTGGGGCCACTGCTGAGAGATGGGAAGGGTTGGAAAGAAGACTCTGGCAGAGTAGGGTGGGGTGGGCTCCTCTTGGCTGCTCAGAGGGGAGGTTGACTCAGCCCTAGCAGGTGCAGAGGTCCCATGGAACCCCTGCCCACATGACTACCTGCCATTGTGGCCCAGCCTGCACATGAACTGTGGTCCTCTGGTCCCACAGGAGGGTGATGTGTTCTCGTGGGAAGTGCACCAGCGTGAAGAACCCCGCTCTCCACATGTGCACCTCCTGCTTCTCATCCAGGAAGCTCTCAGGACTCTGGGGATTAGGAGGTGGACAAAGATGATCAGACCTGTGGCCCAAGTGCCTCTCCACTCCCCCAAGCCCACCCTGAGGCCCTACCCAGCTCGCTCCAGGACCTCACCAATGCACCTCTTCCCCTGTCCCAACAGTGATCTCTCTGTTCAAGCCCCTGGCCGAGGCATTCAGCCCCAGCCTCTGGTGACCTTCAAATGGACATGGGACCTTGCCCTCCCCATCAGGGACTCTTACAGGATTTCCTGAGTCATCATCAAAGATGATGAGTGAGTTCCCAACACTGATGGAAATGAACTTCCTGCAGATGACACCAGAGCTGTAGCAGTTCACGTTCTCTACAATCACAGAGAAGCTGGAATTTGATGTACTCTGAGGGGCAGGAAAACAAGAAAGTTTGGTAGCACCAGGGAAAGGGGAGATCCTGCTGGTGGGGTACAGGGCAGAGCTACAGGAGCTTGGCGGTGGTTCCCCTTCCACTTCCTCTGGGCGACTCCAGGCAGTGCAGTTTGCCAGAGCTTGTTTCCCATTAGGGTGCCTGCTGCAGCGTGGTGCCCAAGGCAACTCTCCCCAAGGGTTCTGATGAGGCATAAAATTCATTCACATAGACCAGGGAAACCAGATGCTGACAGGGTGACAGGGAAGGGCAAAGGACTGTTCAGAGGGTGGAGGGCCAGCACTGGACGACGGGTCAAGTGCACATACTTCTGACTACCACAGTTCCACTGCTGAGAAACTCGACAGACACTCCCATGAGTGTTTGCAGCAATGCCATAACACCAAAGCAACCCAAATGCCCTTCAATGGGGGTATAATCAAATTATCTAAGGTACACCCCTGAATCCCTGGGTTCCACATCCTGGACTGAACCAGCCATGGAGCAAAAACAAAACAAAACAACAACAAAACAAAAACTGTACTGAACATGGACAGAAATGTTTTTGCTAATATTTCCCAAACAATACATCACACCAAGTATTTACTTAGCACTGACATTGTATGAGGAACTATAAGAAATCCAGTGATGTTTAAGGGTATGAGAGCATTGCACAGATTATATGCAAATCCTACAGCTGAATTGTGGTCTCCGAGAGGAGTCCCAGAACCAGATTCCCCCAGGCATCAAGGGTCACCAGTCTTTCTGTCAAATCCTTTCAAAGCTGTTAGAAAGCATGCAATGATTCATAACTGTCGGACTATCAAAACCACTTGGGCAAGACCCTTGGAGCGTGCCCCACATCGGGGACCTGGGATGGGTGGGAGACTGGGTGGGACTTCTCCCTTTACCTCCCCCTTTATCCCAGACATAGAAAAAAAATGTATAGAAATGATAGTCTTACCCACTTTCCTGTAGCTCTTGAACCTTTATGCCCTAATTAACTATGTAAAGATTGTCAAAAATACAATAAAAATGGAAAAAGAAAAACATGCAATGAGCGTTGATCACACTCAGGATCTTCGATGACATGAACGCAAGATGACAGAATCCTAGTAACGGAAATAAAAGGGGGAGAAGACAAAAGAGAGGAGAGAAAGGAGAGAGAGGGAATAGAGAGGAGAGGGCACAGAAGGAAAAGAAAGAGGAGAGAAAGAGGGAAGAGAGAGGGGGAAGAGAGGAGAGAGAGTAGAAAGAGAGAGGGAAAGGGGAGAGGAGGGGGGGAGAGAGGCAAGGGGACAGAGGGAACGTGTGTCCACCAGTCTGTCTGAGAACATGGTCTTTCTTGTTCTACAGCAAGAGAGAGATGAAACAGGAAGCAAAATATTTGTCTTTAATGCACACTTTTAGAAGAAGATTTTGTTAGTAAAGGGCATATACTATGTTTAATGTCTAACAAATAAAACAGAATCAATAAACTTTATCTTGTATTATAATTGAAATTAGGTGAAAGGTTTCAAAGTTTCTTCCCCATAAAAAGGATTCAAACATTTTGCCATTATTAGTACTGCTGTTGCTGCTCTTACACTTACCTAAGGAGACAATTGTCCCTTGGCAAAATGACAGACCCTGGGTGTAACTAGTATGCCCTCCCCCTGGCCTGTTGATGTCCTTCCTTTCCCTCTGGGGATATTCTGGCTTCACTGTGCTGCCCAAGGTCACCAGTCCCTGTCTTCCAGGTCAGCTGATGCCTTTGACACACAACTCCTGTGGCATGTCAGTCTAAACCCTGGCTTCCACATTGTCACCAACCAGCTATGAGACCTCAAGTGGGTCTCCTCAGTACACTAAGCCCAAAACTCTATACCTGTAACAAGGGATCAGTCAATTCAGCCTTATATAAATAAGTGACCAAACCTACAAAATGGCTCAAGAGACCACTAAAAATACACAGGGTAAGAATTCGAATAAGCAGGCCCTGTACGGTAGCCTAGCAACTAAAGTCCTCTCCTTAAACACACTAGTATCCCATATGGGTGCCGGTTCTAACGCCAGTGGACCTACTTCCCATCCAGCTTCCTGCTTGTGGCCTGGGAAAGCAGTGGAGGATGGCCCAAGGTCTTGGAATCCTGTACCCGCATGGGAGACCCAGAAGATGTTCCAGGCTCCTGGCTTCGTAATGGCTTAGCTCCAGCCATTGTGACCTCTTGGAGAGTGAATCAATGGACAGAAGATCTTCCTTTCTGTCTCTCCTCCTCTGTTTATATCTGACTTTGCAATAAAAAATAAATAAATTTAAAAAAACCTCAAACAAGCATCAGCTCTGACTCTTACAGGCAGGAAAACCCTTGGAACACAGATGGGCAAAGACCGTGGCTGTGAATGGACAGGAAGTGTCATTAGCCTGGTGGATTCTGGCCAGCCCTGGGCTTGCTCCTCCACTCTTCCTTTAGTCTCCAGCAGCCACCTGCCCAGGGCTTAGGGCAGCTCCCTCAGAACCTGCTGGCTGGATCCAGCCAAGAACTCACCTTGATCAAGTGCACTTTACAAGCCCCCACAAAATCAAATGGGAGCCCATCGAAGGTGCGGTAATGGCGGTCAGCATACGCAGTGCAGGTGGCAGCACAGGGGTGCAGGACACACTGGAAGGAGCCCTGTTGGCACAAACTGAAACATACATGCCCATGTCAGCTTGCAGGACCCACCCGTCCCTGACCTGAATGCTCATGTCAAAGGCATGACTGTAGAATGCACACCATGTGATCTTGAAGAGAGGGTCCACAAATATCACCAACCCCCAACAGAAGCCTGGGGGATGGGACAGTGACCCCTATTTTACATGGGGAGACACTGGAGCTCAGAGAAGTTCTGGGCCACACAGTCAAAAATGAATGGAGCTGAGACAGACCCAGATCTGTTGGACTCTGAAGTCCATACTCTTCAGCATTCCATTCCATTCATTTACCAACATTAGAGGCCTGCCATCTCCTACGCATGATTCCAAGAACTTAAATACTTTGGTGAAAAAACCCTCTGCTTTAATGAAACTACAGCCCAGAGGGGAAAGACACCTATTAAAAAGTTTACAATGAGTAATACAACATGTTAGAAGGCAATGAGTGCTATGCTGGAGTCAGGGGCAGGATGAAGGGGATTGGGAATGTGTGTGGGAGCGGATCAGAGTCTGAAATAGTGAGGTCAGGGGAAATGTGAGCAGAAGTTTGAGGATGCAAAAGTTAACTGCATGGATATCTGGAAGAGAAGCATTCTTCAGATGACCGTTAGCACACAAGGTCCTGGGGGTGGGGGGTGTTCTGAAGACAACACAGCCAGAGTAGGGAGCACAAGGGTGAGAAAGTCGAAGAGGAATTCAGAAGGGTAACAGAAGGTTGAAGGAAATGGGTCTGAGAAAACCGTGTTGCCATTTGCTAGGAATTGGAGGAAGGATCATTGGAGGATTTGGTGAGATCCAATGTATGTCTTGTTCTGGCTATGCCACTGAGTCTGAGCTTCTGAGGAACTAGGAAAAGCAAGAAGGCCAACCACAAGACTATAATGGGAAGTAGGAGAGCAGATGATGGCAGCTCAGGGTAAAAGAAATGCAAGGAATGACAACTGGTCCAAATCCAGGTATTCTGACAGGGAAACCAAAAGGATTTGCTGACAGCTGGACATGGGTAGTGAGGAGAGGACTCAAGGATGGCCCCAGGCTTTCCAGCCTAGCAACCACAAGAGCGAAGCCTCCATCAGCCCAGATGGAGAAGCCCAAGAGAAAGCAGGTGGAAGGGGAAAGAGCAGGGATGTGGCTGGGGACACAGTGAGTTTGACTCCCCAAAGACACACAGGTGGAGGCATCAGGGGTGTTTGGAAATGGAAGTAAGAGGGCTAAAACTAGAAGGGAGACCGGACTGGGGGAGTTCACTGTGGTAATAGGTGGGAGGGCGGGAACAGAGGCCTCTGGGGATGCTGCAGTATTGAGATGTTGGGGGTGGAGAAGAACCAGTAGAAGAGGTACAGAGACAGGCAGAAGGAAGGCATAAGAGCATAGTGTCCCAGAAACCTTATGAATGGGGTGCTGAGCAGGAGGAGGGGTCAGCAGGTGAGGAGTGAAAAGTGACTGTGGGATGCAATGACGACCTGGACAGGAATAGCTTTAGTGGAACATGGAAGCAATGCTTGGCTAAAGTGGGCTCAAGGGAGAATGGGAGACTAGGACCTGGAGATAAGGAAAGACAACTTTCTTGAGAAGTTTCGCAATAACCGACAAGAGAAATGTGGCAGTTGCTAGGAGGCAGAAGTCTTCCAAATCACATAGTTGTATACAATGGAGATGATTCAGTAGAAAGAAATAACAGGTTGATTTTGGCATGAGAGGAGAGAGTTGCCATGGTGATGTCATGGGTAACTGAAGGGGCTGGGTTCTGGAGTACAAGGGGAGAAACTTGTTTAGTGCACATAGATGCTTAATGTACTTATGGTACGGGTGCAAGGCAGAGGACAGAGTCTGAAAGGTTGTCTTCTAATTATTTCACTTTTCTTGGCATATAGGAAGCAAGGCAATAATTTGAGGAGGAAGGATGAGAGAAAAGATGAGAGAAAAGGGGAAATGGTCAGGGCTTTTAGGAGAGAGGAAAGAATCCTCCCAGGAGGGTGAAAAAGGAACAAAGCTAGGCAAACAGCAAGAGCACCTTTCAGATGTAAGACTTTCTTGAGGTTCCAAAACCCAAATCAAAACAGACCAGGCAGCCTGGCTCTGTGCTTCCCTTCAGCCATGTTTGGTTGTGCAGGTGCAGAGGAAATACAAAAGGGTGGATTGCAACAGGTTTGTGGTTTACCAAACAAGACAAAGCAGGAGAAGTTAGAAGAATTGCAGTTGTATTTCAGAACTATCAGTAGGGCTAGAACATGGGTTTAGTCAGAAAGAAAGGGAAGGGAAGGGAATTGAAAGGGATCTGGGAGGAGAAAGCCAACAGAGAGGGATAGATTCTATTGATTGGAAGTCTCCATGAGTTGAAATATTAACTACATTAGGGTCCTAGAGGCAATGGGGTAGAAAGAGACCAGATGGGTGTGACATATGAAGCTGGGATATGAACTGGCTGAGTTCTTTGGAGTGGCAAGATCACTAGAATGCTCAAAGAGCATTGGAATAGAGAAAAGGAAGGAATGGAGAAGCCCAGAGACACCAGACACATCTTGTTAAGTTTTGAATAATAGTGACCATGTTCTTCAAAGCTCCCCGTATTGGGAGCATAAACTCCAATGCCTTATGTTATGGTTAATGAATTTATGCTCGTGGTTGATGGAGTAAAGGAGGAGACTTGATGCAATTATGGCATTGAGGAGGCAGGTCCATTAGGAGGGCTTCTGATCATCACACACTTGTCTGAAGAAGTCAGTTTTCATGAGAAAGTTGGTTATCTAAGCCAAGTTGGGCCTTTTCACTGCAGTTTCTTGGCCTGACATAACTTCACTCTAGTCTGCCATTGTCACTGCCAGACCAACGGGGCCACCAGATCTTGGTCTGGGAACCTCCAAACAACACCACACTGAAATATACCTTCTTTTGGTTCCAAGAGGCCTATCTAAGATATCATAATTAAAGTAATAAAAAGATGACTAATACACACCTGTTATATATTGAACTTTCAAGAATTAAGGCAGGAGCAGGGCTGAGTGCAGTGACAATGAATCCTAGAGCTAATACCTTCAGGAGTAAAGTAGTCTGATCTGGGGCTCTGTGAGTGACAGCACCAGTGCACCTGCCATAGACACACCCAGTCACTCATAAGCCCACATCTTCCTGAGCCTGTGTACACATTTAATCATACACATTCCTACATGACTTAGGTACACATGTAATATCAATATGCCCAATGGGACTGAAATACCACTGCCAACATGTGATGCTAGTGAACACAGACTTGGGAAGAGATGGGAGGGCAAGCCTCATTCTGGTGAAAAATCCTATCAAATGCTCATCATACCACTCCAACCATAGCTCCCATCCCCACTTCCCCACAGGTGATCAGCTACAGTCTAGGACACAAGAATAGGTGATGCAAAGGTCTGCAACATGAACTCAGAAGGTAGAATTTTAAAAAAGGAGTCAAAGAGCAGGCATTTACCCACATAGTCCACTGCTTTCTAAGGGACAGAGGACAACCACCCTAAAGCCCAAGCAGTCTCTCCAGTGAAGACAGAAGCCTCTACATCCTAAAAACAATCCAGGCCCTGGGCCCTGGCTCCACACTCTCTCCACCACCTCCTGCCCCATGTCTGATTCCTGAGCTCGGATTGCTTACAGGAGAGGATTCAGCCCAGCTCAGCATTGCCTGTCTGTCAGGGCTGGGATCCTGTGAGGTTATGAAGTGAGTCAGTCTCTGAGCCCTTACACTCCTCGTTCAGGCCAGACAGCCCCAGTCTCTTGCCCCATACAGCTGGCATCTCTGATCAACTGCGTCCTACTAGAGGCAAAAATCCAGTAAACACTTGAGAGCACAGCCTGCCCAGAGCTCTGTGTCCTATAGACTTCTGGGGTCAGCCAGCTAGGGCTCACGCCCTTCAAATCTACTCTCACATATCTGGGGAGACCAACCTTGGACAGCTGGGCTTGACAATGACCCTGTTACTAATGGAGAAAACAATGTCAGGGCCATCCTCTACGACAGAGAAACACTGGTTTTAACCTGGGCGCTGGACATGGACTGGGTCTGGTGGGATGGGCCCCCAAGACAGAACCCATCTGTGCTCTGTTGGACCCTGGACTTCCTGCTCACATGAGGCCACCCCTGCCTATTCTTGACATTGGAACAGTCAGTTTGCTTCCTAGCATCAGGGCACTGGTTAATACTTCTTGCTCTCTCCTTGAGTTGGCCAAATCTCTACCCACTTCCTAACTCCTGCTGCTGGGCCCAAAGCAGGCCCTACAGAACCAGCTCCAAGTCTGCTTCCATTGAGTCCAGTCCAGGTACATGCTTTCCCACATATGTATACTTGCATTACCAAACATAAAAATATGCTCTCATATAGGCTCACTTCTACATACAGATATGGACATAGTCAAAGGTAAACACAAATGCACACATACATGTTCACTCATGTGTGAACACAAATGTGAATACCCATATTCACATACTTTCTACATGTCTATACATACTAGTGAATGCATATGCACAAAACATAATGTGTGTATCTATAAACACATCTATCCATGCACAACTTCCTAACTATGTTTTCATTGACGTACTTAGATGCATGAAAATCTGCCATTTTATAGACATCCATGTACATGCATGCTCACATGCAGTCTATGCAACTTGGATTTACACCCACATTTATGTGTTCATATAAATATACAATCATATTATCACAAATACAACTTTGGTCATATACACATATGTTTGAACTCACATTAATATAAATACAAAAATATTCCCCAAATATTCTGCTATATGATTAGAACTACATATATACCCATACCCTTATACAACACTCAAATATGCGACACAAATACTACATGGTAGAAGAGAAATGCTATATTATATCCATGATGATGCACCTCATATCTGTGCTGTCCCCTGCAAAGAGCAAGGCCTTTTGGAGAGCCCTCACTTACCAGGTATGGCAGGGAGACATCACCTGATCCCCAGGAAAATATTCCTTCCCCTTCCAAGTGCATGGGCACTCCTCTGGCAGGAAACATGTATCTCCATGTCTGAGTAAGCTGTAGGGATGCATCAAGCAAGTGGTCAGGAGGCTTTCTGCCCCTATCTGTCCAACCCTGCCCTCCACATAGTTGGCCCTCACATATACCACCAAGAGCTGCAGCCCAATCAGAGTGACCCCCAGTAGCCCCCTCGGGGCTGGCCCCCAACCCTGGTTTTTGTGACTGCCAGCATGCGCAGTGGATTGGTCTGGCCTGTGCCACATCTCATTCAGCTCTCATATTTATAATTGGGCATTGAAACCTAACTCATCCCAACTGACTCCACTATCTTGTCCATACTCATGGCAGTAGGTGCTATCACCTGTTTAACCAGGCCAGCCCCTAGTCCTGGTTCTCATGCCCACCAGTGGGAGTTGTAGCCCATCAGAGAGGTGTCCACGGTTTCCTTACTGGACTCACTTTCATTTCTGGATCTTGCACTCTTCAGGTGGTTCTGCAGTATAGCCTGACAGGACTTGTCCCCAGCCCTAGCCCTTGCCAGCAGATGCTGTGGGAAAGCCCAACCAGCCTACCCTTACTCTGAGGGCTCATGCTGCACCAGTGGATACAGTCAGTTAGCCCAGTTCACATGCAGGCCAACAGATGTTGTAGTCCTGCCCAGCCTGGTCTGCCCCCAGTCCCAGCTCTCATGCTCACCAGCAGGAGCAGTAGGGTCCCCACTTTCTAGTCTGGTTTCCATGAAATTTGACCCATTTTCAGGTAGAAGCTTTTGTGGCCAATTGGGGAGTGAACCATTGGATGAAAGATCTCTCTCTGTAATTCTTTCCAAGAAAAGATTATATAGTGAACAAAAAAAGAAAAAAGAAAAAAAGAAAAAAAAAAGGTAACCTAGAATTATATATTTAGCAAAAGCATTTGTAACAGTTAACAAATTAAGATACCCAGATATTTCTTAAAGCACTGTTTCTGGACAAATACTTAAGAAACAAAGATAATTATACTTGAGTAGGTAAACTTTAGGGGGTGTTTCTAGAAGAAAATGACATTTGATTCAATGGACAGAATAGAAAAGATCCAATCTCATCCAATGTGGACAGACACATCCACTCAGCCAAGGGCCCAGATAGAGGGGGGAAAAAATCACAGAGGAAGGCCGACTTCACTCTCTTCTGGAGCTGGGACATCTGCTTATCCTGCCCTTGGACATCAGAGATCCTGGTGATCCACCCTTGGGATGTAGCATCTTATACCAGCAGCTCCCCCAACTCCAGCCCCAGAGTCCTGGGCCTTTAGCCTCAGACTGCAAGCAACAGCATCAGTTCCCCTGGCTCTGAGCTCTGTGCACTGGGACTGAGCCCTGCAGCTGCTTCCCATATCTCAGCTGGCCATTCTGGGGCTTGGAGCCTCCATAATCCTATCCCATAGCCAGTTCTTGCAATAAGTCCTTCTTGTTTAGTTACAGTCAACTGGTTCTATGTCTCTAACACAGTATTCTTCATAAATGAAAATGAAGTAAATACGTCTCCAGATAAACAAAAATATGAAGGAATTATTTGCAGTTAGACACTAAAACAGATGTTGAAAGACAGTTTTATAGGAAGAAGGAAGCTCATCTCTATAAGGAAGATTGTTGAAATATATGCTAGCCAATGCTGGAAAATTGTTTAATTTGGACCCAGCGTGATGACTCAATGGCTAAAGTCCTCACCTTGCATGCACCAGGATCACGTATGGGTGATCCGTATCCTGGCTGCTCTACTTCCTATCTAACTCCCTGCTTGTGGCCTGGGAAAACAGTAAATGATGGCCCAAAGCCTTGGGACCTTGTATCTACATGGGAGACATGAAAGAATCTCCTGGCTCTTGGCTTAAGATCAGCTTAGCTCCAGCTGTTACAGCACTTGCAGAGTGAAACAGCAGGTGCAAGATTTTTCTATCTGTCTCTCCTTTCTGTAAATCATCCTTTCCAATGAAAGTGAATGAATATTTTAAAAAAATCGTTAATCCCCCTAGGAGATCATTGATATTTTCCTCTAGTTTTGCAAAAAAAAAAAAAAAAAAGGTGTATTTAATTAATTTTTTGACAATCAGAGTATCATAGAGAGGAGGAGACAGAAAAATCTGGTTCATTCCCCAAATGGCCACAATAATCAGGGCTGGGCCAGATCAAAGCCAGGATCTAGGAACTCCATAGTTGGCAGGAACTCAAATACTTGGGTCAGTTGCTGTTGCCTTTCCAGGAGCATTAGCAGGAAGCTGGATCAGAAATGGAACAGCCAGGACTCAAACCAACATTCTGGTATGGGATTCAGAAATTGCAAATGATGGCTTAATCCACTACAAAACAAAGTCAGCCCTGTGATCCTTTAAAACAAGATTAATACTAATGAAGTGTATGATTTACAACATAAGTAGACATAAAAATACACAGCAATAAAGGACAAACAGGAAACAAGGAAAGTACACTACCTAAGTATTAAAATATTATCTTGAGCACAGCACAATGACTTGATTGGCTAATCTTCTGCCTTGCAAGTGCTGAGATCCCATATGGGTGCCAGATCGTGCCCTGGCTATTCCACTTCCCATCCATCTCTCTGCTTATGGCCTGGGAATGCAGCAGAGCAGTGCTCGAAGCTTTAGTGCCCTGCACCTGTGTAGGAGAGATGGAAGAAACTTCTTGCTCCTGGCTTCATATGGACTCAATTCTGCTGCTGTGGTCACATGGAAAGTAAACCAGAAAATAGAAGATCTTTCTCTCTATCTCTCCTTCTCTCTATAAATGTACCTGTCCAATAAAAATTAATAAATCGTTTTAAAAATGATCTCATAGTAGACTGCAAAAAATGAAAGATACATGTTATGACACCAGGAAAATGACAAAAAAAAAAAAATCCCCAAATCACCAACTTAAAAAAACACTAGACTATTTTTAAAAGCTTGATGAGAAATTGAATTAAAAGATTATTTTAATACAATATAACATGTTTTTGAAATTATATATATGAAGAGTTCATGGAAATGTTTTTTATAAACATTATATTATAAAAAAAAGAATACAGGGATTTCAAAATTGTTTATCCTGGGGGTCTGTGTTGTAGCATAACTGATAAAGCCATTGCCTGAGATGCCGGCATCCCATAGGGGAGTAGGTTTCTGTCCCAGCTGTTCCACTTCCAATCCAGCTTCCTGCTAACAGCCTGGGAAAACCAACAGCAGGTGGCCCTAGTATTTGGGTCCTTGCACCCATGGAGGAGACCTAGAAAAACCTCCTGGCTTTGACTTGGGTTGCCCCTGGCTGTTGCAGCCATCTGGGGAGGGAACCAGCACTCCCTGTCTCTAATTTTTTGAATAAGTAAATAAAACTTCTATCAGGAAAAAAAAAATACATCTTTTTAAAAATATATGGCAAAAAATGTTGCACGCTCACTTGGGGAGTGAATCATCGGACGGAAGATCTTCCTCTCTGTCTCTGCTCCATGTATATCTGCCTTTCCAATAAAAAAATAATAAAATAAATCTTTAAAAATATATATATGGCAAAAAAAAAACCCATCCTAGATATATTTTTCCTCATAGTTGTTTTTGAAGATCCCTCACATAATGTTAAAAAGAAAGTACGTAGCCAGGGAGGTATTTGGCCAGTGGCTAATGTGTTGGTTAAGATGTTCATGTAGGGCACCCAGCACGGTGGCACAGCGGTTAAGGTCCTCGCCTTGCATGCCCGGGATCCCATATGGGCACCAGTTCTATCCTGGCAGCCCCGCTTCCCTTCCAGCTCCCTGCCTGTGGCCCGGGAAAGCAGTTGAGGACGGCCCAAAGCCTTGGGACCCTGCACCCGCGTGGGAGACCCAGAAGAGGCTCCTGGCTTCGGATCGGCATAGCATCGGCCATTGCGCTCACTTGGGGAGTGAATCATCGGACGGAAGATCTTCCTCTCTGTCTCTCCTCTCTGTATATCCGCCTTTCCAATAAAAAAAATAATAAAAAAATAAATTAAAAAAAAAAAAAGACGTTCATGTTGGGGAGAATCAAGATGGTAGAATAGGGTAAGGACTCGTTTAGACAGACGGAAAAACATTTAATCAGGATGAAGCAGAGAGGACATATTCCAGGAAATAGGAGAGGACAGAACAACAGCAGAGGGGCACCTGGAGACTGACAGACACAGGAAAGCAGCGGACACAATGGTGTGGTGTTGCACTGACTGATACTCCAACAGCATTCAGCTAAGGTCAATCTGAACTCCACCAGCAGCCAGAACTTCACCAGCAACAAGGTGGGAAGGGACTTTCACTGGGAACTTGGGAGGTGAACCTGGACAAAGTACTGTCTGTTCTGCTGGTCAGTTTGGTTTGACCAGGAGCAGAGACAGAGCAGCAGATTCCAGAGAGGTAGTACAAGAATAGCCCAGTCAGCCTTTTAGAGCTGAATTGGATGCCATTTTGCATAAGGAGGCAAAGGCAAGGGAAAGGACTGAGCATGCGCTGAGCTAGGAGGGAACTCATTTCTGACTCAGTGAACTGCAGCAATGTGGCATTCTACAGGTTCCACACAAGACAGGTCTGGGTAGCCCTCAGATCTGACAGCCAGCAGATCAAGAACTCTAGTAGTGGTATGTCGGGCGCCATTTTGTACAGTGTGGCAAAAGCTTTAGGACTGCAGAGGACGACAGTGAACTGCGCATGTGCTAATCTCCCAAGAACTCACTGAGTTCCGTGGATTGCACTGGTCCCACAGGAAAATAATACCGACTGTGGCATCGTACAGGTCAAAATAAGTCCGTGTGGCACCCAGACCTAATGTCCAACAGGTTCCAGCAAGATCAGTACCACCAACAACCTAGCTATATAGGACACCTGGTGTCTCCCTAATCCTGGGACCTGCTCCAACCAGAAGTGGGAGAAAGGTTGCAGAGACAAAGGTGCAGCCTCAGCACGGTATCACAGGAGGTGGAGATTGGTGAGCCAGGAGCTGGGGCTATGGAGACCACGGTGGAAATCTAACATAAGAACCCAGACCTGGAACTCGCTGGAGGTTGTGGCACAAGTGGCTGCCAGCAAAGAGTTGTGTACCAACTGCAATAAGTAAAATCAAACTGTAGACCTGTGGGTGAAATAGCTCAGAAACCTGCCCTAAGCAGAAGACTCTGCTAACCAGAAGTGCAATCATCAAGAGCAAAAGAAGAGACAAAGACACAATGAATATTACCCAAAACTCCCCTGCCAAGGAGCAAAACCCTTTGCCAACCTCAGAGAAAATGGGGGACACAGAATTCAGAAAACTCATTTTAAAGCTTCTGATCAAAAATGAGAAGCACATAGAAGAGTTCAAAGAATTTAAGGAAGCAATATTTTACACAAGCAATAGCAGCAATAAAGCAAATCAACGCTGATATATCAGAAATTAAGAACACAGTAGAGCAAATTAAAAGTACAGTGGAGAGTCTCCAAAGTAAAATGAAGCAAGCAGAAGAAAGAATCTCAGAATTGGAAGATATTTCCTGTCATCAGGGGGAAACAAACAAAAAGCTGGAAGCAGAGCTGGATCAGGCCAAAAAAAGTATTCAAAAATTGAAAGACACTGTGAAGAGGCCAAATATAAGAGTTACGGGAGTCCCAGAAGGTGTAGAAAGAGAAACTGGTTTTAGAAATATATTTAATGAAATAATAAAGGAAAATTTCTCTAATCTAGAGAAAGAATTGGGAGACAACATGGCCACAATGCCCAATTCTTTTCCACCACAGTGCCTCCCTTAATTCTTACAATGATCTACTACCTTAGAGTTATCATCCCCATTTTACAGGTGAGAAACAAAGCCCACCTCACTCAAGGTCATGTGGCAGGCAGAAGTACAGCTAGGCACAATACATCCAGGGCTGGATTCCCCCAGTTCCTGCCCTTTCCTGGGCTCCACACTGCCCATTTCAGCTGCTACAAGCCTGCCCTAGGCCAGGAACTCCCTTCAAAACTGAGTGAGGTCTTCCTGCCCCCACTGCACCTCAGGGTTCCTGGACCTGCTGCTTTCAGGAAAGGGGGGATGATGACACACATGGGTGCATACCCCTGGGGACAGGCGCAGCCCGAAAGGCAGGGACTCCGTGCGGGCATGCTCAGGTTCAGCAGCTGCTGTTCACATGTCCTCTCCCTGCTCAGCTCTGGGTCTGTGTGCAGCTCAGTACAGTTCACGAAGACTTGGCCCACAGGGCAGGCTGCAGCTGGAAGAGAGGGGGAGGTGGGCAGGTGCAGGAGCCTCTGGCCCAGGGCTGGTCTGGCTGGTCTGGGCCCCTGCAGTCAGAGGAGGTGAGAGAGATAGGCTTGGAGACCTTATGTTCCGGCTGCTGCTGGGACATTGTTTGGGTTCCCAGATACATGCTACAGAGGTTTGAACAAAGGCTAGGGCTTTTGTCAGGAAGATAAGAAATACAGAACCTTCAGAGTAGGTATAAGACCTGGGGTGGGCTCGCCTGGTCCTGAATAATGCGCAAGTCTCAACTATCCACCCCATCCCCAACAGAGAAGCCCCTAAGTCCCATCAAGGAGGCCCTGCCCGGTAGTTACCCTTACCTGGAGCTTTGCTGTCACAGCTCATGACTCCATCTTGGCAGTGGCTGCACAGAGAGGGGGACACTGGGGCTGGCTTCCCAGGCTCTGCACCCCAGTTTCAGACAGACAGCTCCACTCACTGCCCCTCCCCAACCAGCCCCAGTCCCTGCCTAGGAGGGAAAGTGGGTGTCACTTCACAGAACGTTCTACTCAACTGCAGCTGCAGTGTCTCCAGTAAGCAACTTCCAAAAGAAGGGTTGTGGGGCAAATAAGGCTGCACCCACAAAGCTCACCAATGGCCCAGGGAGGGAATGTCACTGTCTCCAGGGGGATAGTCCACTCCTTGGAAGTGGCAGGAGCACTGGTTCCTATTAAAAACACACACACACACAGACTCAAGATCTGGGGCAGAGGTTGCCAAGGACATGGCCACCATCTTGGTCATCCAGGGGCTGAAGGACACAGAGAGAAGGAATGGCATCTACAGTGGTATATGACATGGTTTCAAGAAGCCAGCAAGTCTTCTCAGCAGGGACCAGGGGCCAGGGCCAGCTCCCAAAAGCAGCCAGGGGCAGGGCCAACTCCAGAGTAGGGGCTACCCACAGAGCTTAGCTGAAGCTACTCTCCCAGGTCCCCCTCCCCCAACTCCTGAGGTCAGCTTCAGGAACAGAGGGGCAGAAAGACCAGGATCAATGCCTGTTGACTCATACTAGGCCAGATCAGGGAAGAGTCTGGCAATACTCAACAGCTACAGCATCGTGGTGCAATGGGACAGGTCAATCACACCCACATCCAGGATGAGCAGGCAGTGCCTCTGCTGCACTGGCTGTCAGTTATCTTCACTTCTGGCCAGAGACACCCATGGGCCCCCACCACATGCTCAATGACTCCTCAGGGAGTTGCTTCCTGGCAAGCTGGGATCCCTAAACTGCCTTTTTTTTGTAAGGTATCTGCTACTCCAGGCACCTGCACACTTGGGATCAGCACAGTGGAGGGTGGGACACCCATATTCATCCACCCCACAGCTTCTTATCCTCCTGCTCCTCTGCCCCCAGCAGCTCCCAGCATGGGCAATACTCAGTGCCCAGTGCAGGGGAGCAGTGTGCACCTGCATCTCTGGGAGTGAATCTTTCCTTTGCAAAGGCTTCTGGGTGATTCCTATTTACCCATGAAAGGGTTCTCTTTTGAGTCCCTCATCACCTGAAAACCCTCAGCTGGGTGTTGTACCATCCTACAGATGGAAAAAGAGAAGCCTGGAGGAATGAGGGGCCTTGTCAATCAACCCCAGTTCTGTAGGGATCACAATCTACCACCTATCCTCCCACTCTGTCCTACTGCAGAGGACACCCCTTTGCCTGGAGCCTCCTCCCTTGCTTCCCTCAGCCTCCACTCCACTGCAAAAAGACTCAGTCTTCTTTTACTACTGCCCAGCCCAGCCCTCCAAGTGTGTCTATTATGTCTCATTGCCCTAGAACGTGGGCTCCACAAGCTAGGACTGTGTTCCACTTCTTGCTAAATTTCAATGTCTAGAACTGCCTAGAACACACGAGGGAGCCAATAAATACTTGCAGCAAGAGAAGAGAGATGAGAGCAACATGTGGCCAGAAAAGCCAGAGCTAGAAGGGACCTGAGAGGGAGACTAGAGGAGGACCCCCCACACACACACACACATATGTCCCCATCAAAGCCTGGTCTGTATCTGTGGGAAGGAGCACGTGAGAGGCCCACCATGGAAGACCCCTGGCCACATCTCCCCACCTGATTCCCAAGTCGAGCTGGCCCACTCACCTGGGGACACAGAGATTGGCCTGAGTGTCCAGGTAGGTGTCTGGGGGACAGGCACAGCCCTCCACACACTCGTCTCTGCTGAGGTCATTACGAGCATCAAGCCCACAGGCCTCAGGATTGGCCAGCTCCTGGCAGGTCTGTCCACACGGGGTCACACAGGGGCTGTACTCCTTGGTGGCTTCACAGGACAGGGCTGCAGTAAGAGAGGGGACTGTGCTTTGCCTTCATCCTCACAATGGTGTCAGGTGAGACTCATCCTGAGGATGAGAACTGATACCCAGAAAAGTTAGGACACTTGTACAAGGTCACATAGCAGTTCAAGGTCAGAGATGTTATTTGAACCCAAGTCTGATGCAGGTTGCTACCACCTCTCACTACAGTGATGACAAAGCAGTGGGAGAGAAGGATGGAGAGATGAGGCATTGGCCAAGTTCCTTTTCTTCTTAGGTCTACAGCCTCTGTCAAGTTCAGCACTGCACACCAAAGCCACCAGGGGAACACCCAATCCAGGCTGCACACCAAAGCCACCAGGGGAACAGTTGCAACATGCAATGCCTGCACCCGCTGCCAAATATGTGGTTGTGACTCAAATGTGTGCACTTCCAGAACAGTGTCAAGGTTTTGTCCCTTCTCCTCCAACGAAGTTTAGATTCAGAGAAGGCAGGTTCTTGCAGTACTGAAATAAAAAGGGGCTGTGACTTTGAAGATGTGGAGCTAGTGACCTTGAACAAGTTCATCCTATGAATGTTCATTCCAGTGAAAAGGTGGCTCTGACTAGGGTGGTGGCATGGTAAGAAGTAGAAATGGCTAAGAGAAGCAGTTCCAAGTCATGTGTCCCTGTGTTCAGGTCTGGATGTCCAAGGGCTGGGTGGCCCCTGGCATGGTTGGAGAGCACACTGGGAAGAGTTAGCCTGTGTGGAGAACAGCCAGGCTGGAGGAGACTGCAACATCCTCATAGACAGTTCAGGGGACACTGGGGTCTGGAACCCAGGCTGCTCCTCCCACCGTCCCACAGTGCACAAGCACAGGGCACTCACCACAGGTTGGAACGTGGGCACGAAAGTTGATGGGGAGTCCATGGCGCTGGCACAGGTAGGCGTAATGGGTCAGTGCAGCACACAGGCACGGCTGCCCACAGCGGCAGGTGTCCTGGCGGCACTGCTCGAAGTAGGGCACGGGGCTCAGGTGTGTGGAGCAGGGCGCGAACAGCTCCCCCATGAGCACGCTGCAGGCCTGCACGGCGTAGGAGGCTGAGCCCAGGAGGGACAGGAACCAGGTGGTCAGCCACAAGCTGGCCTGGTGCCCAGGATTCAGCCTCTCCTTCCTTCAACATGGCTCAGTGGGACCGCCTGCCCACACAAGAGGACATGTGCATGTGCGCAGGAGGGCTGTGGGCTGGGCATGTGTGTAGATGATTCAGTAGAGTCCAGGTTATAGGCATGGTGTAGACAACTATGAAGGAGGACATGTGCATGTACACATGTGTGTTTGCACTCACGTACTTGCATGCAATGTAGTCTCTCTGCCAGGCATGAGCCCATCTGGTGAGGGAGACCTAGCAGTGAACCAAACCAATGCAAATCCCTGCCCTTATAGAGTGCACCCTGCGGTGAGGAGAGGCAGTCTCTAAATTATTTCTACAGAACAGATGAAACAAGGAGTCTAAGGAGCAAGAGCAAGTTAGGGAGGAGCAGAGGGCAGGCTAGGTGGGCCAGGAGAGGCAAAAGCCACCTGAGCTCAGGTGAGTAAGGAGGCACTCAGAGAGAAGATGGAGTTTGAGCAAGAATCTGGAAAAGAGGGACTGAGGCACACATCTTTGTGCAGGAAAAGCATTCTTGGGGAAGCCCCAGCTGGGGCAAAGACTGGGCAGAGAGCAGACTCAGCTACAGGGAGAACAGCAAAAGAAACGAAGGGTGATGAGACAGGGGAAGGGCATTGTTGAGGGCCAGCTGGGGCCAAGGGAGGACTTCTACCTTGACTGCAAGATGGCACAGCCGTTTACACATGTATGGACATGATGGTGATAGAATCTGTACATAGCCCTCACCTTTCTCCTGTCTCTCTTCTTCTCCTGTCTCATGGTTCTTCCCATCACATCTTTCCTAGAGTAGAGTACCACCTGCACCTGGCTCTCTAGGCTTCTCCCTCCCCTCAACTCACCAGCTTGCAGGTGCACATCGCAGGGGTCCAGCGGGGAGCCAGGAATCAGTGGAGAGCAGGCAGACAATGTTTTCCAGGAGTTGCCAAAGAGCTGTGGGGTGTTCTCAGGCACCCCCACTGGGGACCTGTGACCGAGGCATAACCATATTCACACACTAGCTTGTCTGGACCCAGGACACCAACAATATAGTCTGCTAAACACCCACTTGCTCACATACACACACAGTCTTTGCATGGGCACTCGTCTGAATGCCTCACTGAAACACAGATCATGGATAAGTCCACAGACACCACTCACATACATCCCCAACATGTACACACTGCAAATATGTGCTAGACACAGGCAAATCTACCTCCTCCTTTTGCTATGGGATGTTTCTGAACATTCCCTGGTGCTCCTTGGGTTTCAAAGTGGGAAGCACAGAGCAGGGAATGGGAAAAGAGGAGAAACATGTTGCCTAGACATTCCCAGTTTCCCAGAGCTGTAAAACCTGAGGTGTAGGTGGTAAAGTACAGAGATCATTACCCCATAGGAACCATGTTCTGCCTGGCACCTATGTGCCCACATTTTTGTCAGTGCAGTAAGAGATCTTGGATTACCTAAAGCAGTAATGACACTGCAAGTTCACATTTAGGAGGGAAGCTAGCAGCCCAAACACTAAGCCAAGATCTGCCCCATCATTCTGGTCAGGTGCCTTAACAGTCCCACCCGGTGAGACAACAGGGTGTTATATTTTTAGATATCTGTGCATTGAAGGGCTCTTAGCGTGTTCTTCACAACAAAAATAATTCACATTTATGACTAGGCACGCTTCCATCTACATTACTCAATGTATGGAATGTGAAAGACTGGCTAGAACCTCCAGTCATCAAAATCAACCCTCTTTTTTGGTATTGTTCAGTCACTGGGAATCAATTAAAGCAGAACAATTAGTCAAATCATTAAGACTACTATAAAAACTTTTCTCAAGCAGTGTTTGTAGATCCCAAGTGCTATAGCCACAGCTGTGCTTATCAAGAACAATATCCCAGCTCCACCTCCTATCAGGTTCTTGAAGAATGGGACCTAAAAATCAACATTTCAGCAGACTTTACCAAGTGATTCTTCCACATGCAAGGGATTGTGAACCACTACTTTAAGGAAATTCCAAATCTAATAGTAGAGGAATGTCTGAACAACAACCGATTTAAACGTAGAAGAATGCATCATTTACACAACACATCTGGGCCAGGGGAGACCAGTTCTGGAAGAACCTTAGAGGGCCCATCTACCCACTCCCTCGGGTTCCCAGGGCAAGGGCACCTACAGGAAGTCATCCTGTGTATTGCCATTGAAGGTGCCGCAGAGGCCCACGGTGTCGTCCACCCATCGCGGGTCCACCTGCAGGTACAGCCGCAGCCCTTCTCGGTCGTACAGCACGCGCACACCCACGTTGGTCCTCACACGCAGGAACACGGAGGACAACCTCCGGATCTCAAAGGCATCTGTGCGGGGAGCCGGAAGGGGTGTAGGAAGTTCAGCCCTATACACTCCACCCACCATCTGCTCCTCCCCAGCCTCTCTGGTGTGGGCAGCCTGGAGGAAGCCCTGCTCAGTGAAGAAGCCAGGACCCAGGGGTAGCTTCCGGAGACTGAGGGGAGACATTTCACTAGGCAACAAGGGCTCATCACTTTGTGTTCATCTCAGACACAGGAGAACTGGCTAATCCCCCTCTCCCTCTCTTCACAGTGGCCATCAGGCAGCTCACAATTTCAGATCCAACTACAGACATTCTAATTCTTGATTATTAACCATTTCTATACTTGTGTGGTCTTTTTTTAAAAAAAATCAGAAATCACCTTTATTTAAATTCTCAGTAAATAGATCTTCAATGAACTGTACATATTTACAGAAATGTGCCTATTAAGACATGAAATCATAAATTTAAATATGTACCAAAGTTTTTTTAAACATCCCTTTACCAGTTTTCCCTGCTAAGCATCAATGTCCAAACATCAAGTGTGGCTCCTCTTCTCTCCCCAGATAAGCTGTTTGCAGTCATGAGCGAATTCCAGAGAGAAAACACCACAGCTCAAAGCTCCCACTAAAGTTGTATGGTCTTTTTATACACAACACACTCCAGTTCCTCTCCATCTTGAGTTACTATTTTATACACACACACACACACACACACACACACACATATATCTGCCTGCTTTCCCTCTTTTCTTCCTTTTTAAAGTTGCTTTCTCTGGTACTGTAACTTATAATCTAATAGTTTCCCCATTTCTGCCAAACCTGTTTCCTGTATGCTAGCTGCCCATAAGACCAGGGGACCATTCACCAGACAGGATGAGAACCCAAACCAAGTAGAGGATTGGAAAACAGTACCATACATATACAAATGCATGAAGTCGCCATCATCCCATGAAGACAACTGCTGGGTGGGCAGAAAAGTGCACTTCAGGAATGTGCATTTCTAGGACCAGTGTGTCTTCTGGCCTGACCCTCTCAGCACTAGAACATCAGTGCTTGCCTGTGTGGCAGTGTCTTTTGACAAAACAGCCTGGGAAGGACCAACCAGCTTCCCCTGACTCCTTCATCCACCTGAGCCGTACCATCTGTGTAGGGTAGGGTGATCTTGTATTGGTCAAACAGAAGGACATCCCCCATCCGAGTCAGGGTCACCTGCTTCCGAGGGTCCTGGTGCACAATCACAGACACTGACTGGACACAGGCTCCGTCTTGGTCCTGGGGAGAGAAGGGAAGGGACAGAGGCCAGTGGGGCAGAGGCCAGCAGAGCCTTCCCAGGACAGGGACCCCATCCCAAGCAGAGCAGCACATTCAGAGTGTTGGACAGGGGCCAGCAGGTGCATTCATTTTCACTGGCAGGGGCTCAGACTGCAGGAGGTCAGGAACAGGGAGGGGTGGCACTAGCAGAAGCAGAAGCCACAGTGATGTCTCAGGTTGCCAGGGGGAGCAGAGCAGAGGGCCCCCAGATGGCCTGAGGCTGGCCTCCCCTCAGAGCTTGGACTTTGGTCTTTGTGGGGGGGAGGAGTGTAGCTGTTTCAATGGGTCACATCTTGCATTGCACAGGCACACAGGAAATGTGGTAGTGTTCTCTGGGCCTCAGGTTCTCCATCTCTGAAACACATACTACACGCCGCCTCTAGTCGTAGCCCCATCCACACGTTTATTTAAACATTGCTTGAGCACCTACTGTGCGCCAGATTTATGGATGCAGTGATAAATAAGACAGATACCGTATGCCTCCTCATGGAGCTAACAGCCTATGGGACACAGGTTTTGATAAAGTTTACCTCTATATAATCATGATCAGTGCTATAAGCAGATACAGGGCATGAGGAAAGTACATGGAAAAGCCAGATTTATGGAGCAGGCATTTGTCCTCAGGGTTGGGATGTTGGTTGACACACCCACATCCCACACAGAATGTCTAGATTCAATGCTCTGCTTCCTCCCTGCTAGTGCAGCCTCCAGGGCGCAGAAGTGATGGCCCAAGAACTGGGTGCCTGCCACCCATATGGGAGACCGAGTGTCCAGTTCCTGGCTTTGGTGACTGCCTAGAGTCATGGGGCCACTTAGGGAGTGAACCAACAGACAGAGCTCTGTTAAATCTAAGGACAAAAAAAGAAAACTTCATGAACAAAGAACCAGACTTAATCTGCTGAAGTAGGAAAGACCATCCCAGGGAATGACAGTGATTACTGTAAATAATAAAAGCCTTAATTATACTAGAAGCTTTCAAGGTAGCAGCTATCATATGGAATTAACCCTGAGTTCTCATTCCTTTATGCACAGTCACATGCTTCATCTTCAGAGCAATCTGATTGGGCAAGTACCACTATAGCATTTGCATTTTGTAGGTCAGAAAACTGAGGCACAAAAATGTGTCACTTGAACTGTTATCTCCAGAATGCTCAGAAGCTGCTGGGCAAAGAGAAGAGGGAAACAGCTGAGCAGGAGGAGCAGCCTGCACAAAACGGCCACCCAGGAGAGTGTTAACGCCACCCCCCACCAGTGCGTGAAGGAGGCCAGAGGGGGCAGAGCCCATGGGGCAAAGCAGTTTGAGGGCATAGGCAGGGCCTTGGCAGATTTGGAGGCTCCATCCTGAGGCAGAAGAAATGTTAACAGGAGAGTGCCACAAGCAAGTGCAGTGAAACAAGGAACTAACCAGGGCTTGGAACTTTTCAGCCACAGCCACAACTGTCCTTCTGATCCCACCCAGGGAGCAGAACCTCCCTGAAACAGCCCTGGATCCTTGCATCCAAAACATCATCTAAGTCAAGGGCATTCACCTCCCCCATCCCCCCCTCTCCAGGCATGTCACTGGTGTGGGGAGGAAGCCCACACTTTTGGGTCAAGTCTCAGGTTCAGTCCTGCTGTCACTGAAAGCTACAAGCTCTAAAGGAATCTCCCTCTTCAAATCTCAGTTCCCTCCTCTTCCCAGCAGAGACACAACCCACGGAGGATCTCGTCCACTTTGGACTTCATGGCTTCTCTCCCACACAAGCCTCACTTTACCACACACTCTGCATCTGCCTTGGTATATTCTAAAACATTCTTTTCTCTTTTCTTTCCTCATGTGATCCGATCAGCTCCCAGCATGCCCTTCCTCCACAGCCTCACACACTGATAAGTCATTTCTATCTGTCTTTTTAGGCCTGCTTTCTAGATCGCTCAGCTCAAATGCCACCTCTGCTGCAAGGCTTCTCTCGATTCATCTTGCAGGACCATTTCCTCCAAGAATCACCCCTTCTGGGACAGAGAGGAGGAGCTCACAAAGAGGTCAGAGAACATGAGTGACCACCCTCATAGGCCATGAGCTGCAGGGGTAGGATCAGGGCTCTTTTCCCCACATTTCCCCCTAACACATACACATGGTGCCAGGCATGATGTCAGTCATTATGCAGGTGAACTCGCTGGTACACACTGGCTCACAGTGAAAAGAGGTGGCTCACGGGAGGGCACTGTCCAACAGTGCAGTGGGTCACCTCTGGCCAAGGTTGGCCAGCCACCCCCAGGGACAGGGTATGGAAGGACCCAAGTAATGGACCACTGAGGCAAAGAACATGGATCTAAGGCTGGAACTTAATGAGTGGGAAGGTGTCTGGCTGTCCCCTCTCTGTGGCCTCCCTCAGGGTGGCAAGGGCAGCCCTACAGGTGACGATGAGCAGCCTCCTGACTCGGAGAGCAGCCAAGGGCAGCGCAGGGCAGGGCAAGACTAGAGGGAAAGGACTCAACCCTCTGCTTGGGCAGAGGTGGCTGGGAACATTCAAACTGGGGTCCCCCCTCTTACCAGGCCACACGGGGCATTCTGCAGCGTCACGGTGAAGGTGCCTGAGGAACGGCTCTTGGCAAGGATGTACTGGCACGAGGCAGGAAACGTGTACCGGCGGCCATCGAAGGTGGTGAAGTGGATGTCACCGGTCACTGAGCACTCAGCTGGGAGGGTGGAGAGCAGAGAAGGCCACTGACCCAGGGTATTGTCCCTGCCTTTAGCTTCCAAGCACTTGGAGGGCACAGCAACCCATCTTGGGAGCACAAAGGAGTCTAGGTTCTGAGAGCCCCAGTGAGGAGGCAGTTGGTCAATTAGACTGTCCCTGAGATCCATTAGAGAGACACACAGCCCTGCCTCTGGCATCTCCTCTGCCTAAGTTGTCCCATTGTACCCTTCCAAGGTCAGGAGGGGCCATGGCCACCCAGGACCCTGTTCCCAGCCCAGGGTCTCCCTTCTCCGACCACAGATACACCAAGTGTCCTCCTGGCACCCGACCTGTGTGCATCTCCATAGAACTACATAACATCTGGCAACAGCTGGAGCAATCCCATAGCCTAGCAGAGTGACTCAGAAGACACAGAAGGGGCAGGTCCACAGCACAGAACCACTCCTTTTCCACTTCCCCCACCCCCAGCAGGCCTGAGCCTGGAGTTCCCCCAACCCTAAGCTCCATGTCTGTAGAGAAGTTGGGACATACCTGGACAGACAGCTGTGCTGCATACCCACTTGCCTGCGGTGCACGTGCTGAAATGGAGCCCCAGGGAAGCAAGGTTATCCTTCCAGGTGAGGGCTGAGCACCCAGAGGCTACAGGGTCCCCACAGCTCCTCCTGCCTCTCCCCTCCCTGGCCCCAGCCCTTGGCCTCCCTCTCTTGGAAATGGGTGGTGGCCATCTCCCCCACGGCTGGATCGAAGGGTTCCTGGCCCCGCTGGTAAGCTGCAGTGGCTGCACCTGCCATCCTGCCCATTTCCCCGCAGTAGCCACACACCAGGCATTGCAGTCTTCCTTCACCACAGCACCAGGTGGGTGTAGGGTCCCATGGAACTCGCAGGGACACTCAGCCGGGGCCACGCAGCCTCCCTCCTCAAAGATCAACCCTAAGGGGACAGCAGAGGTTGCTCCATCCCTTCCTCCTGGGCACAAACTGTACATGCTTCCAAGTTCTTCCCTCTCTGAGTCCACTCTCTCCTCTGTAAATCCTGGGCTCAAGCCAAGCATGAACATCTATGCAGAGAATCCCACCTCCAGCTCTGCATGCAGGAGATTCCCCAACCCCCTGGTCTGCACAATTGCTTCTTCTTACCACCTTTCAAGATCCTACCCGGTGGGAAACACCACCTCCTGCAGGAGGCACCTCTGACCACTCTTCTACACACTGACTTCCTGTGTCTGAGGCCGGCTACACCACATCACACCTTAAATCAAAACTCAAGTCTGCCTGGTCCTTGAAACCAGGGGCTGATCCCCAAAGACAATGCCTGAATCTTTATGTATTTTCATCTTAACCTCCACCCAGCCAGGTGAATTGTATACTACAGCTGTGCTGCAAGTTTGGACACTGAAAAATAGGATAATCTAGGTGTGCACAGAAAAAGGCTTAAACAAAGGCACATATGCAGAAACGAACACAGAGCAACTTGCCCTCCACACACCATAAAAAACTCTGTCCTCAGAAAACCAGATCTCCTGATGAGTCTCTTGGGGCCATAGTCCCACCCCATCCTTACCCCTCTTCAGCTATTTATGCATTTTTTTTCACTTATTTGTCTGAAGCATCCTTCATTCCGGCATCCACGGAGCATTCTATTGTTGTCCACTTGAACCTAGTCAAGAAGCTGCTGCCAGGCACCCAGTCCTGCACCTTACATACCATTGGGGCAGTAGCAGCCGTCCACACAGGCGATCTCGCTGTCCACACAGGCTGCTCGGGGCTGGCAGGAGGCAGGGCAGCAGGCGATGCACTCATTGTAGGTGAAGTCCTTCTCCTTACAGTGCACGACTTGGGAGGGAGAGAGCCCCAGGCCCCTCAGCTTGGCAGGACCCAGCCTCTCCCTCAGGTTCTGGGTGGGGGTGGGAAGGCTCTGATCATCCTGAACCCCTGCTTCCTTAGAAAGCCCCAAGGAACCCAGAAAATAAGCAGAGGGCCTGGCAGGCTCTGACAGCCATTCTTTGCTCAGACTGCAGCCCCAAGCACAGTTCCTCCCACTTTAAGCCTCAGGTTTCCCATCTATCACTTGGCGAGGAGCCTCAGGGAACCCACTTCCAACATCTGTGCTTCTGACCCAGCCAAGGATGCTGAAGCCAAAGGACACTGCTCACAGCCCCAGGCCAGAGCTTGCCTGAAGTCCTCTCCGTCCATAACCAAGTACTGCAGGTACTTACTGCATGGTTGGAGCTGGGTACGCCAGCCCTGCAGTGGCCGTCCTGCCTGGGCACATGCCCGGGCATACTCTGCCAGTGCCCGGCACCATGTGGCTTCGTCGCCTGCTGATCTGTGCAGGGAGATTGATAAGGGCTGTGCTGGAACACGGTCCAACCTGCTAGCATTCCCTTCCCTGGCACCACATCCCTGGAGGTGGCTAGCACTTCAGAGCTTCCCTCATCCATATCCAGCTGGAAGAGGGAGCCAGGAAGACCCCTAGGAGTGCAGAGGAGGTCAGGCTTCTAGTCCAGCCATTGACACTGCCTTGCTGCAGGACCACAAGGCAGGTCACATTGCTGTACACTGGCTGAGGGGTGGATGGTAGAGGGAGAAGGCTCCATCCCAACCCAGGCAGATATAAATTTCAGAGCACTGGGTGCAGCTCTCTCTCGGGGCCTGGGATTGTCACTGTAGGTGGTTCGTGCGCTGAGCCCTCAGCCTGGTACTGGGAGGAATCCCATGCTACCCCTATGTCTCGCCGCTCACTTACTGGCAGAGATCGCTGGTACAGCTGGCTGCAAATGGCAGAGGGCTGACGTAGGCATGGCAGGCATCAAACGGGGGCCACAGCAGAGCCTCACACCGCTCGTACACACCCTGGGACATAGCCCTGGTGTCACCTGGGACCCCAGTGTGGGCTCAGGAGTAGGGAGAAGAATAGAGAGGAGAGGGATGGGGCCATAGACACCAAGGCAGCCTGGGTCATTGCAGTGCTGGCTTTCCAAAAGCTGGATGGGCAACTGAGGCAAGCCAACCCAAGGTGGGGGCCTCTTCCTGGGGGGTCCTGACCTGCATGGCTCCTGGGCTCTGCTGCAGGCACGGAGGACGAGGCAGGGAGGTGGCCGCAGGCCCTGCGGGCTGGTTAGGAGCCTGGTCCTGCCAGCTGTGCACAAACTCTGCCACATCATCTGTCAGCTTCCCTGGGGATACAGCAGAGAGGACTGGTGCCACCAAATATATGTCTCCTGATTAAGTGCCCTTCCTAACCATGAGTCCCTGAATGAGCCATTGTCGCACTAAAAGCCAGCTGAGGAGCTTTAGAGGCCTCGTATGACTCCAAACTTAGGGAAGACCCTGGGTAGCTAAAAGGCAAATGGGCAGGAGCCCCAGTAAGCTCCTGCCTCCCTTTGGGTCCCAGTTTCCCAGCTGAGGGGAGCAGCCCCATCTCTCAGGAGAGCAATATAAAGAGTTGGGACTACATGGTTCACACTGCCTGTATTGTAGGTATTCAACCTCCCCTCTTCCAGAGAAAGAAGGTCCCCAGAAAAGCCTTGCACCCTTCAGCTTCACTTCCCAGTGCTCATGCGTAGGTAGGGACCTTCAGTCCTGGCGAGGCCCTTCTCCCCTGGCTCTCTCTCTGACCCTCTGCTCCCTGCACCCCCCTCTCTGGCTCAATACCAGCAGAAGTGCTCACTGGCTCTGCACACATCCTCGCAGAAAATCTCTTTAGGACAATTTTATAGAATAACAAACAGATCAGGATAGCCAAGAACTGCCTGAGACCTCATATGTGTAAGGAAGTGGCCTTGACCTACCGCTGGGTCTTAAACACCATGACCATGACCCCAGGGCTCTCTCTCACCTCTCTTCCACACCCACCAAAACCTGTCGGGGCCCCTGTCCGGAACTCACCATAGCTGGTCACCAAATCATCCTGTGGGTCAGCATTGTTGTTCCCACACAAGCCACGTGTCCAGCCCACGAACTCGGGGCTCATCTTGATGTAGACAGCTGAGGCGCCATCCCAGGCCAGCGTGAAGGCCGACCGGTGTCGCACGAGCACATAGCCAGCCAGCCGCTGTAGGTGCACGCTCCCCATTACGAGGGGCAGCTGGACCCTGTGGGGCACAGCCTGAGAGCCAGCACATCCCCTTCCCTACCTCCTACCCTGAGAGGAGCCCACGCCCAAAATCCCAGAGTTCCCAGGTACCTGGAGCTACTCTTTAACAGAGAAATTTTTTTTTTTTTTAATTTCCACCAGAGGCCTTTAAAAGTGAGTGTGTTAACTCTCTCCCATCTAGTCTTTCACTTCCTTGTGACAAGCCTCGTGTGGGTTAGACCAAAGCTGGGTACCAGAAACAGTCTAGGTCACCCACGTGACTGGGAGGGACCCACGACCTGAGCTGTCAGCACCGGCCATCTCCCAAGGCATGAGTTAGCAGAATCGGGACCAGAGCTGAGACGAGAACACTGATATGAAATGTACAAATCCCAGGCAGCATGTTAGTGATGTGGCCAAGAGCTCTTGCGGACTTTTTAAGCTTGCAGTTCTGACAGTCAATGTCAGAGGCACAGCACCTGCCAGCTCCTTTTTTTCCAAGACAGAGGAAAGATGAAGGGAGCAGGTGCTTTCTCTATCTTTTGGATGGGGAGCAGGCATAGGGTGGTCAGAGAAGCTAAGAGGGGAGGCAAGCAGAGGCGCAAGGCTCCGGCTGCACAGAGAGGCTAGCCCATCTAGCTCCTCTGGACTTGAGCAGTGTCTGAACTGGTGGAAAACCAGGAAAGGGAAAGCAAAGCTGGGCCTCACGCACCAAAAGACCCGCATAGCAATGCTTCATTCGTACAATGAGGCCTTCCATCGGATGCTCAGCCCGAGTGTGGTCAGCCTGCTTGCTGGGTTTCAGGCAGAAGGTAGTGGGGCAACAGGTCACAGCAGGAATACCCTCTGACTGCCCCACAGATGGACAGTGAGAGGACAGGGGCAATAGCACAGTCCTGTAAGGACTGTAACTCAGGTCCAGGTGGCATGTGAAGCTCTCCCTCATCAGATGCTTCCCCAGGATCCACAACAGCCCAGCAAGGTATCTGCCACTCCAACTGACCCCACAGCATCAGAAAGGGGCAACAGCAGGCTCAGCTTGTGCTCTGGGCAGCAGCAACTATGGGTGATCCACTTGGGAAGGTTTGTGGACAATTATGAAAGACACACTGTGCACATTGACCATGGTGAGCCCCCTGCTGGAACACCCTGTCCAGAGTCTGGGGCCTCCTGCAAACCCAGCTCACCTGCCAGTCTGCTTTGACCCTGATGCTGAAAATCATTGCTTATTCCCCAAAACCAATCCTTTTCCCCTGACCCCCACCCACAGCATCAGGGACCGGGGCAGCTTGGAGCAGCAGGTGCTATATTACCTCACGCCTCCATGGGTGACCTCCTTGGCCAGGCGGATCTCCTGCTCACCCGAAAGGAAGAGGCTGACAGATCTGGAGCAGGTGTAGGGGAAGGGGCCGCACTGTGGGTCATTATGCACCTGGGGGGAAGAGTTGTACAGGAAGGTGACAACTGCAGCTGTATTTCTGGGAGGAAGCAGCGGATGTGTACAGGGATGGAGTCTGCCTTAGCCACACACTTGCTGCTGGGAAAAGCCAGAGCTGGTTCTAAGCCTGGCCTGGATGGTTCAGCCCCAGGACTCTGTTCAGCGCTTTGTGTCATTTGCTTGTTTCTGAACTTCTTTTCCCATCCAGGCAGAGGCTGACACATACATTCACCCATCACCAAGTACAGAACACAGACACCCACACACCCACAATCCATAATGCACACCGTGGACCACTCCCTGTATACACCATAGGTGATCCCACCTCACACGCCTGGAAGGCAGGGCAGAACCTTCCCCTGCACACGCAGTGCTCCAGGGCTGCCTGCTACACTCCCATCAACTCTGTCCTCTGCTGAGATCAAACCCATCTATCAAAGGGCACATGTTCACAGGGCAGGTGTCGAGGGGCCCAAGGTCTGAGACTGCCTGCCTGCTTGTCATTCCCGGAGGTCCCCGCCCAGGGAAGGGGGCCTTTGCAAATGCAGGTGAGCAGGCTGAAGCCTGTCAGCTCCAGGTGTCAAACCACCCCAGGGTTTTGCAAGCTTCTTTGACCATGACCTCCAGTAAGATACAACATATAGAAATAAAACAAAATCCCTGCAAGTGGTGCTTAGCCCCACTAAAGTGTAAGCCATTCTTATTAAGTCTTTCTCTCCCACTTCTTTGTTCGATGCTGCTTGTGAATGAATTGGCTTCGTAATGCATGTGTGGCAGCCCGCTTTCCAAGTGACAAAGCCATCAGGAAGTGACACAGCTGTGAGAAATGGGTGTCTGACAGCCTGAGGTAGAGAGGGGATAACTGACTGTGGCTCCCACCCTTGCAAGCCACAGCGCCCAGGGTGCTCCCACTGGAGGTCCAAGTGGAGACAAGAAGGGTGACACCGATTTCCCCCAACACCTGCCTGTGGCTGGATAACAGCAAAGTACCTTCTGGCAGAGCCAGTTCCCCCTGCGGACCCTCCTCCAGGCGGAGGTGGACTGGTCTGCACCTGTGGGTGATCTCTCACTCCACAGATGGGCTCAGGGTGTCACTCTGCTGGGTGGCCCAGGGGCTGCCACACATGTAATTGTGGATTCGGCCAAGTTTGTCTAAGAACTAACCTGGGAATTGAAGACACCAAACAACAACAACAGCAAGGTCATGCCCTTGGCCTAGAAAGCCGACACCTGCCAAAGGAAGCCGAGCCAGAAACAGAGGTTTGTGGGAGATACATGAGGACCAGTCATGACACACACCTCTGGTTACAGACAGGCGGCCCTTGATCAGCTAAGAAGGCAAGGCCATCCAGGAAGGCTTCTTAAAAGAGGCGATTCCACCCCTCCATCCCCTCCAGTGCTTCCTGGGAGGAACACGATCCTTCCCACCTCAGGCTCTGAGCACCCAGAGTCCCTCCCCTCCCCAGAATGCTCTCTGTCTCTGTATTCTCCACTCAGCTCACTCCAGCTCTTTCCTCAGGTCCAGTATCATGGTCACATGCTGTAGGAAGCCTTACCTGATGGCCACTCTTCCTAATAAACAACACTGGGTTTCCATGATGTGTCCTGGCATTTCTCCTCACCAGCATGTGAACTGATTCCTTCGCTTTAATGCTCACTTTCCCCATGAAACACTAAGCTTCAGAGACCACATCTGGGGTACGGCCCTGAGGGGCTCTCATCTACCAGTCCAGGGGCTGGCCAGGAGCAGAGCATGCACTTAATGAATACTGATGCCTGATAAGTGAGTGAATACACGAGGGGACAGTCGGGGCAATCTGGATGGAGTAGGTGAGCAAGGTCTGACGAGTCCTTGACTTTTTCTAGCAGTGCAGGTTCTAGGCAGATGGGAGCTAGGGGTGGCAGGGGACAGAGAAGGCTCCGGCCTTTCCAGCCATGATAAATAGAGCCCCAGCTCCCAGGGCCTGGCAGCGCCTCACCTGGATAGAGAAACTCTGCCCCTCAGGTTCATGGCGCCCCACCAGCATGTAGCTGCCCTTCCCAGAGAGGTAGAAGTAAAGACCGTCGAACGTCTCCACGTGGTGCTGCCCCCACGTCCGGCAGATGCTGTCCCGCTCAGGTCCAGCATTGTATACTGTGATGGGAGAGAAAGACAGAGAGCTCCCCCGACTGGCGGCAGTGACAACAAGCTTGGGGCTGGAGGTCCCAGGCCTGGCAGAAGGCTTTCCCCCACCTCCCAGGTTGCCCAGGCTCACCCAACTGGCAGCGCGGTCCAGTGGCATTGAAACGTCTACAGTCGCAGAAGGCAGGGTGCACACATTCACCCCCATTGAAGCAGGAGAACATGTCTGCCAGGGCACACAGAGGCATCTCCCCAGTGAGCTGAGTTTTACAAAGGCTGACAAGCCTGCCTTTCTGCCACCCTCAGGTGCCAGGACCCAATCCTCCCAGGGTCCCCTGGCATAGGCAGCTAGTCTGAGAGGCATAGAAGTGATGTCTCGGGCTGCTACCTAACAGATAGGTGAGGTAGGGTGCTATAGCACCAGCCTCTAGTGTTTATCAGTGAGCCCAGGCCAGCCCTCCTGGGTCCAGCTCCCCGTGCCCAGATCCTGCCTGGCAGACCTGACAGGTGCAATTGGGAGTTGCAGGGTGAACAAAGTCCTTCACCGTGGTAGAAGGCAAGATGTCACTGGGGTCAGACGGGGTGAAGGGAAGGTCTGGGCTGTGGTCACAGAACAGAACAGGACCCAGAGAGGAAGCTTGCCATGGGCAGGAAAGACTGTGGCCAGCAGCAAGGGGCCAGGGATATGGAAGGCACGGAGACCAACCCCTGTTAGGGAGGAGAGGCTCCAGGAGGCCACTTACAAGACGGTGCGCACTTTGCCCGATGCAGCCGCCTTTCCCAGGAAGTCATGGCCGAGGAGTCTGGGGCTTCAGCTTCCTTTCAGAGACAGAGGAGGAGACAGGGGAATAAAGGAAACAAGGAGAGAGAGAAGGGGAGAAGGAGGGGGAAAAGAGAACCTGGTCAAGGGCTGACCTCAAGCCAGCTTCTTGAAAACCCCAGGATGGAAGGAATGCCCACACCCCTTGGTGCCCTGTCACTGTCCCCAGCTACCCCTGAGTGGTACATGGGCAAGCTCTGGGTCTGACCTTTTCCCTGCCAGCCAGCTGGATGCCTCAAGACCCTCCTTACCCTCAGCACTCCCATGTCTCCTAGCCTCCTCTCTCCCTCTCTCCTTCCTCAGCAAAGCTTTGCGTCTGCCATAGCCCTGCACAAAACCTCCTTCCCTGGAGAAGAAACTTGAGTCAGAGCCCCAATAGGAAAGCAGCCCTTCACCCCAGGCTGGGAGGCAGCTTCCGTCAGTCCCCAACCTGTTTCCTGACCCTTCCCGTAGGGACAGCCCCATGTCACCACCCTGTGTCCTCAGCTGCAAACCAAGGCACTCACTCGCCCACCCCAGTGCTGTGGATCTCAAGCAGACACAGAGAGGCACAGCATACCTGGATAGCCTTACTTTGCAGATAGCATTCTCAGCACACATTCTGCCCAGCTACTGCATAGACTGTCCTGAATTTTTGGGGTGCTCTGTTACCATGTGCCTGGTGCTGGGGCACCTGGGGTGCCAGCATCACCATCTGAGGTGTCCAATGTGCCCTGAGCAAAATCAGCTCCTCCCATCTCAAAGCATCAGCCTCCATTTTTACAGTGTCCCCAGGACCACATGCCAGGCCCTAGGCTGGGTACAGTGCATGGGACCAAGTCCCTGCTCCGTGAGGCCACGCTTGAACTTGCAGCCATCAGGCATGAGCCACACTGTGGGTAGGTCTTCTGTGTCTTCCTCACTCTCCATCGTCCACACATCCAGGCTGAAGCCCAGGCACCAGCAGAGTACTTGAAACCCAGCATCTACTTGGAAGCCTGACTCCCTGACTCCAACCCCAGCTCCCTGCCCCTCGTCCTATTTTTCCAATCTCTGGAAGGTCACTGTCATGTGTCAGCTTTCCACATCTTCACCCCAGCCTGGCCCCAGGTGCCAGGTTCTCCCCAGCATGCCAGTCATGTATGTTACAGCACCCTTACAGAACACAAGAAATGTGAGTGGATGGCATAGGGCTGGCAAACACAAGCATCAGTAGGAACCCATAATGAGGCCAAGCCTCTGCTCCTCACCCCAACCCCCATGAGACTCTGCGATACAAGACTGCAGATGGAGTTATGAAAACGTATGTGCCTCTACTGAGCACACTAACAAGCAAGACCCAGCAGCAGGCATGTCTACTGGCTGAAATCTATAGTGATCATTTAAAGGGATGTAAATGTCATTTGGATTGAGATTATTGAAAACTCCTCTCCCCGGGCCCGGCGCGATGGCGCAGTGGTTAAGGTCCTCGCCTTGCACGCCCGGGATCCCATATGGGTGCTGGTTCTAATCCCGACGGCCCCGCTTCCCTCCAGCTCCCTGCCTGTGGCCCGGGAAAGCAGTCGAGGACGGCCCAAGGCTTTGGGACCCTGCACCCGCGTGGGAGACCCAGAAGAGTCTCCTGGTTTCGGATCGGCATAGTATCGGCCGTTGTGCTCACTTAGGGAGTGAATCATCAGACGGAAGATCTTCTCTGTCTCTCCTCTCTGTATATCTGCCTTTCCAATAAAAATAAAATAAATCTTTTAAAAAAAAAAAAAAGAAACTCCTCTCCCCTTCCACGTTCATGGCCCCTCTGGTCTGCACCATCAGTTGTCTGGGAATTGTTGGGCTTTGTCAGAGAGTAGGGAAAGGCGGAAATGAGTTATGACCAGTTTCTGGTCCAGATTATGCTCACTTTCTTCCTAGTGAGGCCTTCCAAAACAGGAACCCTCTAGTGGTCCTGGTCCACAAACCTCACAACCCCCAGCCCCACTGCTGTCACCCTAGAAGAAAGCCATGCCAACTCCTTACTGCTCAGAGCAGTGTGGGAAGCCTGTCTACACTGCCTGAGCTCGGGGCTTCTGACTCCTCCCCAAAGAAAAGGAGGTGCCCATCTGGGAGACCAGCTAAGAAGGCAGGATTCCATGGATCTTGCGGGGCATTCCTGGTGCACAGGAACGGGTGCTCCCAGGACAGTTGGGGGCACCTACCCACTGCATAGCTCTGACAGCTCCTTCACCTGCTTCAGCTTCCCTGTCCACAGAAAGAGCCACATTGCACTTCTCAAACTGCATGTGGCTAGGAACCCTTGGAGCTCTGGGAGAGCAGGCAAGTGGGGAGTAAAACACATTACAGAAGAAGTATGCCCACCCACGCCCACCCACCTCGGGGCTGTCCCAGATGACAGGTGGCTGGGATGCAGGGTTTGCTGTTACAAACAAGGGTCTCCTGCTGGCACCAGACACTGCCCAGAACAAATTGCTAGGGCAGGGGCGCCTGAGCAGAGACTTGAGCTGCTCCGCAGGTCATGGGTGGGCTGGCTTTACAACATGTGTGTGCTTGTAGTAAAAAGGAGACAAAAGCAACCCAGGGCTAAGCAGAGAACCATAACATCCAATGCAGAGATCAGGAGAGTTTGGTAAAGGGAGATATCAAAACCGCTGTTCCGAAGAGGAGATCTGAACTCAAAGGCACAGGAGATGCCTGCCGGGCTTCTCAGTCCTTCCCGGCAGCCTCCAGCAGAGGGCGCAGTTTCCACCTGGGCTTAGGGCTTGGCTCAGGGACCCATTGCACACAGTGTGCAGAAAGTCAAGGCCACTGTCTAAACCCTCACCTGCCCTCTTGCACCCGGGGGAGGAAAGAGCTCAGTGGTGTGAAAAGGCCTTGATGCTTTTCACTTCAAAGAGCTGGCTACAGGGCCTCGCACAATTAGGAGAGGGGCAACAGAAATGTTTTAGGAGTTTGCACATTCGACACATGCATTCCTTTTTGAATAATGCCAGAGATATCTACCACGCCCTCCTGCAACCCATCGTAACCTCCAGAGCTCCTTGTCAGCCTCAGCCATGACAGAAATAAAGCCCTCCGTTCAGCGACGCCTACCCTCCCCAGGTCACCCCTTACCTGGCTTTCCACTGCTATTGTGGCATCCCCAAAGGCGATGGGTCCTTCCTGGTGGCTGCTGCTGGGAGAGACACAAGTCTGGCGTAGGTGGTGGGCCAGGAATGCACCTCCCTCCCCACCGCCGAGACCCCTGGGAGGCCCTGTGTGGGGAGCAGGTAGGGCCAGGGCAGCCGCCACAGGCAAAACTCACCTGGGAACCCAGGCCGACTCTGGCTGCAGCTCTGCAGGGGCCTGCGGTGTGGGTGCTGTGGGAGGGGAGGCTGGTGTGTCCCATGGGAGCTGTGCCTAGCTCGGACACACTCCCTGCCTGCTACAAGGCCTCCCCTTACCTCTCCTCTCCCAATAGCTCTCCCTGTAGCTTATAAGGCTTTCAGCCACCTTATCAGTGGGTTCCAGTCCTCTGGGGTTCCCCACCTTGAGTCTCCCTATGCCCTCCACCCTGCCTGCTTTGGGACCCTTTACATAGTCCCAGGCCTGCCTCTTCTGCTTTCCACCGCCCCTCCCCCAGGCCCTCTACCCGTCCTCTCTCCAACCCGTCCAGGCCCATCCACCAAGTCTCCAGCTAGTCGGCTGGCTTCCGAGGGCAAGTCCACACCCAGCTCACCGAGGCGTTGCACCCGCAGGGACTCCCCAGCCGGTTCACCCCGGGGCAGCCAGGCACAGGTGAGTAGCAAGCAGAGAGCTGGCGCCGGGGCTCCCATAAAGGCGCGTGGGCCGGAGCGGCAGAGCAGGAGTGCGGGCGGCCAGCTGCTGGGCCCAGGCTGGGTCACACCTCCTCTCCTCGGCTGCCACAGACCCGCAGACCCTCGGGTTCTCATGCCCAGCACTACCTCGGCCCCTCCTCCCAGACGCGAGGCTCCTCCCCGCCAAGCAGAGGCTTGGGACTGCCCAGCTCATTACCATAAGTTGGCATTGGGACCAGGACCCAGGTTTTGCCTTTCTGGGTTTATGACACTCAGCCCTAAGTCCCGTGGAGAGAGCAAAAAAAAAAAAAAAAAAAAAAAGGATAACCTTTGCCGCCCCCTCTCCCTTTTCCTGGGTCCTGGAGGCCGCTTTACACCAGAAAGCCCTCTCCTTATTACAGAGTCCTGCAGCAGCTGGGCCGCACTGCTTATGGCCCGTGGTCAACAGCACAGCCAGGGCTCAGGCCTGCCAAGTCCCAGCTTGTGCGTGCACCACTCCTCATCACAGCTTCCACCCGGGTGACCAAATCCCCACCCTGCACTCCACTACTCAGGAGTGACTCCTACCTTTGCCTCCTGTATGCCAGCACCGGCTCAGACCCCAGCTCAGAAACTGCTGGCTGAGTGACACAAGGGCCTCACCCTCCACCCCCACCTGATGGCTCCCAGCAAAGCCACTCTTGGACCAAGGCAACTCCACCCTTGTGCATGGAATTTTCAAATGGTGCCACGGTGTGGCTGGGAACCTTGGCATCTTTTTCCTTGGCCAGCACTCAGGGAATGCCAATCAGATGGGAGGCCTTACAGATAATCATGGTGATGATGATGGGGAGGAGGACAAGGGCCCAGCAGACCCCTGGACAGGGGTGTGGACTTGGGATACATTCCAGGCCCAGAGTGGAGAAGGCACACACAATTATCTTCACTTGCGGTGTCTGAACTTGTGGCTGTAGATGGGAAGAGAGGCAAAGATGTACCTTAAAGAATATTGGCTACTGGGGCCAGCACTGTGCCATAGCAGCCTAAGCCTCTGCCTGCTACTCTGGTTCGAGTCTCAGCTGCTTCTGCTTCTGATCCAGATCACTGCTGGCCCGAGTGTTCGTGCTGCTGGCACTCATGTGGGAGACCTGCATGAAGCTCCTGACTCCTACTTCGGCGTGGTCCAGCCTGGGCTGTTGCAGCTCTTTGAGGAGTGAACCAGTAGATGGAAAACCTGTCTCTCTAACTCCAACTTTCAAATACATAAATATTAAAAAAAAAAAAAAAGACTGGTTAAGAACGGGCTTTCACAGTCTGTCTCTGAGCAGCTTTGAAAGATACACTGCTGGGCGAGGACTCAGAGCCGTGCTGGGGCCAAGATGGGAGCGTGTGGACATGGCAATGTAGAAACGGAGGCAGTACACTGGAGGGAAATGTGTTTTATGGGGTCTTTCCTGAATGTTTGAAAAGTCCACTCGACTGAGTCAGATTTAACTACCCAATAATGTAGAAAGCAATCTACTTGCAAACGCACAGCAATCGTTGGGGATAGACACAGTCTCCCTGTCCCTGCCCCCACCAAATGGGCTTAGCTCAGGCACAAGTGCCACAGCTGAACCAGTGCCTCCACATTCTCTGCTTCCTGGCCCCTCTTGCCTTTCATTGGTCCCAGGCTGGGGACAGCCTTGTCTCTGCACCCAACACTGGACCCAAGCATTCAGCCAGTTTGAGCTGAATTGAATCAAAGGGGCCAGAGGGTGCTGGCCCTGGATTAAGGTCAACCATAGGCCAGGATGGCCTCACCACCTCTTCAGCTGTGGGGACCACATCTGTGCCCGGTCTCTTCCTGTTTTTGTCTAGGAGAGCACAGTTAGGGGAGTTGGGAGGCAAAGACAGGTAATCAGAACACTGGTTCTGTTGCTGCTGGCTGCATTAAGACCACGCCTGGTCCCCAAGAAACTCACAGGTCAAAGAGATTTCTTGGGCCCGGCACAGTGGCGCAGTGGTTAAGGTCCTCACCTTGCACGCCCGGGATCCCATATGGGCGCCGGTTCTATCCCGGCAGCCCCGCTTCCCTCCAGCTCCCTGCCTGTGGTCCGGGAAAGCAGTCAAGGACAGCCCAAAGCTTTGGGACCTTGCACCTGTGTGGGAGGCCTGGAAGAGGCTCCTGGCTTCAGATCGGCATAGCATCGGCCATTGCGCTCACTTGGGGAGTGAATCATCGGACGGAAGATCTTCCTCTCTGTCTCTCCTCTCTGTATATCTGCCTTTCCAATAAAAAAATAATAAAAATAAATCTTTAAAAAAAAAAAAAGATTTCTTCTCAGTGTAGGATGAAGGCCACTGGTAGACAAGAGTGAAGTGGCGGTCGCAAAAGGGCAGAGGAAGCCCAGCATGTGTGCCCAGACACAACGGACAAGATTGTCTATCCAACCCTGCCTGACCCATTGATGGGAAGAGATTCCCACAAGGAAGTCCCAAATTTCCCCGCAGGCTCCTTCCTCACCCACCCGTGCTGGAGCCCACTCCGAGGAGCGCCAGCCGCGAAAGATCCCGGCTTCCACGCCCAGCAGCACAGGCCCTTCTGCGCCCTGGCCTCCGGGAGTGGACGACCAGGGGCAGGTGTCTCCCCGCCTCCTGGCGGTCCCGCCCCATTCCCGTCCGGATCCCGCCCCCGCCGCGCCCGGGCCCCACCCCTCGTCCCCCCAGGGTGGCTCCACGGGTCACGGTCGCCGCCTGCTCCGGCCAGCTGCCGGCAGCCTGGTCCCCGAGGGAGCGGGGCTTGCACCGAGGCCGCTGGATCCGGCGCAGCCATGGACCGAAAAGTGGCCCGAGAATTCCGGCACAAGGTGGGAGCCGAGCGGGGGCCTCTGAACTCCGAAGTCCCCAACGAAGTACTCCCCTTAGCTCGCTGATATCCCTTCCTTTGGTAGCTTGGCCTCAGGGAGTGTCTGGCTGAGTGAGAGGGACGGGAGCTTGGACTCTGGGTGTGAGGACCCCTTAGCTCATCTCCTGGGAGTGTCCTTTCTCTTGCCGGGTCTAGGGCTTGGGATTCCTTTCAGCCTGGGCCTGGGACACTCCCTCCCTTCCGCTGGGCAGGGGAGGTAGCTGGTAGCTTGTGGGAAAAGCTGGGGCTGTTGTAAGGACTGGGGGTCTGGAAACTGTGTGTGTGTCTGCCCTTGGCAGTCAGAACATCAGGGGTTGGGGGCAGGCAGCAACCCTGCCTGTAGTACTTCTTCAGGCCTGAGAAGAGGCCGGGAGCTGGTGCTGGCCAGGCTGCAGGGCAGCAAGGTGGGGGCACTGGGGTTGTGTGCCAAAAAGGAGCTACACCCGTAACCCAGGATCCCCACTGGAAGCATCTGGATTCCATGCAAGATATTTCCAGAATTGCTTCCGGAATGTGTAGGATCTGCCTGCCAGGGTCCCAAGGCTAGAGAAGACTTTGTGAGGAAACCTCAAAACCAGGGGTCAGGAGCCCAAGGAGCCAGCTAGTGAGGATGCCGCTGGGTTCCGGGGGCCTGTGCCCACTCTGTGCCCATAGATCTCACAGCAGCCATCTGCCACCAGATGTAGGGACCAGCTATGGGTTCCTGGAAGAAAAGCTCAACTTGGTGGAAATCCTCACTCTCACTTCGCTCCCCCCGACCTCCAGCAAGGCCTTAGGTCTCCCTGATATGCACCCAGGAGTGAGGGGAAGCTGGGAGCTCAGCAGGATTGGGGGAGGACGGAGAGTGGGGGTGACTGATGAGCATGGAGGAGGGTGTGTTTTGTTGCAAAGGGTGGGGAGCACTGGGAGAAATTTCAGCCGGTGTGTGGGGATGCTGGGTGAGTGTAGGTTTCGTACAACCTGCTTGGAAGAGGCTCCACCTCCCATCCCCCACCCGAGACTCCGGCTTGAATTTCTCTCTCCTGCCTCTGAAAGGAAAGCTGGCTTCTCTTTTGCTTTCCACCATGGGGCACGACTTCTTGGCTGCTTGTGAGAAAATCATCTCCAGGTCCACTGAGTGTGGCGTGACAGTGGGGTCTGCTCTATCCTCCTTCTCCCCACGCCCCTTTTCTTCTCTTTCTGTCTCACTGCGGAAGTCACTGTGCCCCTGCGTGTACAGGCAGGGCAAGGCGCCACACTGGGCAGGGCCTGGACTGGACTTTGTGCCCCAAGGCCTCCCAGGTAGCAGCTGCCTGCCCTTTCCAAGCTAGAGGATCATCCAGGAAGTGGGGACAGAGGGTGAGGTGACAGTCGAGAGACGGATGGGGATGCATGGCCATGTTGGAGAAAACGCACTGCTCGCTATCCACAGCTTTCTGAATGCTCTTCTCTGCCTGCTTGGGGCACAGTTTGTAACTGAAATCTTAGTACTCTGCAAGGTAGTGTGTGACAATGGAAAGTGCCATGAGCTAACCTGCCTGATCCCCCAGGAGACGCGGTTAAGAACCCATAGCTAGTAAGGTGAGCCTGAGTGCTGAATGAGGCCCACAGGTGTTTGGGGAGCTTGGAGTGTCCTTGGTGCTTAGGGGAGACCCCCACCAGTGCCTGACATTAGCTGGAATGAGGCAGAAGGGGGCCCCATCTCCATGTTGCCTCTTGCCACCAGGCAGGCCTCGGACAAGCCGCTGCACCTCTCTGGGCTGTGGTTTCCAGGGCTGTGAGACGCTGATCGAGCGTAGTGTTTACGTGAATAAGGATCACACGAGAACTCACGTGCTGGCCATTTGGGCCCTGTGATCACCCACGGAGCCACAGGGCCTGCTGGCAACACAAAGGGTCTGCAGGCAGCTGCTCTCTCTACTGGTGTTGGCAACAGGAAACATCCTTGGGCTGGGAGAAGGGGATTTGGCCAGGGACCAAGCCTTTCTCACCAGGCAACCAGCTTTTCAGAAGACTTCCCCTTTCGCTCTATGCACCTGTGTATCACAGGAACTTGGTTACTCATTGGCTCAGAAAGTATTTCTTATGTGTTCAGCCACCTGGCATTTATGAGTGTTTCTGGTGTACTCTGCCCGAGGCCAGCACCCAAAGGTGGGATGAATGCAGAAAGAACCTCTGCCTTTGAGGATCTGCTAATCGTTCATTCACTCACACATACAACAAATAAATATGTGCCATGAGCTCCTCTACACAACAAAGAACCAAACAAAACCCCTGGGATTAACAAGTGACAGCACCCTGCATGCCAGAAAGTGATAAAGGCTGCGAACAAAACCTACTGGGATGAGGAGGAGGTAGCCACGGGGCCTTGGAAGTAGCAGGGACTTGGAAGAGCGTGGGGATACATCAGTGCCAGCACATGCTAAGGAGAGAGAGCAGCACTTGCTAAGGCCCTGGGGCAAGCATGTGCCTGGCCTATTGAGGAACACTAGATGGGACAGTGTGTCTGAGAGGAATGATGGAGTGGGGAGAAGTGGTTCAGAGGGATGATGGGGACTTTGGATTTTGTTCTGAGTGTGATGAGAAACCACTGATGTTTTAAAGAGATCACCTTGGAAGGTAAGGCAGTGGGAAAGGAAACAAGTGAGATGGGAGAAGCAAGAGAAGGTGGGGATGCTCACCATGTCAAGCTGGTTCCACTGCTACAAACCTTAACAAGGTTAGGAGCATCTAGAGTGAATGTGGTCTCCGCGGCCTTGGTGGTGCTGATGGTTTCCAAGGGATCTCTACCCCCCAGTTCATCAAGTTGTGCATAAATAATGTCTTCACTGTTTACACATCCACCATACCTCAACAAATTGGCTTCACCAAAGCAAGACATTAGGGCTGGCCTTGTGGCATGGCAAGGCAAGCCTCTGCCTGCATCCTCTGTGAACACCAGTTCAAATCCTGGCTGCTCTGCTTCCCAACTAGCTCCTAGTTAATGCCGGGAAAGCAGTGAAAGATGGCCCAAGTGTGTGGGCTCATGCATCCATGTGGAAGACCTAGATGAAGTTAGCTTCCTGTTTTTGGCTTAGCCCAGCCTCGGCCATTACTATCATTTGGGGGAATGAACCAGCAGATGAAATATCTCTGTCTCTCCCTCTATCTGCCTTTCAATTAAATGATTTTTAAAAGCAGAGAAAAAAATTGAGTAATAATTAGGTGGCTTTTTTAAAAAGCAAGATAGGTGCAGGATATTAGAACAGGAGTCCTTTGAGCACTGAGAAGGCCTGGGATGAAGTATAGCTGGATCCATTTGCCCCACCAGCTTTTACGGAGGGCTGCTCATGACCAGCTGCTATGGGTGTAGGAGTCTTGGCCCTGCTTCCGATTCTAATTTCCTGCTAATGTAGATCTGAAGTTTAATGTGGGAGACCCCGATTGGCTTCTGAAATCTTGACTTTGGCATGGCCCAGATCTGACTGCTGTGGGCATTTGGGAAATGAACTGTCAGATGGACGAAACCTCTCATTCTCTTTCTGCCTTTCAAATAATAAGGTATTCTAAATAATGCCTAGGACATACACCTGCCATGCATTCTTCATAATTAACTCAATGAATTAATAATAAAAACAATTACTGTTTTCTCAAAGGAGGATTCAATCCTATTAAAAAGAGAGGTCTTTGTCTGCATTTTACAGATGAGGAAACCGGTATACAAAGAGACATAGACCCATTTGGGGAAGGAACTTGTTGGCCTGAGTTTGGGCCACACACAAGTTCCTGGGGAGATGGGAATAAAGAGAGAAGGCCCAGCTCAGCTTGGTGGCACCATGGCAAGAGTGGGGCCAACATGCTTGCTGTGTGCCCAGAGAATGCTATGACAGATTGGGGAGCCTGAGGAGACGAAAGGCTCGACTGGGAAGAGGTGACATTTGGTGTGAATCTTTTTTTTTTTTTTAAGATTTGTTTTATTTTCCTTGAAAAGTCAGATATACAGAGAAGAGGAGAAACAGAGAGGAAGATCTTCCATTTGTTGATTCACTCCTCAAGCAACTGCAATGGCCAGAGCTGAACCAATGTGAAGTTAGGAGCCCTGAGTTTCTTCTGGGTCTCCCATGCAGGTGCAGGGTCCCAAGGCTTTGGGCCATCCTTTATTGCTTTCCCCAGCTGCAAGTAGGGAGCTGGATGGGAAGCAGAGCTGTCAGAATTAGAATTAGCACCCATATGGGATCCCAGCGAGTGCTAGGCTACCATGCTGGGCCCTGGTGTGAATCTTAAAGAAAGAGAGGGACGAGTCTCACAGCACCACTGCTGATGTCCAGTGTTCCAGCCCACCAGACAGACCGCAGACTCCCAAGAACTTTGCAAATGACTGGTTCCAGAAAGATTCCAGCACAGACCACAGGAAATCAGCAGGAATACGGCCAGGGGAGGGAGCGTGCGAGAATAGGCAAGGGCCAGGACTGTGGTCAGCCTGCAGCCAGAGGCCGCAGCCTCCAGACTAGGGGCCTGCCTGAGATCGTGGATTCCTTTCTCCACTAGCTGCACCTAGAGTCCCTGGATGGTACAGGTGACCAGGCAAAGCCTCTGAGAACAGACAGGTGCGCCAAGGAAGCTGAAACTACAGAAGGAAAAGACCTAGCACACATCCTGGAGTTGTTCAACTGTTCTCAGTGTTTTGCACACATCACTCATTTAGTCTCTGTAGCAGCACCCAGCAGGGCCTGGGAGTGGAACAACATGCATTATTTAATGTGTGCCTGTTCTCTTTCTCCCTCCTAAGCTGGGTACACACATGGAGTTGAACTTGTCAAGAGTTTAAATGTGTGCTTCCCCAGTGCAGCTGACCTTTAGGACTGGTCCCTATGGGAAAATAGTGGAATGGGCAATCACGGGTCTCGAGATCACTTCCAGACTTGGCCTCTAATGACCCTGGATAAGGGGCTTGAACATGGTCACCCTCACAGGTGGCCAGCACAGGACCTGTTGGGCAGCAACCAGAGAATGCTTAGTGCTGGCCAAGGAAAGGAGATTTGTGTCATAGACATACTCCCCACCCCAGCAGTTACATGTAGACGGGATGGGGAAGGCTCTGCTTGTGTTTCTGGGCCCTACATCAAGAGGGATGCAAGAAAAGGAAAAACTCTCCAAATGCTGCTGGAGAAGGAAGACTGGTGCCTTGCATGCAGTAGGTGATCAATAAATGCATATTGCACAAGTGAGTACATAGAAGGTACCATATCATAAGCTGATTCCCTATGGTGATTTGGGGGACAAAAGCAAAGATATCAGAACCAGTAGGCACAGACTGGAACCCTAGCTTTGCCACTTCGTGGGATCTCTACTTGCTGGTTTGTAGAGTGGAGATGATGACACCTGCCTCAGGGGTTGTTGGAATATCGAAAAAGAACAGGTATAAAGTTCCTTACGGTTAATGAGCAGGGTGTGAGCAGAGATCCCGTGAGCCCAAGAGGCAGGACTTCAGGGTGAGAGGAGAGGAAGAGTCCCAGGGCCAGGTATGGCAGGCCACAGGCATGGCAGTCCATAGCAGAGGGGCCGTGGACCTGGCCTTAACAGAAGGCAGGGCTTGGAGCACAGTGAGGAGGAGCAGCAGTGGCTCACCTGCTGGGGCACATGTGTAGATCTTGGACTGTCTTCTCTTCAGAGCTGGAAGCAAACCCAGAGGAGAGTGGTCCACAGGGCTGCAGCAGGTGCCTGCTGAGGAGCACCAAGAAGGTGCTGGCTCAGTTCTGGGGCAAGAGCTATAAAGAAGGCTCTAGAACAGACAGTGAACTCCTTGATCATTCAGTAGACATCACTGGTTGCAGTACATCTGTGTGGGCTGCCAGGTGCTGGCTGTGCAGGAAAACCAAAATCATGGAGCTAGGAAAACATGAGAGAAGGCCTACCATGTGCTGGGTGTGAGCTCTGCACCTGAGGTCAAGGCACTGGGAGACTGGGATAAAAGTGAATCCAAAACAGGGGCACCCGGGACCTGCATTGTGGCATAGCAGGGAAAACTGCTGCCTATGATGCCTGCGTCCCATATGGGAATTGATTCATGTCCCAGATGCTCCGCTTCTGATTGAGCTGTCCGCTAGTGGCCTGAGAAAAGCAGTAGGAGATAGGATATGGACCTTTCAAGTAAGGACAGGAAGATTCCAGACTGCAGAGGAAAGTTCTGTCACCTGCAGCCTGAGTCCCACTTAGAACGTCTTGGAGTTGGCCCTGGAGAAGCAGGTAAGGGCTTGAGTAACCTCACCGCAGAGAGGCGCAGATGTGGGACTGAAGAGCTAACTTCGCAGCTGCCCAGAAGTGGTCTCTGGTTATAGAGGCCAGTGTTGGGGAGCTGTCCACAAAGGCCAGGAGTGTGGCACCTGCAGGAGTAGAGTCCATTCCACAAAGGCCAGCTTCAGCTCCCTGCCAGGTGGCAGGGAAATAGAATCCTGGTCCTAAAGTTCCAAATGCCTTTTGCCTTCCATTTCAGTCTTCCACCCCATGAACAATGAATGCTGTCTACCAAGGACAGTCCCTTGTGACTTAGCTAGGGCCCTGGTATGTGTGTATGTTTTATTGGAAACACAGATCAGATTTATGGAGAGAAGGGGAGATGGAGAGAAAGATTGTCCATGTACTGGTTCACTGCCCAAATGGCTACAATGCCTAAAACTGAGCTAATCCAAAGCCAAGAGCCTCCTCCAGGTCTCCCACAAGGGTACAGGGTCTCAAGGACTTGAACCATCCTTTACTGCTTTCCCAGACCACAGCAGGGAACTGGATGGGAAGTGGAGCAGCCAGGACACAAACCAGCCCCTTTTGGGATCCTGGAACTTGCAAGATTAGCCAGTTGAGCCATTGTGGTCTCCCCACTATGGGTGTGTCTTAAAGAAAACTTCAGTCCTACAGTGTCAGCCAACAAGAGGTTCTCATGTCACCACCCAAGGCAAAAACTGTGCTTGAAGGTTTCTGGCCAGGGACATCCCTATTCTAACCACATCAGATGGGAGTTTTATGGTCTCCCTTGAAAGCAGAATAGTTGAGGTTCAAAGATGTTCCAGGTTGGGCATTTGGCCTTGCGGCTGGGATGCTCGCGTCACACATGAGCGTGCCTGGGTTCAGTGCCCACCTCCAGTTCCTGACTCCAGCTTCCTGTTGATGCAGACCCTGGAAGGGAGCATAAATGGCTCATGTGATTGGGTTCCTGCCACACACGTGGGAGACCTGGAGTGAGTTCCAGCCCAGTCCCAAGTGTCGCATTTGGGAAGTAAACAAGTGTCTCTCAAATAACATTTTTTTAAAAAAGGTGTTCTATTTTCTCACTCATTCTAAACCAAGCCAAAAAAATGTTTGCTTAAAAGTACAGAGGATAGAGAGGTTCTCAGGGATATGGAGAAACTAAAACAGCAAGAGTACGACATTTTGGCCTAGAGGGGCCTTGGGAGTTCCAAGGCTTGAGCTGCACTGGGTGGTCTTTGTGTGATAGAGAGCAAGGCCTTGGAGTCACTCTTGGGTTCAACTCAGCTCTGCTTTTGAAGCTGTGGCTTCTTGGGGGAGTTGACCTCTCTGGAACTCAGTTTTTTTTTCATGTGCAAAAATAGTGAGAGAAATTCTACCTTATAGGGCAGGTGCGATAAGCCAATAGAATAAATCCAGGAACAGCTCCTGGTGCCCCATTGGAAATTTACATTGCAGTGTAGGGTGGGATGGGGCTCTCGGGGCCTCTGTAGGCTTCCCTTCCCTCTGCATGTGTTTCTGCAGTTCCCTTGGTCCCCACTGTAAGACATTGCCTTGTGGTTGTCTTTGAGCACTACTTCTGTGTTAGGCATAAGGTATTTAGAACAAAGCAGAGGTCACCCTTCATCTGGGGAAGGAGGCAGGCAAAACAATTCACAAAGAAAGCAAACTTTAAATTGGAAAGAGTACCTGATAGAATGACTGGAGGGTGAAGTGTTGGGTGGGGTGGGGTGGGAGAGGGGCTCTGTTAAGTCTGGGGAGGGGAGGAGGTTCACCTGGCAGAGGGACTAGCCTATGCCAAGACCCTGAGACTGAAAATTTGCTTATGGAGACAAATCAAGGGAGGTCCCTATACCAGTAGGAGAGGCTGGGCTTTGTTAAGCACAGTTGGGGAGTTTAGAATATGGTTTTAAGTGGGATAAGAAAACACTGCTCATTAAAACAAAGATACTTCCAGCCACTGGTCCTAGGGGAAGTACAGCATTTTTCTCTGCTCAAACTTCTCCATCATAGCCCAATTTAGACTAGCCTGGATGAGGTTTCCCAAAGGGTGGGCATAGTAAGTAGGGGAGGCTGGACTCTGCCAGTACCAGGCTACCACCCACTCCAGCAGACACATGCATCCCCCACCCTCTAGCTGACTGGGAGCCCCTGGCAGTGAGATAGGGAGAAGGCACGGGCACCCTTACTGGAACAGGTAGAGTAGCCTTTGGTGCAGCTGAACACTGGGCTGGGTTTAGGCATCCTACTAGGTTATTGGTTGTCCTTGTCTTCAGTGAAATGCCCAGCCTGGTTTTCATGGAAGAGGATACCCAAATCTGCATTCTGCACCCCCCGTTCAGGCCAGAAACCCCAAGGACAGGATCCAGCAAGTCCTCTCTGTGCTGGGACAGATAGATGCTCACAAGCCTTCCAGAAGCTTCCAGAAGCTACAGAGGGCTGAGAACATGCCCTGTGTGAGGTGGAGCAGGTGGCAGGGTGGGGAGGGGGTTGCACCCATCACCCTCCAGCTGCCACCTCGCCCTGTCATTTGGACTTGGGTAGAAGTTGCAGCTGAGGACATAGCTGAAGCACAGGGAATGAAGCTTCTCATAGCACTGTCCTAGGGAGTGGAGTTTAGGGCTCCTGGCTCACCAGCTTTCCTGGGATTGAGGTACTAATGAAACAGTGCCTGAACTGACCTTGGAGACCTGGCCATTGACGTCAGCAAAGCTGAAATGATGTAACCTGAGTGTCCCCCTGGGGTGCAGGTGCAGGGCTCTGAGGATGGAGAGGGAGTGGACAGGAGGCTGACTGGCAGACAGAACTCGGGGCCATCTCAGTCTAGGCCAGGCTGGAGCAACTGGAAGAGTTCCCAGCAGTACTGTCATAGGGGAATTTGGCAGTAAAGTGCTTCTAGCAGGTGGGATGTGCTATCTGAGCGAGTGGCCCAAGTCCTTTCTGAAAGCATTTATCCAACATTACAGCCACCACCAGGTAAGATAACGGGCTTCTAGGCACAGGTGACTTAGTTCTGGGGGATGGAGGTGTGGCAGGTGGAAACAGCAACACTGCTACAAGTGCACACCTGGCGTGTGGGGCTTCACATGTGCACACATGTGTATACACCTGTGTATGTGCACACATGTCATCTGGGACAAGGCTCTACCTGGCCACATCTGGAAGCACAGAAATGTTCCTATGGCTACTCACGCTGGGGCAGTCTGATATTTTGAGGCCAAAGGGGCAGCCTAGCCTCTGGTTTCCCCTTTCTCCTGCGCAGTACTTGGGGAGCAGGGTCTCTGGACAGGGGCAGTCTCCTCCTCCCTGGGGGTCTGCGGGGCTGGGCTGGGAGCTGTAAGCTTACACGTGGATTTTCCAGGTGGACTTCCTGATTGAAAATGATGCGGAGAAGGACTATCTCTACGATGTGCTGCGGATGTACCACCAGTAAGTGTGCTAGGGCCAGCTGCTGAGGCCGTTGCAGCTGCCTCTTACTGTGGGAGCCCTGGGACAAGCTGTGCGGAGACAGAGGAGCTCCACGCAGTGTCACTGGGAAGGAGACTAATATGACAGTCACTCATTTCAGCAAATATTCACCCAAATCCTCAGTGCCTGGCTCTGCACAAGGGGCTGGGAGAACACGGGGAAGCCCTTGGGTTGCTAACAGTCTGATGGGGGAGGCTGTCTGGAAGTCAGAGAGATTGACTAAGGAGTAATTGTTGGGATGAGAAGAAATGCCAGCTGGCCCCGCTCCCTGCATCAACTGTCTCTGATCATGCACTTAGCATTTAATTTGCTCAGTGTAGATTTATAAGCACCTGTTAACTTGCTGGGCACTGGGCAGAATCTGGAAAGGAATAAGATCTACTTTCTCTCCTTGAGTAGCTTGTGTCCTGGTGGAGACAGATAGATGTGGCCATCTCAGCCAAATCATAAAAGCAGGAGGGCAAAGATTTTTTTTTCCACTTAAAAACATCTTTATAAAGAAAAAGAAGGCAGAGAAATGGAGAGGAAGAGACAGAGAGAAAGACAGTTCGTCCATCTGCTAGTTCACTCCCCATCCAGACACCCACGTGGTATTAGTCATCACCCACTGCTTTCCAAGGTGCAGTCATAGGGAGCTGGGTCAAAGCAGAGCAGCCAGGATTTGAACTGGTGCTCTGATATGGGATGCTAGCATGACAAGTGGCAGCTTAACCCCGTAATGCCACAGCATCTGCCCCAAATATTTCTTCCACTTTTAACTGCAGGAGCAAAAATCAGGAGGACTTGAGCGAAACTCCAAAGGATAAGCAGGGTTCTGACAGGTGGAATTTCGGGGAACAGAGTTCCAGTCCAGCTCAGCCAAGGGGCAGCGGCGTCCAAGGGCAGGGTGAATGGAGCTAAGGAAACCAGCAGGATGGGACTCAGAGTGCATGGAAAGCATAAATACCACTTGTATGGAGATACTTTATGGAGACAGACCTAGAAGAATCTGAAAGAAGAGTAGATTTTGTCCTCTGGACAATAAGGAGCCATGGAAGGATAGATAGATAAATTTGAACAGCAGTGATACACAAAGAGAGGAAGAAAGAAAAAGATCTTCTATCCAGTAGTTCACTCTCCAAGTGTCATGGACAGTCAAGGCTGGGTTAGGCCACAGCCAGGAGCCAAGAGCTGCACATGGGTGCAGGGGCCCAAGGCCTTGGGTTGTCAACTGTTGCTTTCCGAGTCACATTTGAAGGGAGCTGGATTGGAAGTAGAGCAGCCAGGTCTAAGAGGCACCCATACAGGATGCCAGCGTTGTGGAGACAGCAGCTTTATCTGCCACACCACAATGCCAGCCCCAAAGAAGGGTTTGGAGAACGGGGAATGACCTCACACTTAGAAAAGGTTAGATGAGAGTGAGCGCAGCAGCAGGCAACTGGAAATGTCAAGGGAATGACATGTGAAGGAGGAAGCAGGTGAGAGAGATTGCCAGGACAGAATTTAACGAGTTTCACAGCAGATCACAAGTGGGGGACAGAGCCACAAGCCAGATCCTCTGCATCTCACACATAGATGTTCTGGCTGCAAAGATTCCAGGCTTGCAGAGCTGAAGGTTAAATTTTGGCCTGATTTCATCTGCAAAATGGGTTCATATTCCTCAGCTGCCTGGTTTCCTTGTGATGCTTATGTGGGAGAACAAAGCTCTTATCAAGTTCCTGGGCCAGAGTGAGGGGTGCTGCAATCTTTATGAGAGCACTCTTTCATTTCTGGGCCTGGCTGCAGCAGGTGTAAACCCAGGCCAGGACCGCTGGTCCCCAGGGCTCATGGTAGGTGCCAAGCTCCAGTCATTCTCCCTTCCTCACCCCCCGTCTGTCTGCAGGGCCATGGATGTGGCCGTGCTGGTGGGAGACCTGAAGCTGGTCATCAACGAGCCCAGCCGCCTGCCACTATTTGACGCCATCCGGCCCTTGATCCCACTGAAGCACCAGGTGGAATACGATCAGCTGACCCCACGGCGCTCCAGGTACCCAGGGGGCCAGGCCAGGGAGAGGGGAGGAGAGGCTCTTACGAGTGGGCGAGGCAGCAGTAGCTGTGGGACCCCAGCTGCAACATGGCTGACCTCTCTGCTGTATAGGAAGCTGAAGGAGGTGCGTCTGGACCGGCTGAACCCCGAAGGCCTCGGCCTCAGCGTGCGAGGTGGCCTTGAGTTTGGCTGTGGGCTCTTCATCTCCCATCTCATCAAAGGAGGTCAGGCCGACAGCGTTGGGCTGCAGGTGAGCAGGCGGTATCCCAAGGCAGGAGCACTCTGCCTTCCTGCTAACCTCCTGCAGGTATTTACAGGCCCGTGGAGACTGGAAGCAGGTGGTTGTCTGTTTTCTTGAGTCAGGCTGGGAACCTGGCTCCCAGCTATTGCTGCTGTTCCTCATCCCAACCACCCAACTTGAGAAGTAGGGGTGTCATTCAGTTCTAGGGCTCTGGACAGGTTGTTTTTGTATGTGCAGGGAAAAAGAAAGCATCAGGATGTTTGCAAGCCTGGATTAAACCCTGGCCATGCTAATTCATCCAGCTGTGATTTTGGTCACATGATATAAGCCTCAGTTTCCACATCTATAATATGGGATGATGTTAATACATGTCCCAGCTAGTTCCTTAGGTTATATGAAGAATAAATCAGGATTAGTAGGTGCTTCTAAGAGCAGCTGACACAACACGGCTCTGTGTGTTTAAGAAGGCAAACAGGCAAGTTTCATAGGTGCAATGGTTATATTTGTTAACAACTTGTATGGTTATCCTGTGCATATGTGCTGGGTCAGGCACAACCACACCGCAGAGAAGTTTTCACCATGTGCATGGGACATTTCGTGTCCTTCTTTCAGAGCTGGCACAGGTTGGGAGATCAGTAGAGGCAGAGCCAGGACTAGAACCTGGTTCTCCTGATGTCAAGCCCAGCCATTTCTTTTGGGCATCACAGGTGCTTTTCCACTGGGGTCCCCACAGCTAGGTATCTGGGCAGAGAAGGGTAGGTCTCCTGGTCTCTCTCCTGCTCTCCTAGAGCTGTGAGTTGAAGGCCCCTGGTGCCTCCCAAGGCTTCCAGAATGTTAGTTATCCTTATCCTGATCAGGGCCGCCTAGCCAGGGGCTTCAGGGGGCTTGAACACAAACTGTGCAAGGCACTGTGGGGTTGGGGTGGGAACGGGGAGCTCACAGACATGGCTTTGTTCTAAATCCCTGTCTCACGCTCGTCGCTGGCGGCTGAAATTTCAGCCCCTTCATTATTCCTTTCCTCTGTGGCACATTTTCCAGCCCAGAAACACAGCCAGAGAATATAATGAACTCCTCTCTTGGCGCCAGCCGAGGGCCCTTTTTTTTTTCCAGGACTAGCTCTCCTGCTAGGACGAGCACTGCCCCCACAGTGCACTGGTGAGCCAGAGCACGGGGGCATCGGAATGGAACCCAGTCTTCTTACTGACTAGGGGCTGATCCTTCCTTTGTGCTGCTGGCCCTCAGATGGCTGTGTCATCACCGTCCTGCACAAAGGGCCTTTTGCAGAGCTCCCCAGGGGCGAGTGAGGGAAGCTGATCCAGCAACCTGAGCCTGGGGGCCCGTGTGGGAATCATGCCGGCCGGGGTCCTGGGCAAGCTCCCCATGGGAACGAAGCAGTGAACTTTGCTCATTTGTCTGCCTGCAGTAGACTGTCAGGATCCTGGGGGAGATCTTGTACCTGCAGGCAGCTTGGGGAAGATTCTGGAAGGCAGGAGAGGAGGCAGGAAGGAGAGAGCAGCCTGGCCAGGCTGCTCAGCCTAAGCTGATGGATGTAGTGACTGGTAGGGGCTCACCTGTCCCATGGGCCTCATATTTGTCCTCCTACTGTGGTCGCATTGGACGCTAATGATCATCCTACCTGTGCTGTACAACTTGCTGAATGGCTTATGTCTGGAAAATGATCATCTGTGCCTTGGTTGTCCGAGCTAGAAAATGAACAGGGCAATCCCTGCCTTCTCTTGGGACCCACAGGGCTCTGACAGGGAAGTGTGACCAGGCTTAGCCTGGCGCCCCGGAGACGTTGCCAGCTGGAACTCCAGCCACACTGTTTCCTAGCTGGGTGGGCTCCAGCAAGTTCCTTCCTGCCCCGGAGGTGCGCTTTCCGCATCTGACTCCCAGGACACAGCTTGCTGCTTCACAAGGCTGTTGTGAAAGATGGGGGCGAGGCACCCAGCCCGCGGTTCTTGGGTGCTGCATGTCCTCAGTCACCCAGGAGGGTTTTCTGAGGAACCTGTCCATGTTTAACTTCCTGAGCCCTTTGCTGTCACTGTCAGGTCCCTGAGAAGATCCAGGTGTGTGCCATAGCAGTGGTGAGAAGCTGACCCTGAGGGCCAGAGACGCCTTGCCCCACCTCCGCTTATCCAGACTCCACAGTCTAGCTTTTGTGCCTCAATCTCTAAGGACTCAGCCTCCAGATGATCTGCACAGGGCACCGTGGTCCAGTCCCAACACTGCATTGCCAACTGTGTGACCTTGGACTTGACCTCATGTATCTCAGCCCACAGCTGAGGCTCCTTGCTCCCCTATCTTGATAAAGCCAAGGACATCAGGGCAGCTCCCCTCTCTTGATGAAATCTAGCACTTCAGGAACCATCTCTTGGGGCCTGGAAAAGTAGCCACAGTGTCCAGCAGGGGGCGGTCTCGCTGCAGGTTTGTATCCAGGGTTTGCAATTGAGTCTCCTCCATCTTTTGTATCAGGGCAGCCTAAGCTCTGAGAAGAGGGACCAGAGCCTAATGTTCACAAACCTAACCAGTGACAACACTGGCAACCATGTATTGAGCGCTCGGCTGTGCGTGGACACAGCCACCACAGTTCTCTCCACATGACAGACGAGGGAAACTGAGGACCAGAGAGGTCAAGGAGTTTGTCCCAAGAGACAGAGCTGATGAGTACAAATGCAGGGACTTGAACCTTGAACATCAGTTGGTAAAGCCCTTTGCTCACTGGCTGCTCACATGTGGTGTGTGTGTGTGTGATATGAGCTTGTATCTGGAGTCATGGAAGTGGGGCAGACATTTAGTGCAATGGTGAAGACACTGCTTAGAAACCTACATCCCACACTGGAGTGCCTGCTCCTAATCCAAGCTTCCTGCTCCTAATCCCAGCTTCTTGCTCATGCTAAGCGTGGAGGCACCAGGTGACAGTCCAGGTAGCTGGCTCACTGCCACCTCTGTGGGAGACCTGGATTGAGTCCCCACTCCTTGACCTTATCATTTTGGTAGTGAACCAACATGTGGGAGACATCTATCTCTGTCTCTTCCTGAATCTCAAATAAATAAAAATAAGTGAGTTTTTTTTTCTAATACAAAAGGAGTCATGGGATATCCTACCCCTGCTTAGTTACAATTTCACAGTGATTGACAGAGAAGGCAGAGCCTACGGGGCCAGGTGGGACAAGAGTGTGGCAGGATCAACTTGAAGCTGGAAAGGTTGCCTTGTGACTGACTGCAGGATCTGGTGGTCACTAGTGTAGTGGATGGGGCAACGGAAGGAAGATGTGGCAGTCCTATGTGCCACTCAGCACTGCCTTCCACCCACTGTGTCCAATCATGGTTGCCTCATCTGTGAAATGGGACAGAAGGCCTGCCCTGGGAGCCTCGCATCCAGAGTGTGCATTGACTGTGACATTCAGGCGGCTGATGGCTGTCACTCCTTGTTTGGGAGTGCAGGCTCGGCTCCCTGGGTAGGCACTGCTTCAGCCCAGCACCTCTCCCCTCCTTGTGGCCAAGGTTGGAGATGAGATCGTCCGGATCAATGGCTACTCCATCTCCTCCTGCACTCACGAAGAGGTCATCAACCTCATCCGAACCAAGAAGACCGTGTCCATCAAAGTGAGGCGTGAGTGAGGCCCTAGGGCAGGACTTGGTGCCTGGGCCAGGGTGGGCCCTGTCGAGGGTGGGAGGAAGTATGGGAAAGCAGCACTGATTCTCATGCTTTCCTCCCGCAGACATCGGCATGATCCCTGTGAAAAGGTGAGTGGCACCCAGCGGCCTCTGTCTTGAGCCACCTGGAGTCCTGGTGTCTGCCTTGTGTCTGATGCCAGATGTGCCCTGGGGCCTCCGGATGTGACTGGCACACATGGACATGGGGGGGCTGGGTCCCTCAAAACCCTCTCACTGACAGCCCCCTTCTCTTCCCTCTCCCCAGCTCTCCCGATGAGCCACTCAAATGGCAGTATGTGGACCAGTTTGTGTCGGAATCCGGGGTAAGGGCTGGAGCACCAGTGATGGGGTGTGTGTGGCCATGGGCTTCCGGAAGGGGCGGCCAGTCCTGCAGGGAAGCACCCTCTGGGGCTTCCCACTGGCTCTCAGGCTGCTCAATGCACCCCTATGAGATGGTAGGCACTGGCTAGGCACACATACCAGCCATCTGCCTGCAGTGGCCACCCCAGGATGCTACTTCTCTCCCTCCTGCAGGGTGGGCGGGGCAGCCTGGGCTCCCTCGGGAGTCAGGAGCACAAGGAGAAGAAGGTTTTCATCAGCCTGGTGGGCTCCCGGGGCCTCGGCTGCAGGTGAGTGGCGGGCTTGCCCTGGGCACCGCTCCCCCACTCCCCGACTCCGTCCTGGCTGTGCCTATCCATCAGGGTGGCGGCTGCACCCATGTTGCGGACAGCCTTGGTGCCTGACTTCCCCTCTGAGCGGAGCAGCAGCTCTGTAGGGAGGACTCGGGGTGGCTATAAGAGGGGCTGCTTCCCTTGTAGGAAATGGAGGCAGAATCATGTTCCTGTGACTGTTTGCGTCTTCTGCAGTCCCCTTGTCACTGGTTACCTTGTGGGCTGCCCAGAGGGGTGGTCAAGCACTGGTGCCCTGGGCAGCACTTTTGCTATAATCCCCAAGATCTTGGTTCCACTCTGCTCTGTCTAGAGCCTCAGACCAGGGACCCCTTTGAGTCTCAACTTCTCCCTTTCTATACTGAACACTTACATCAGAGTGTAAGGCTTGGCAGGTAGTAAGCAATGTAGGAGCATTGGCTGATATTATACAAGCTATTCCTACCATTCCCTTTCCATTTTTTTAAATGCTTTGATGCCAAACATAAATGATTCAAAAAAGAGTTCCTTCTTTCTAATGGATAACAGCCTACTGCAGCAACCAACCCTATAGGGTGACAAGGCCTCTAAGGGAACGACAATCTAGGTCAGGGATGCCAAGTAGGATTCCTAACTCTGCTATCTCTAATCAGCCAGTAGTGGCTGCTTAGGAGTCTAGCTTGACAAGGATTCTAAGGCTGTATCTGGCCTTGGCGGGAGAGTGCTGTGATCGGTTAGTGATGTCTGCTGTGGTCCTAGGAGGAGAGAATAACGATGCAAATGCCCTCCTGGGTGAGAAGGGAGCAACTTTCCCAGTTTGGGGCCAGAATGTAGGATCTGGTGAAAAGGGTATGGAGGACATAGTGCCCAAGTTTTAGGAATAAACAAGAAAGTGCCACCAATAGAAGAAAGCAGCGTGTTGCTCCATGGAGTGAGGACTTGGGGGACAGGGATTACAAGGAGCTTTCTGTAGCTGTGGAGCAAGGGAGCAGTGGAAACACGGTGGACAAGGAGACTGAGGCGAAGCGTAGTGGAGGGCTGTGGCTCCGGAGCTCTCAGTGACCCTGTGTGGTGCACCCAAGGACAAGGGAGCAGGAGACCGAGAACAGTCATGTGCAGCAGGAGCACAGCCTCGCCTCCCTTTCCCATCCCCTACAGCATCTCCAGTGGCCCCGTCCAGAAACCCGGCATCTTCATCAGCCACGTGAAGCCTGGCTCCCTGTCTGCAGAGGTGGGACTGGAGGTGAGAGCTTCTGTGCCGGGCCCCTGGGGTGAGGTCAGCATTGATCACAGAGCAGTGGGGCCACAGCCCTTGCCAAGGCCCCTGGCTGAAGGTATTCATACCCCTCAAGGGAAGGCTGCACAGAGAGGATGACATTTGGCTTCCTGTCCAGTCTTCTGTAGTTCTGAAATTTGCTGAATGTCTGTTGGTTTTCAGCATGGGACTGTGGTGCTAGAACTCGGAGTTGACACTCCATGAGCATTGGCATGCCTCATTGTTCTGCGCCCTGTGCATTCTGCAAGAACACTTGATGATCCGATACCATTGTTATTCCCATTTTACTGAGGGAGAACTGAGACCCAGAGGACATGCACTTTTTTTTTCTCTCGGGTTCATATATTTCTAGCATAGTAGAGTTGGGGTTCAAAGCTGGGAAGTCTGAGGCCAGAGCTTGAACTCCTCATGTCTACATTGGACAAGTTACTTGGTGTTTCTGAGCGTTAGTCCTTCGCCTGCAAAATGTGGAGACTCAGTGCTTTCTCTCCGAGACGGCGGTGGGGCGTCAGGTCATTCACACACAGGCTAGCACTGTGCAGAGCGCGGGTAAGAGATGAGTGAGCACTGGCTGTCCCACCTGCAAGTGATGATGACTCAGCACGGCCCGTGCCCTGTGAGAAGCCCAGAGGCTCTTGTGTCTGCAAATGCCATCCACGTAGCCAAAGACATGAACCTCTCTAATGGTGTAATGGCTGGTCAGAGAAAGTGGAGTAGAGGGAGAGCTGCCAGGGTGAGCTCAAGGCTTCCCTGGGCCCACAGGCCCTGGCCCCTGCTCTGTTCCCCGGGAGGAGCCGCTGGGCAACCAGCAATCCTTGGGAGCCATTCTGTGGATGAGTGTGTGTGTGGCACACAAATCTTTCTCCTTCCCCACCAGACAGGGGACCAGATCGTTGAAGTCAATGGGATCGACTTCTCTAACCTGGACCACAAGGAGGTGAGATGGGGAACTCCTGATCTCCGCTCCACGTCGTTGACCACCATCCCCAGGGTGGGCTCTGGGCTACCTGTGGCCCAGCCTCAGCGTCCGATCTCCCACTGCTGCAGGCCGTGAACGTGCTAAAGAGCAGCCGCAGCCTGACCCTCTCCATCGTGGCTGGAGCGGTAAGTCCATCACAGCTGGCCATGGCTGGCAGTCCCCTGGACTATACCACTTGACGGCCAGGAAGGGCCTAGGGGCTCCTTCATGACAGCACATGGGGAGGACTTGGGTCCCTGCCTGGCTTGCCTTGACAGTACCAGAGCCTAGGGGGCGGGCGCTGAGAAGACACCATAGCCCATCCGCCAAAAAAGCGATCTCAATAAGGAGCCTCTCTTCTCCCCTCAAGGGCCGGGAGCTGTTTATGACTGATCGCGAACGTCTGGCTGAGGTGCGGCAGCGGGAGCTGCAGCGGCAGGAGCTTCTGATGCAGAAGCGGCTGGCCATGGAGTCCAACAAGATTCTGCAGGAGCAGCAGGAGACGGAGCGGCAGTGAGTGTAGTGGCCCAGCAAGCGGCTCCGCCCACCGCACCCCCACCTCTGCCCTCTCCGGCCACCCAGTTCCCCAGGGCAGACTTCATCCTCTCAACCCCTTGTTGGGCTGCTGGTTATGTAATGCTGGTGCAGGGGTGGGGGCAGGTGGTGTTGAGGCTGAGACGCAGAAAGCCAAAGTGCCCTGCCATGGCAGAGCTGGGGTTCACACCCAGGCCATTGGCTCCAGAGCCTGGCAGTCCCCAGAAGCCCACCCTACTCGCAGGGCAGTGGGTGATGGACTAAGAGAATTGTTGGGACAAGCAATCCATAAAGCAAAAAATCCCAACCCAGATACAGTCTAGGCACTTAGTAACTGCGTTTGGAAAGACCTCCCTGTCTCCCCTGTCACAGAGAGGCCTAGAGAATGGTCCCTGGTTGGGGGCTGCTGCTTTGTTCCCAAAGGCTGAAGGCTGACTGTGGGAAGACCCTCAGTCCACGCATGACCTGCCTCTTATCAGTCCCTTTACCTTGGAGCTGGGAGGTGGATGCATGGAGTATCTCCCGCAGTATGGAATCTCTGCTCAGCAACTCCAGACAAAAGCACAGAGGGGCAACAGGGGAGCTTTGTTGGGTGGTTTCTCCTGCCAACCTGCATTTGTATTTCAGGAGGAGAAAGGAGATCGCCCAGAAGGCTGCTGAAGAAAATGAGCGGTACCGGAAGGAGATGGAGCAGTGAGTTTCGTGTGTGTGTGTGTGTGTGTGTGTGTGTATGTGTGTGTACAGGAGCCTGCTCTCCCAGGGTTGAGATGCAGCCATCTGAGGCCCCCTCCTCTAGTCCCTGTTTACCTGGCTGGTTGGTACTCTGGCTGGTCTTCCTTGACCTTCAGCCAATGCACAAGCCCCAGGAAGCCCATCAGTTAGGGGAACTCAAACCTGCTCTCATAAAATTTCCAGTTGCCAAGCTGAACTCCAGGGGCTTTGTTTTCTTCATGCCAGCTAAACCCACAAGGCCTGTTCCAGGTTGGATGCCCTGATGGTCAGGAGGTCTGCTTGTGGTTGTCCTGATTCTAACCACAGGCCTGTGGGTCTCATTACAGGATCGTGGAGGAGGAAGAGAAGTTTAAGAAGCAGTGGGAGGAAGACTGGGGCTCAAAGGAGCCGCTGCTGCTGCCCAAGACCATCACCGCCGAGGTGCACCCTGTGCCTCTCCGCAAGCCCAAGTGTATGTACGCTGTGCAGGGAGGGGCTCCCTTCCAGGGCTTGCACCCAAGGGGGCTAGACAGAGAGGCTGCTCTGGCCTTACCTCCTGCTCATTCCAGGGCAATCAGCCCCTGGCTCCCCATGGAGGGGCAGCCATGTGTCCAGGGCCAGTGACTCGGTCGGGATGTGAGGAAGCTGCCTGCCCTCCTTGTCAGGGACACAGCTGCACACTCCCAGCTGAGGGCCATGGCCAAAGCAGCTCCTAGGATGACTGTCGTAGTTCCCGGGGTGGCATGTACTCTTCCTGCCTGGCTCTCTGCTGAGATTGGGATGGAGCCAGCAGCAAGAAAGATAGGAAGGCACTCTTGTGATCCAATGCTGCCATGGGAGGGGCTGCGTGGGGTAACGCTGTCACCCATGTCCATGCACATGTACTGCTGCCTTGCTCTACTAGGACAAGGTGCAGAGAGGTGGTATGAGACCCAGCTGAACTGGCCTATGGGGGCTCAGCTCCTACTGCCACCAGCAATTCACCTCCATCTCAGGCCGGACCTCCCACAGCTGCTCCTCTCAGCCCCGCCCTCCAGGGTATCTCTGCAGGAGACAGCCCCTTGCTGCCGGGACATCATGGGGGTGCCTCAGTGGCAGTGCTTCTTCAGTGGATTAGTGGTGGGAGTCAGGACTAACGCTGCTTGGGGACTGTAGAAATCACAAGGCCAGAATTCCTGATTGAGTCTTTACAGTCCTTTTCCAGGGGCTTTTATATGGTTGCCTGGGCCAGGATCTCCTTCAGCTACAAGCTCATCGGCTTGAGGACCTGGGTCAATCTGGACCATGGCGGGAGCAGAGAGCAGGTGTTTGAGAAGCAGTGACAGGGTCCCCCAAGCTCTGTCCCAGCTTTGCACATACCCATCTCTAAGGGGCTGTCACTTTGCCAACACAAGCTACTTGAGCTAAGGAAGTGGTGTAGAGTATCTAGATGGTTCTATTTCCCCTGTCCATGGTCCAGGACCAGCAGCCCCCAGCACAGTCCTTGCTGGCAGCAGGTCTCAGGGTCACCTCCAGGCCCTCTGTGGAAGACAAAGCCCAGTGTCATCAGGCTCACCTTGGCATTCAGTATTGGGCAAAGTGGGTAAAGTCAGAGTGAAAGTCCCAGTGAATAATCCGTGTTTTCAACAGGCGGCTAATTTGTTCTTATGGGTGAAATAGGAGCTTCAGAGGGAGAGAAATCGATTTTAATTGCTTCTCATGAAAGTAATCCTGGTCAATTTAGTACTTTCCTAGAAATTGGGTCTTGGTTTCACAGCAAACACTCCCTCTTAGGAACTCTAAAAAAGAAAACCCTTTCATTAGCTAGCTATTTATTTGGTGCTTTTTAACCAAATCAAGTTTCTTGAATAAAAGGAGCACAGATTTTTGCCTTTACTCAAGATAAAGGTTTTGAAGGCAGGACCACAAAGCACAGGATTGATGACCCGAGTCTTCTGGACAGGCTGGTGCACCTGCTGCAACCATCCATCCCCCCACCACACCTCCAGTCCAGCTCCGCTCCTGCCTTTTCCGTTCCCAGGAGAGTGGCATGGAATTGGTTATGTTCGGCCAGCAGGACTGTCCCCCATCATCCCTGCCTGACCACCCTTTGGCTCTGGGGTCCACTTAGCCAACACGTTACCCTTGACTGGGAGCTTAGTGCCTGTGAAGGATGCAGCCTACATTTTTAACAAACAGAAGAGTATAGATCATCTCTCACCTGAACAATGAAGCCACTCACCCACTGATGGCATGAGAGTGACCGTTCTCCCCCTACAACTGCAGAGAAGCACCTGCCATAGCCTACCACCACCACCACCAGTGTAGATCTCATGATCTGGACGTCTAGTTTCTTTTTCTATCAAACTTTTCAGTCATCATCCGTGTCCCGATTGCTTTATTAAGCAATCTTTGTCAGCAAGGAGCATCTGTGATCCACTCCTGAGCACATGGGATTCAAGGCTAAAGCAAAGGAGGAACAAACAAGCTTCTTCTAAGTCAATAAGCAAGGCCTTTCACACTTCTGAAATAGTCAAAGGCAGCTCACAAACAAACTCATGCATCATCTACCATGGTCCCAGGAAATTTCCTGGGGACCCTTAACCTCCTTGCCACCCACACTGCTCATGGCTGCAAGGCAAGGGTGGTAAAAAGGAGGCAGGGCCCTGTTCTACCTTTGCAAGGCCTCACGATTACCCTCTGAGGTGTGTGATCCTCAGACACTCCCACCCTCCTTGTCATCCTTCCTGAAGTTCCTGTCAGTACCCTGCAAGCTGCTTCCCTTGCTGCTGTTGGATCAGAGGGCTCTCACATTAGCCTATTTTTGTAGGAGAAATCAAAGCCGCAGAGATTGCAAGCCCACAGCATGAGACCTACGTTCTGGCCTCCAGGATCTGCCCCTACTCCAGACCTTATCCCTCCTTAGGCTTCAGGAGAACTCCTCCAGCCTCTTGGCATCTCCTGAGATCCTTTTGGTTCACCAGCTTCCCCCCATCCCTCTTTTCCCCGGGTAGATGATCAGGGAGTGGAGTCTGAGATCGAGCCTGCCGATGACCTGGATGGAGGCACGGAGACGCAGGGAGAGCAGGTTCGCACCCCTGCTTTGCTTCCTGGCCTTGCTTTGCTGCTTGTCCTGCCCACCTCCTCCTGCAGCAGTGCAGACACCAGGTGGCATGTGGTGGGGATCACTGGGGCCCATACTGTTCCTCCAAGCCCTTCATGGTCCAAGCACTGCACACCAAAAGCTTGGGGACAGGGCTCAGGGACAGGTTGTAAGGACTGCAGTGTACATCTATAGAACTGATCTTCTAGGCCAAAAAATGTATTGCCCTGAGCTCAATTCCCCATTTCCACTCCATGTGCCTCTGAACCCTCCCCCAGGATGCCCTGAACACCTCCCATTTCCAGCCAGCAAGGAGCTGTCACCATCCTGTCCAGCTCCCAGAGGTCTTCAGGGCGGGTTGTCATTCAAGTCATTGCTCCTGGTTCCAGGGAGCTTCAGGATTGGTGGCCGGCACCCTGTTTATGCAGCGTGCATGGAGGTATACAGAGATGTTGTACTTGTCTAGGCCATTTTCAGCTTTTTCCTGGTGGTCTTGGGCTACCTCAGCAAGCCAGTTGAGTGGGGAGAGTCAGACAGAGGAGCCACTCTGCTGTGACCCTGGTGGCTGAGTTTCATCATGCAAAGCCATGCATTGCCTTGGACCCGACTCACAGGTGCTGGCCAGATTCCATGGCCTAGTTGAACTGTGTCTCATGACTCTGTTCTCTGTGTTCTTTGTAGCCTTTGGGTGGTTTTATCGTTATGACGGCAAATTCCCCACCATCCGGAAGGTAGGACAGAACTTGAGTGCCGTGCCTGTTTGTGGCTGAGTTTGCTGTGGGTTTTTGGCCTTTTCCAACATTTTTTATACCCTGGCCTGTTCCCTTGGAGGACCAAGCCCACCTGTGTTTGTCAGAAGCGTCATGAGCAGTGGGATTTGTAGGTGAGACCTGCCCGTGGGCCATCAGGACTGGTATTTACTCAGCAGTCCTGATGGGCACAGGGCAGGGCAGGGAAGGAAGCTGCTGCTTGGTTTCTCTGCCAAAGTCAAAGCCCAGGTGGTAATCACAAGAGTGGGGTCTAACAGTGTGGGTTCTGAGGGTGCGCATACACTAAGGGATCTGAGACCAACTGTTGAATACAGACGTGAAGCCTGCTGCATCAGGTGGAGGAATGACTCTGCCCTAAAAATACCTCTGCATATACTTGGGATAATATGTTCTTTTGGTCCCTGGGACCTTCAATTTTCTCTTGTAATCTTATTACAATAGCTCCAGGCCCTATAAAACTCCCTTGTTCTGGGTCTCTCTAAATCACATTGGCATTTGATTAAGAGAATGCCACTGTTAGCAACTGTAGATTGAATGTTCGAAATGGCTTGGTATTTGGAAATTGAGCATCCTTATAAATCCGGGTGAGCTCAATTAGAGATTATCACTCAGTTGGCTTTCTCTCACAAAATGTCGATCACCCAGAAACCAAAACCCCAGTTACTGAGCAGTCTTAATTACGTGTAACTTCTCCCTGCTTGAAAACTGGTTAATGTCTGTCTGTGCCCTTCTACTAACACATTGTGATGAAGAGGCAGCCAAGACTCTGGCAGCAGTGAACCTGGGAGCATGGGTCACAATTCGGTCAGTGTTGAGTAAATGCATACCATCACCGCATATAGCCGGGGCCATTGATAGGACCTGGCCCCATTAGTCTGCCATTTTCATATTATGTGCTGATTCTGACTTCACATGTCTCACTGGGTTGGATTTATAATCCTTCACTATAGCCTGTCTCTGCTACCAGTCATCTCGAGAGGCCAAATGGCGTGTGAGTGCACCACCCACTCAATGCACACACACATAGCATCTTGTCAGGGAAAAAAAAAACAGCAAAAGCAAATGAAGGTCAAATATTTTCCAGGCACTTACTCATTTACTATGTAAATGTATAAGAACCAGAATATCCTAAACACATGCACACAGCAGAAATCATGTTATTGGAAAATTGCTGCCCATAACGTGGTAGTAACTGTTCATCAGTAACTGACCTTCCAGAGAAAGCTGGCATTTCAGCTTTTGTTTTCATTTCCAGAAGAAGAGAGAGCAACAGCTTCCAGATGGAAGCAGGTACACACCTACCCCATCTGCCTCTCCTGTCAGTCTGGACTGAAAGGAGTATTTGCCATGAATTTCACTGACCACTGACAAAGACAGCAGAATTACACTGCCCTGAGCTGGCTGTGCACATCTGTCGTTGGGTTTTCTAGAGCTAAATAAGACACTTTCTTACCCAGCACCTGCAACCCAGAGTCCCCAAGATAATACAGGTAGGCATCCACAGCCACCATCCTCAATGCACAGGAGTCTTCTTCTTTTAAAGATAAGGAAGCAGCATCTTCCTGCTCTGGCAGGAAGTCCCACTGGAACTTGCGGAGTCCAGGGGGGGCCAGAAGTGCTCTAAGGCACCCTCACCAAAGCAGCTTGAGTTAAGTCCTCCAACCCTGCTCTCCTGGCAGGAGCTCATGTTCCAGCAGGGGAGGCAGAGTCACACACAATGAAGTCACCTGTGGTGAGGGCTACAGGAAATTCAGGACACTACCCTGGCAACTTGCCCCATACATCTGCAAACAGATGTGACTGTCCTGGGGATGGGCCAGATGCTGCTGTCATCCTGTTCCACCTGGAAGCCCTAGCTCTAAAATCTTAGCTTTGGTGTCTTGGTTAAACAGAATGGCTGTTTCTATTATGGTATTCACTGGGGAGGCCACACCCTTGTATACGAGGCCAGCTACTTCTGGTTGCTCTTGGGGGCATTACTGTCTGAATCTAACGTGTTGGTGGAATTCATGTATCAGTTGAGTTGAGTGGCTAATGAGCAGGAAAGGCAAGGAACCAGCCAGGACCCTGGAGCCATGAGAACCACTTTCTCTCGAGGCTCATAGGCTCGGGTGGGAGGGCCCAGAGGTGACCACTTCCACAGCATCTGGCCATGCACAGAGGCGGGATTATCTTCTGGTGTAGAGATGGGAGGAACCTGGCAGAGATCAATAGTGATTCACCATCCCCTCTGGCTATAAGTGATAGTTGTGGTCCTTGCTGGGCAACTCAGTGCCTCACAAGTGGTTGTGGGTGCTGAGACAGGTCAGGAATCTGAGAGTAGTCTCCAGCAGATGTAATGGAGACAAGGGTGAGCTTCATGCAATCCGTGACCTGTGTGCATGCTCTGTCCTCCTGTGCTCCCAGGTCCTCCAGACTCCATAGAAAAGCAGTGGGATTTGCATGACATAGGTCCAGCTCCTGACCTTGTTGCTTGCTAGGTCTGATACTGGGCGGGTGACTTCACCTCTCTGGGCTGGGGCTTTTCTGTGAGGGAGAGGGGGAGTACTACTTGGGCTGGGGTGTTTCCTCTGGCAATTTGTGTGTTTCCTCTGGCATAGGGGCAAGCCACACTGTGTGTGTTCTCTTATTGTCCTGACCTGTGGGAAAAGCAGAGCCCTCCCCTCACCCCAAGATGCCTCACTGGTCCCTGAACATAAGCCGCTTTTCTCCCCAGACGTGGAGAAAGCATGGGCCAAAGCATTCAGAAACAAACACGGTGTCTTTAATGTATATGTTTACCCAGCTCTGCCATAGATGCTGTTTCATTGACATGGGGTGCAAGCCTGTGGGTGTATTTATCCCATTTTGGAAATCAGATGCATCAAGCCCAGAGAGGTTCAGGAACGTAGCCAAGGCTACATAGTTAATCAGTGAGTCAGTTGTCCAGTTCTGGCAGGCCAAAAGTGTGTGTCCCCACTGTGTAGTGGGTAGCAGGTTGCTGAACCTGAGTTCCAGTACCCAGTTTGGTGGGACAGACCTGGGCACGGTGAGGCTGCTGCCTGGTATTGTCTGAGGATTAGACGCCCTGTTTACTGTGCTGTGCTGTGCTGTGGTGATGTCAACACTGTGTGATGACCTTTGTCATATAAACCACACCATGTCTGCTCAGAAAGGGAAAGATAAGAAGAAAGCCAAGTATGACAGCCTGCAGGAGTTGAAAAAGAATAAGAAGGAACTGGAGTTTGAGCAAAAGCTTTACAAAGAGAAAGAGGAAATGCTGGAGAAGGAAAAACAGCTAAAGATCAACCGGCTGGCCCAGGAGGTATGTGTCCCGTCCCTCGCGTAGGCCAGGCCAGCATCTGCAGAACACAATTGGGTTAGTCCCCACCGTGTTCCCAGAGGACTAGCTGGAACCCAGGGATGGGGTGAGCTGAGCCCTTCTTCCCACTCTAAACCAAAGAGTGAGATCATCTCACCTGTCCATGTTATGTGGGATTGGTTGCTGGCTCAGGTGCATGTTTGGGGTTGAGACTATCTTGTGTAGAGTGTGGATCTGAGGCTGGATCTGAGGCTAGTCCCTCTTGCCTTGATTGTAGGTCTCAGGTTATTCCTGGATATACCTGGTTAGGGACTTGAATCTGTTTCCTTCCCTCGCCCCTCTAAAACACAAGCCTAAGTCTAGGCCCCTCCACCATAGGTGTGGCTAAGAGACTGCACCCTCTAACCTCCACCCTCACCAATGAGTCTAAGGCTAACCCTCTGTCTCACTGTTGATCTGAAGTTAGCCTTCCACTCTCCTGTTGTATCTCCCCAGTCTGGCTTGGTGTGAGAGTACAGGTCTGAGGCCTACCCCTTTGTGCAGGTCAAGGGGCTGAAGCTAGTCACCAGTCAGACTAGCATCGGAGGGTGCGCCCAACAACACAGGATTTGTCTGAGGCCCGCTATCTCCAGGAATGGACAAAAGGCAATACCTTCGAGGAATGCCTAGGGCAGCCAGGCAGCTAGAGAATACCCCACATTCCGGAGGTGAGACGGATGATGCCAGGCACCATAATTCCCAACCCACTGTAGGCATTGGTATTGTTCCTGCTTCTCTCTGATGCTCCATGAATCAGAATGCCAAGTGGATTAGATTATAAAACCACAGAAACCCTGGAAAATGTGCAGTGCATTAGATCTGGCATTAGGAACAAATTAGCTGCCAAATTAAAAATGAAATGGAACTTGTGTTTCTGAGAAGAAGCTAGCCTGGAGGGATAAAAAAACAAGCTCTGTTCAACTCTTGGAATGTGCTGTTATCAGACAGCCCCAACAGCCTCCGGCTTTGTGGGGATCATGATGTCCAGCCAGTCCTGGGCTACACGTCAGCCCCTTCTTGTCTCAGTTACGTGTACTCCACCATCCACTTCAGTCTTCCGGGAGGCAGGTGGAATCACTGGGTCTTTCACTAGGCAGCCGATGTGCCCAAGCCTGCTCTGGGATTTTAGAGAAGTATTGACCACTCTGCTGTCCAGGTGTGACTCAAGTGTGCCATTTGCCCTGTCCTCTGTGCACCTGCCATGAGCCCAGGTGTCTGAGACAGAGCGGGAAGACCTGGAGGAATCAGAAAAGATTCAGCATTGGGTGGAGAGGCTCTGCCAGACGCGCCTTGAGCAGATTTCCTCCGCTGACAATGAGATCTCAGAGGTAACAGGGCCCTTCTCTACACCGGAACTCTCCAGCTGTTCCTACCACACTGGTCTGCCCTAGGCACAACAGGAAGCATGATAGCTATAGGCAAGCTCCACCAGCCAGCCCCACAGTGTCCAGTCTACTGTCCAGGGCCCACCCATACCAGCTCAGTACTTCCTCTATGAGGGAGGGAGATAAGAGTGTATTTCTGGGCTTATCTGTAGGATGACCATCATGTCCCAGCTGCCTTCAAATGGCCCCAGGTCCTGGGGGGATGCCCCATTTCATATGTGTGCCAGTGGAGGTGGAAAGGTGTGACTATTTCACTTACCACCTGCAGACAGCATAATGGGCCTTTCTTGCCTTTGGGCTTGGCTAGGTATCAGAAGCATATACAAGTGCTATCCATGGTCCTACTTTGTGGGGCCGGGCGGGGGGCGGGGGTGGTGTGCAATTCCCAGCAGAGTATTGTACTGACTGTATTGTGAATGGAATGTTAGCCAATGTGGACAGTTATGGAATTTCTTGCAATCCCTCTCCCCGACCCCAGATGACCACTGGGCCTCCGCCTCCCCCACCTTCTGTTTCTCCCCTTGCCCCGCCCCTGAGACGTTTTGCAGGTGGACTGCACCTACATACCACTGACCTGGATGACATCCCCTTGGACATGTTCTACTACCCTCCCAAGACGCCCTCGGCCTTGCCTGTCATGCCCCACCCTCCCCCTTCCAACCCACCCACCAAGGTCCCAGCACCCCCTGTTCTTCCCTCATCGGGCCATGTGAGCACCTCATCTTCTCCATGGGTGCAACGCACTCCACCACCCATTCCTATCCCTCCCCCACCATCCATTCCTACCCAAGACCTCACTCCTACCCGCCCACTGCCCTCGGCGCTGGAAGAGGCCCTGGGCAATCACCCCTTCCACACTGGTGACATGAGCAACCCCACAGAGGACTGGGAGGCCAAGAATCACAGCAGGAAGCCCATAAGCTCCCCCGTTCCTGAGCGGAGCTTCCCTCCCACCCCAAAGGTACTGGTACCATTCAGCATGCTGTGCTGTGAGGCAGGAAGAACAGGGGAGGGCTGATGATTCCTGGACCTCCACTGCACCTGTGAGTGGAGGCAGCAGGAAGCTTTGGCTCACCCTGTATTGTAGCATGTGTGGGCATCCTGCATGTGTACCCAGTCACTGTGGTGGTGCCGTACAGTGGTTTGCCTGGGGATGGTGGTTGGGACAAGCAGGCATGGATTCACTGCTCTCCTTTAGCTCCTCGTGACTAGAGTGGGTGGGTAACTTCCAGTGGAATTGTTGAGAAGCTATATTAATGAACAGCCAGCTCTTTGTCACTTATCCTAGAAAGCTCAAATATGAGAAATGATGTCTTTGTTTTGGATGGGAAAAGAGAGAGGGGAGCCAACCAGCGGCATTAGCTTCTGTGAATGAAGTAGTAACGCTTATCCCAGGCAGCGTGAGGCCATTACTGAGCCATTTTAATGGTGCTAGTCAACTCCATTGACTTAAAGTATAATCTAGAAATGTCTGGCCTACTTCCAGTTACAGAAAGGAAAAAATGAGCATGAGAAGCTCCTAGAAATCTCCAAATTTGCTTTGAAACGACAAGGAATGTTTTTCTTGGCGCTTGGGAAAGCTGAATGGCAAACTTTCTCAAAAAAGACATATTTCATACTGATTGTTCTTAATCCAAGGACTCTTTTGGAAGAGGCAATCCCTGAGGAAGACATGGAGCTTTGATCCCAAGGAAACATAAAATGTTCCTCTGCTCCCGCAGCTGTTGGGATCAGGCTTGAGTCAGAGTTGAAGCAGCTCATGTCCTCTGAGGGATGGGCTTTTTGGAGGAGGGGGCTAGTCAGTAGCACCTGGCCAAAGTTTTGCATTAATTTTCCCACCTGACTTTCTGCATTGAGGAATAGAATAAGCCTCTCCAAACATTCAGTAGAGTTTGAGGAAAGGAAAGCAGAGATGCCTGCATGGCTGCCCCCACCCTCAGCAGAGACCCTCAGAAGGACCCCTCTGAATCTCCAGTGGGGTTCTTGAGCCCTGTCACAGGGGTGTCTTTCTGGAGCCCAGCCATGTGCCAATGTACACAGGCCTGAGTTGGGCACAGAGGGCCACATCCTTCTTTGTAAATGTGGTGGCAACAAGCCCACCAACCCCGGCAGTAGCTAGTCCTCAGCACAACTGATTCTGCCATTACTGAGCACCTGTCCTGTGCCTTCTTGTTTGAGGGCAGGTTGGCAGGGGGACACTGCTGAAGAGAGGCAGGGAGAGGAGGTGACACATTTGTGCCTTTCAGGACTGCCATCTGAAGGTACAGTTTTAAAAGGGGGTCTACTAAGAGATTGGTTGAAGTTCTCTCTGCAGAGTGACAGGCCTGGGAGCCAAACCTTGAGCAACGATGATGCCAGCAGGACAGGAGGAAGGGCACTGCAGGTATAGAGAACATGAAGATGACACTGAGGAAAAGCAGAGAGTTAGCCTGCCTGCTTGTCAGTCCTGGCTCCACCACATGCTGCCTGATGACGTTGGGTGTGGGTTAATTTGTCTGAGCCTGGGCACTCTAGTACCTGGAAGGGGAGTGCTGATGGGAGAATACAGTGAAGTAACACATGGAGGAATCCTAAGTGAGCACTTGGAAGAATGGCAGGCACACCACAGGCGTTCCATAGATATTTACTATGGCCTTTGCCAGTCCAGAGTACAAGAAAATTTTGGTAGAGCTACAAGCATGGTATCAGAACGACCTTGACAAACTTTGGAGGCAGGGTCAAGAGACATGCTACAGGGCAGCTTTCTCTGATTCTTCAAGGAATCACAAAGTTCCTGCTGTAATTTCTGATCAGAACACAGGGAAGGCTCAAACTCCCTTCACACAGGGTTGTCAGGAAGTTGAGGTGGGAGGGAAGGAGGGGTGATGTTGAAAATAAAGGTGAAGAAGCTCATGAAATGCCTTGGAGGTGGGGCCAAGGAAATCAGTGGAGCCCCATGGAGGGGTTAGGGTGAGGTTGTGACCCAATCAGACACAGCTTGCTCAAGACACACAAAGGACTTAGAGCACACGGACAGCTATGTCAGCTCCCCAGAAGGCTGTAGCCTTGAAAGACTCTGTGCCCAGCCAGCAGTAGTAGTTAAATACCTCATGTTGCAGGGCCAGAAGAGAAAGCCTTTAGAGGAAGGGGTTGCTAGAGGGTATGGGTGGCCACCAAGCAAGACAGCCTTCCTTGCAAGTGTGTCCCCAGAGTGGCAGTGGGTACTGGTGTGCCCATGCCACACTGTGGCCCAAGGCAGGTTCCTTAGAGCCGCTCAGTTTTTGTGACTTCAGACCCCATGTTGATCTTCTGAGGTCTCTGCCTAGGACTTCAGGCGGGACAAAGGGATCTGGCAGGATCAGCATGTGCATGTGTGTCTTTGCAAGTGTGTACCGTGGTTGGCTGTGGCCACAACACCATCACCTCACGTGTGGGTCTCTCTTAAACTAACTCCCGTAGACATTTTGCCCAAGCCCACAGCCTCCACGAGGCCCTGGCGTGTCCACCATCTCCAAACCCGTCATGGTCCACCAGGAATCCAACTTTATCTACAGGCCAGCTGTGAAGTCTGAGGTTCTGGTAAGGTCCTGAAGGTCCCCTGCAAGCACCTCTGGAGGGAGCATGAATTGGTATGCAAGTTCAGATAAGATGCCATCTGGTCACGTTCTGGTTGGTTAAAGATGAGTTGACAGGGTTGCTGACATGACCCATGGGTGGAATGGTTGCCCCCACTTGGCCAAACAGTCTGGGGTGCTGTTTTATAGTGATGATAATTAATAATAGCAATAATAATAGCAGCTAAGACTTCCTAAGGGCCTGCCATATGCTTAGCTCTGCCTGGCCTCATGTAATCTTCACAGCAATAAACAAGATGCTTCCTGTTTTCCTCCCAAGGAGACTAAACACAGAGAGATTAAGATGGTTGCCCAAGGCAGAGCCTGAAGCCACTACTTATCCCCCAATTTTTTAGATCCCAAAGCCCACACTCTCTCTCATGGGGCCAACTTGCTAAAGCTAACAGATAGCTGGGTCCTGGGCCCATTTCAACCCCACATGGAGCATGGGCCAGAGAATATCCAGTGCCCTTCTCACCCATCAGTAGGGCTAGGGGTCCAAGGGTTGGTCCCAGGGCTTGGGGAGGCTCTGTCCACCCATGGTCACTGGTGTCTGAGGGGGATGAGACTCCTATGCAGCTTCCTCCTTTCACCACTTCCCACCAAGGTGCCTGCTTCTGCCTGAACTGCCCTCCTCCCCCACCCCCCACCAGACGTAAGGAGCTGGGCCAGAACCTTTGCCTCCCTCTCGTGGAAACCCTATCCAAATGTCTGGACAGATGGGTTCAGATCTTTATTTTGAGCTCTAGCTGTCCCGTTGGCTCCCAGAGGGTAAAGTTTACATTCCAGGGCCAGCCTCTGCCACCTCCTGGTTGCCTGACTGTGAGTGGTACCACTGCTGTGCCTGGGGGAGGGGGACATGACAGATGGCCCCCTAGCAAGTCAGAACTGCATCTGTCAGCTGAGGGAATTGACAGGGCTGGCATCAGGGGGCAGAGGAGACCCATTGGTGATGTGATTGGTGTGGCATTGTTTTCTTCCTGGCAGCCACAGGAGATGTTGAAGAGGATGGTGGTGTATCAGACGGCATTCAGACAAGTAAAACCACCCCCACCGTGTGCCCAAGATCCTCCCCATACCTCACCCCACCCCGCCCTCTCATTCAGCACCCAAGATCTGTCTGTTTGGGAGTGCTGGTTGGTTCCAGGCAGCCCCAAGAGCCATCTTCTGGGGAGCCTCAGGCCAGAGCTCTGTGTTCCCTGCCATGTTACCTACATCAGGCTCAGGGGTGGCATTTCATATCAGATGGAGATCCAGGACTGGGCAGGCCCTGAGTCCAAGGTGACCAAATGCTGCTTGCCCCTTTGGCTGGTTGGTTTGTTGATTAGGTCGGTAGAGGAACCCCTTGGGGCATCACAGCAGCTGAGTTGGAGCTTGGTTCCAGCCTGGAGAGAGAAAGAAGGGGCCACGTGTGGTGTCTGCCCACCTCTTTCTCTGTCCAGGAAGATCACAGTTTGTGTTCTCAGAAACCCTGACTGACACTGAAGTGACAGCTTCGGTCCTGCATCTGCCCAGAGCTCTCGTACTATGGACATGGGCCCTGAAGGGTATCAGGGAGGCACCTCTTCTCCCCACTCCCTGGATTGGCTGGCTGCTTCTCTGCCAAGAGATAGCCTGTGAGGTGGCCACCTTGCAGCCAGGCCTGGCTATTCTAGCCCCTTCCCTGGCAAGCCATCCTCAGATCCCTGGCTGATCCTCCTGTCAGCATGGCTTGGAGGGGATATGCCTACTGCACAGTGATACTCGGGCACCTGCAAGCCCAGGACTGGGGCGTGACACTGACAGCTCATCCTTGGGTGTGCCATGCCTGAGGAAGTTTCTTGTTTGATCTCATAGCAACCCTGGGGGCAACTGCTGTGCCCCACCCAGTCTAGAGAGGAAACACTGGGGTGGAGACTTGGGAGTGTATCAGTGATGGCCCAGCTAGTGTCAGACCTTGACCTTGAATCCAGGAGGCAGAGTCCTGTGGCATCTGTGCTTCTCAGTGTGTCACCCCTGCCTCTGCAAGTGCTCACAGAACAGGCCCCCAGGTTCCTGGGTGTTTAGGACTCATGCGGCATCACAGAGAGAGACACAACAGGGCCAGATGCCCTAGCCTCTGGGCTTGGAGTCAAGGCCCTGCTCTGGGTGCCGTGGAGATGAATACTGAGACCTTCAGGCCTCAGTTTCTCCATTTGTTTAGTGGGCAGTCAGGTTTCTTGTTTGAAGGCTTGTGAATCTCTGACCTAAATCTCACAAGATGCAAGCACCTACTGTTTCACCCAGCCCCAAGAGCAGGTTTTCAGGGGTCAGAGAGAGGAGTCTCCCAGCCTTCCAGAAGAAGCTCCAGAGCTAGGCAGACCCTCCCTGGGATGTGTGACCCCAGCACCCACAGGCCAGCCAGGATGTGACCTCAGAGCTGGGCTAGACTCAGTCCCTCTGTGGGACTGAGTCTGAAAATGACAGCTCACGAGCAGGGAAGCCAGCAGGAGCCCAGGCATCTGTGTGCTACACAGTTCCTCCTCCTGTGCCAGGCCTAGCCACAGTGTGCTGGGCTGAGGGACATCTGTGGCCACCTCGCAGCACCAGCCACACACCCCTTGGAGACACTTGGCATCGTGGATTGGGAAACCCATTGTGAGCTGAGGGTGGCTTCGCCTGGCCAGCGAGGCCAGTGCAAGGCTGACCCTGGGGGCTGTCCTTCATGCCTGCCTCCCACTGAGACTCCCGACAGCTGTGCTGCCAGCCTGGAGAGTGAATTGGTGTCACTTTGCTCCCCAAGCTCCAGCTCTGCCTGCCCTCTCATTTCCTTTCTCCTAAGCTGAGCACATGGTCCCCTGAGCAGCCAGTCAAGCATGGTCCCCCAAACTGTGTGTGGCCATGCCTTCTTCCCAGGCCAAAGGGCCAACCTGGGCTCTTTAGCAGCTGGGCAGATTGGGGCTCTCTCCTTCCAAGTGTGGCAGAGACATTCCATTGAGAACAGCCAGCAGTGTCCCCACACCTCTGTCGCCTCTGTGCCTGATGTTGTGGCCCCTTTCCCTGGGGCTGAGTGTCCCAAAAGGCAGCCTTCCTTAGTGGGACAGGCCCTCCTCTAGGGGAGCATGGGACACAGGAGCCTCACACCCACAGGCTGCATGGCCTGACCTCAAGTCTCAGAAGGCAGGAGGCAAGGGATAAGGCTTTTGGTAGGGCAGGACCTATCTAGCCAGGCCATGCAGGGGCTGCCAGTGTCCATGCAACCATAGATGCCCACCTGCTAGGACAGTGTAGGGCTATGGTCCCCACATGCCACCTGCAGCTTCCTGCTTATCTCTAATTCTGGGGGTTCTGGCTATTGGGGCTGCCAGCTTCCTCCCTGCACCCCAGCCCACCCTTGCTTCTGACTCTTGGTTTCAGACCCCTAACCCCACTCCCTCTCTACCCTGAGCTTGCGTCCATAGTGACTCCTGGGGGCATCTGCTCTGTCACCCCTAAATCCCTCCCTTTGCTCCCAGGACTTCCGGAAATATGAAGAAGGCTTTGACCCCTATACTATGGTAAGAGACAAAAGTTCTCCCTCATGGGAAGACACCCCTACCCCACATGCACCAGGAATAGAGGAAGAATTGCAGCATGGGATGGTGGAGGTGCCTAATGGGTCGTGAGATCTCTGGGGACAAAGTGGGGTGCTGGAAGCACCTGAGATGCCTCGGTTGCTCTCTCCTGGGAGGGCCCCTTTCCAGTGGCTTTCCAGCATCGTGTGTGTGTGTGTGTGTGTGTGTGTGTGTGTGTGTGTGTGTGTGTGTGGTCCCTAAGGATCCTGGGATCCCTGGTTGATGACCACTTGTGGTGGGTCCAGGAAAGTCCCCTGTCTATGTGCTCCATGGGACCCAGAGCTTCACTGCCCTGCCCCATCCTCTGGCCCATCAAGACCCCAACTGTTCTATTCCCTCTAGTTCAGCCGAGAGCAAATCATGGGAAAAGACGTCAGGCTTCTGCGCATTAAGAAGGTACAGGGTGGGGGTGGGGGGAGCCACCACTCTCTGTGCCCCCTCCCCCCTGCTTGGGTTTCCTGGGTGACTTCACGACCCTGCTCTCTCCCTGGCCTTTCCTGGGCATGCACCTGCCTTGGGACAGACAGCATCTGACTGACTGCTGAGGTCTGCTTTGCTCCAACTAGGAAGGTGCCCTGGACCTGGCCTTGGAAGGCGGTGTGGATTCGCCAGTTGGGAAGGTGGTCGTCTCAGCTGTGTATGAGGGAGGAGCAGCAGAACGACATGGTGAGTAGGGTCCAACCCCTGCAGAGGAGAGGGCGTGATGGCTTCGCAAGGTCTCTACCTGCCCTTTCCAGCTTGGAGTGGAACTCTGGTTCTAGCCAGCCATATCTCCCAGCTCAGATCAGTGCCCTGCCCTCCCAGGTAGAAAGATGCTCAGCATAGACATGTTGCCTGCCAAGTAGCAGGCAACCGTGCATGCTACTTGGAGGTTGGCTGGCGGGGGTGGGGCGGTGCCCTGGGGAGGCCTTCACCCAGCAAAATGCCTGGAAGACCCCCTGTCAGAGCAGGGCCCCTGTCAGAGCAGGGCCTGCACTGGAAAAAGACCCAGTGACAGGCTTGGGAAGTGGCAAGTGCTTTCTGGGGAGGGGGAAGAGCACAGAGAAAGGCAGGAGAGAAACCTGCTCAGGTCAGCTGTCCTTGCAGCAGAAAGATGTGGACCTGGCTGCGAATGATATTTTGTACTTACTTCTGAGATGAGAGAGAGATCTTCTATCCACTATTCACTCCAAATACCCACAATGCCCATGGGGTTGGGCAGGCCAAAACAGGCAGCCGGGTGCACATCAGGTCTGCACATAAAGAGGAACACCAAGCAGACAACGGGCAGATATTAGGAAGCTGGATCAGAAGCAGAACTCAGGGGCCCTGATAGAGAAGCAGGTGACACAAGCAGTACTGCTGACCCAAATGCCCATCTACTCGGTGTCTGTCACACAAGCCCTAAGGTGGACAGGTCATTGATCAATCTGCCTACATCAGGTCCACAGGACGTGCTTTCACTATGCTTCTAGAACTAAGGACAGGAGGGTTTACGGACACATGGCACAGTTGGTGGGAGGAAGACTGTATCAGGCATTGTCATTTTGCTTCTCCTGTACAAGTGGATTGCAGGGTCTCCAAGTTTTAGGGCCCCTAACCCCTCTGTTCCTGAAGTGGTCTTGTTTTCACTGCTATCACAGTATACTTGTGATGGTTACTACATTATGGACACAGTCTCGCAGAAGGTACTGCCATCATCACAGGCAGTGTTGGAAATGTCACCCTGAACAACTGCTTCTGCCAAGAGGGCTCTGCAGCTTTATGGAGGCGACGCCCTTAGAGGATGTCCTGTAAACTTAACCTTTCTTCAGCCAGAGTGGGATTACAAATCGGATCCATTGAAGAGTTCTGGGCTGGAGTCTGGTATGAACTACAGAAAGCCAGTGGTAGAAAACCAGGACTAAACCAGGAAAACCACCCAGGAGCCAGCAGCCAGGCCTCTGTGGGTGGTGAATAAGGGACATTGTGGGTCCCAGAAGTCCTGGGTGCAGCCCAGCTCTGCCAGCCTCCATGAGAGCTCTTTGTCACAGTCTGAGCCTTCTTTAGTGTGGTCAAGACCCTGCTGCCTCCACCACCCTACTTCTTGTCTATTTGTGTCCTAGAAGTTTAGTTGGGGAGGTCTGCCTGTTGGCATGTCATGGGAGCAAGGAAGGGAGGGTGGATGGATTCTTCGATCTTTACACCATTGTTAAAACCCAGCAAGAAAGAATGATCTTTACAAGAGGATCCACATAGATGAACAAATGTTGGGTGTAGAACTTGTGGGATATACAGATGGATTTCCAGGCTCCTGGCTTTGGCCCGGGCCAACCTCAACCATGTGGCTATTTGGAGAATTAACCATTAGATGGAAAATTTCTCTCTCTCTCTCTCTATTCTTTTTTGCCGTCAAATACATAATAGGTCTTTAAGAAGAAGAAGGAAAAAAACTAGTCATGCTCAAGGCTCTGAAAAGTTCTACAGGGAGTAACTGTTTAGCTTATAACTTGGCTTTTCCCTAAATGGTCAGATCACAGGACAGCTTGCTTATCCAGAAATACCTTTTAATGCCATTCATCTTATCCCCAAAATGCCCATGAATGTCCTATTTTGTGCTAGAAAGTGTGACATGGAATCAGAAGAGCAAGCATGTCCCCATGGAGTCAAGCATGTAATGGGAGAGAGACCCTCAGTGAACAAGTCAGTAGGCAGATGCATGGCTGCATATTGAAAATTCATGTCCCTGCACCTGTGTGCATTGCACTCTTGTGCTCTGTGAGACTCACAGTCACTCTCAGCACCCAGGATAGGGCCTCCTCTGTGGCCCCACAGTAACCTTCTTTATGCCATACCCCAGGTCGGGCATGCGTCCCATCCAACCCTGGTGACCCATCAGTTGTGTCGTCCTGCAGGTGGTATTGTGAAAGGGGATGAGATCATGGCCATCAACGGCAAGATAGTGACGGACTACACTCTGGCTGAGGCTGAAGCCACGCTGCAGAAGGCTTGGAACCAGGGCGGGGTGAGAAGCAGCTCCTTCCCTTCACCCTCCCCCCATCTCCTACCTGCCTCCAACCCTGGCCTCAGCAGCCAGGCCTGACACACGGAGCCCCCATCCTATGGTGGGCATCCAACGTGCAGGCAACTCTCACAAGTGCCCCATCTGGCTGATGGTCTAAATCTTACAAGATGGGATTCAGAAAAAGAGAAGCCAATTTATGACCCTGAGTCTGAGAAGTCAGCAGGACAAACACTGGCTTGTGGCAGCCCATCTGAGAAACACAGAATGTCTTCTCTAAGTGCACCTTAATTGAGGAATTAAGAGTGTGTTTGGAGCTACTAGGAAGCATTGATGGAAGTGGAGAGCCCAGGGTTGAAGGATGGCCTGGCAGGTGTCTGCTCTGAGCTCCTGAGACACCTGCCTGGGTCAGGGCCACTACCCTAGGGCTCCATGCTTTGTACTGGAGTCCTATGCACTGTATGGGAATGGTGCCCACTCATGTTGTGCAATGCACAACCTATGCAACTGTGTGCAGGCAGCCGAGCCTGGGGTATTAAATTCAGTGCCAAGGAAGCTGACCAGATGGGCCTGGGACCCACATGACAGGATGTGGAGAAGAGAAGACTTACGGGTAACATGATGACTGCTTGATGATCTGAAGGGCTGCATTAGGGCAGGGGGAGCAGAAGTTTTCTGTAATTCTTAAAGGCAATGCTGCATTGGATGGAGGGAGGTGTGGGGAGAGAGAGACCACAGCTTACTATTAGGAACCAGTGCTTGGCAGAAGGGGCCCTGTGACACCCCAGAGACTTCTCAGGGGAAGCACCCACACCAAGGGTGGATCATGATTCCACTTGGTGGGAGGGGAGTGTCAAGTGTTAGGATCAGAAAGCTAGGCTGGAAGTCCTCCAGTTGGCTGTACATGAAACTTCTTGAGGGGAGCTGGTTAAACATACTGTTTGCCAGGACCCACCCTAGTTTTACAAGAGCCTTATCTGTGAGTCTATTCTTTAAGAAATTCTCCCAAGTGATTCTGAGCCTGTTGTCTAGCCTGATCCACAGAGCAGGGTTTGGGATCTTAGTGTTCATCATTCAAGAGCCTTGCAAGTCTGCTCTGTGCAGCAGCAAAGCCTCAGACACCAGAAATTTCCCTAGGCCACGGGACATCCTTCAGTCTCTGGAAGGTCTTCCTGATTAACTGCATGGATGACTGTGAGACCCATCCTAGCTCCCTGTCCCCAGAGCCTCCCCAAGGCCACTTCCCCAGGGCACCCAGGAAGGGGAATGGGTACTCAGAGTCGCATGGCTTTCCACCTACAGGACTGGATCGACCTGGTCATTGCCGTCTGTCCCCCCAAGGAGTATGACGATGAGCTGTAAGTGGTTGTGGGTCCCTGGCCTACTTCTTGCCCTTTTCCACTGAAATATGGCCATCTTCCTCTGCCATCCCCAGCGCATAGCTGCTTCAGATCAAAGTTCCCTGGAAACTTCCAAAACCAAGTGCCTGTCCCCAGGCATTGTCAACGCTGCTGCAAAGCTGTCTGGTCCGAGATCATCTTTACACGTAGGAACCTGGGTCTCAAGTTCCAAAGCACATTATCAAATTAAGATCTTTTGTTTGTGTGTGTGTGTGTGTGTGTTAGAAGATTTAGTTATTTATTTGAAAAGTAGAGTTACAGAGAGAGGAATCTTTCATCCACTGGTTTATTTCCCAAATGACCACAATGACCAGAGCTGAGTTAGTTTGAAGTCAGGAGCCAAGAGCTTCTTCCCAGTCTCCCATGTGGGTACAAGGGACACAAGCACTTGGGCCATCCTCCAATTCTTTCCCAGATATATCAGCAGGGACCTGAGCTGGAAGTAGAACAGCCAGAACTCAAAGAGCCACCCACATGGGATGCCAGCATTGCAGGCAGTGGCTTTACCTGCTATGCCACAATACCAGCTCCAACCCAGTTTTTGATGTCCCACTCAAAACTCTATTCCTGGCTCTGCTATCAGATAGTTTAAAGCTTTCCTTATTCATCCTTCACTCTCTGGAAGGTCTTCCTGATTAACTGCATGGATGATGGTGGGTCCCTACACAGCCAAAACTACTAGCTCTATCCCCACCTGATGGGCTCTCTGGGGATGTGGTGCCATATGCCTTCCCCTGTCATTCCCTGGGTGTCTGTCTTTACTTTGTCCCATGTCTGCCCTGACCCCTCACCCCCACCACCACTCACACAGCTCAGAGAAGCTGGCTTCCCTGCATGCTTTGCAGAAGTGAGGACAGGTAGCTTTTGAGCCTGCAGTCCCAGGGCCTGGGCAGCAGCAAGTGAAGGGAAAGGGGCAGGGGAGCCCTGCCTGGAGTAACAGCACCTGTTTTGTTTCCTGTTGTGTCCTGCGTATCTAGCGCTTCCCTTCCCTCCTCCGCAGCTGAAAGCCCCCAGCCGGTCCGAAAGCTCCTCGAAGACCAGGCTCCCGTGTACAGACACGGGTTCCTCCTACAGCTGGAGCCCACGGTGAATAGGCAGGCAGGCAGGCCACAGGGCCTGGCTGGCCATGCTGTGTGCTGTGGCCATCTGCTGTCCATGCTGCCGGCAGGTTCTTTGGACTGGCATCTGGATGGGCACATGTGCTGCCTAAGGCCACACTGGCTCATAGAGACGCTGCATCCGTGACATGGGTCAGTCAGGTACTCTGGCCCCAGGGACCCACATGGTGCCCAATGGAGCTCGGCATTGTTCCCTGGCAGGCACAGTCAAGGCTTCAAACCAAGCATGCTGGGTTAAATGTGCCCATAGGAAAGCCAGCCTGAGCTTCGCCCAACCCAAGACCTGCCTCAGCAACATGTGCCACCCCTTTCTGTGTGTGCCAGCGTGCTTCACCTGGCTCCATGCTGGGACAGAGCCAGGTCTCTAAAGAGACTTCTCCAGCTGGTCCAAAGAATCTGGATTAGTGAGGAAGAGGGTTCGTGTCCTGCTGTAGCCTGGCCTGGGCTGGGTGCTGTTTGGGCCAAGCCTTCTTCTGTGCCTTCTGGCCTCCTGGGCTCCAGGTTCTGTGGGACATGCCATGGTGCCTGGCTCTGGCATGTGCTTCCCTCCCAGTGGCAGGTGGCTGTGAAGCTAAAACTTGATGTGGGCCGAAGCCCACAGCCGGCAGCATCTGCGGCAGACCGAAGCCCGGACCTGTCAGCTTTTCTATGACAAGGTCCTCAAAACATTAGGGCCCCATGCTCCCAAGATAGTCTGGCTGCTGCACAGTAGCTCCTGGGAGCCTAAGTGGTCCTATGTTTTCTGTCGCTTGCTTTTTGCCAAGGACCCCCCATTCCTCTTCCTACCCATCCCCCCTACCCATCCCAGTGCCCCTCTGCTTCCTCCTGGGCCTCCTATGTGTTATGGCAGTGAGTGATGTGTAACCATTGGGGCCTGCACCAAGAGGGGCCTCCAGGGGTTAGCAGGGTCTCATGCCAGCAGGGCAGGGGCCCCCGATGTGGGGTCCGGCCATGGGCTGAGTGTGCTCTCACAGGGCCTGTGCCTGCTACACCTGATGCACCTCCTTCCTCTTGCCCACAGGACTTTTTTCTGAAGCCTGGAAGAAGAGACCAAATCCACCCCTAGAAGATGGTGAGTCTGAGACTCACCTGCCTGACACAAAACCTATGCCCACTTGGAGGAGGAAGATCACCTGAAGGCACCCAGAAGAGGCCTGGGAGAACTCACAGCCAGCATCCAGAAACGTTGACTGGTTCGCCCTATGAACATGACCTTTCTCTGTCCTAATGGGCTCCTCCCTCAAGCCTTACTAAGACCCAGCTCCTGAGTCTCCCTGTTCTCTCTCCTCTTAGCCCTGCTGTGATGCTGCCAGGGCAGCTGCTGCAAAACTTCCTCCAAGTTCATTAATAAATAGATTTCTTTTCCACCCTATGAGAGTGAGTATGGCTTGGGCCAGCAGATTCGGGGCTTGTAAACAAAAGGCCGTAGGATTTGGTTCCTCTTCAGGGGATAAGATACAAATCCCAGTGCTGCCATCCGGGCCAGACTTGAAGGTCATGCTCAGGTGGCTGGTCTGGTTGAGGGCAGAAGCCAAGGCAGCTGGACACGGGCCCTGGGCTGGGCTGGGCTGGGCTGGGCTGGGCTGGGCTGGGCCTCAGTGCCTTCTCTGTAGTCAGATGAGAGGAAATGAGGCCCCTGTGCTCAACTCTAGAAGGCATAGCTGAAGGCAGGAGCCCCAAAGGGACTCCTCCAGGTGGGTGCCCTGGCTTCTCCCAGACAGAGAATGGCCACATCTCTTCTCCTGAGGTCAAGAAGACAAGAAGTGTGGGGGAGGTGCAGGAGCCGACCTCTTTGAAATTACAGCAGCAGAGGAAGGGCAAAGGGCATGAGGTGGGAGTGCAGCCCCAGCAGCCCAGTAGGGAAGCCAAGGCCCTCTGGGTACAGGGGCTGGTGGAGTTGTGCCAATAGAAGCATCTTGTGGAAATTAAGATGAGGAGCCCTGGTGTACTGGGCCCTGCGAATCAGAAATCAGGTGGTTCTGACTTTAGATTGTTGGAGGAGCAGCCCTTTCTGTCCCTTGTTGTGTGACCACTAGGCATCCTATCTGCCACCAGCTTTCTGTGCCCCTGAGAGCTCAGCTTGAACATGACCATCTCAGTCACCTGCACGTGACCTTTATGTTGTAGCCCCATCACCACCTGCCTCTATCTCCACTTTCCAATTCCAAATTCCCAACGTAGAATCTAATTGGGTCAGATCACCTGAGCCGCTGGGTCTTAGGGTAGGGACCAATCCCAGGTCCAATCAGCTGTGTCTGGATTGTAGGGGTGCAGGGCAGGGGTTGAAGGGTGGGGCACACCCCACCAAATGCAACTGCAGACTCAGCAAGGGCTGAAGACAGCAGGTCATGGTCAACACCCCTACTAAAGGTTTGCTACAATAGGCCACCTCCTCACCATTCTGCATGCAAAATGAAAATGACTGAGGTCCCCTTGTGCCAGAGGCACCACAGGGAAACACGTTCATGAGGTGAGCACTGCCAGGAGTCCTTCAAGCACTCATAGGCCCAGCTGTAAGTTCAGCCAAGGCTCCCATCCCATCTCATAGAGCATGCTTCCCCAGCCAGGACCCTGAGGACTCAGCAATAAATTAGCTTCCTCTGATGTGAGGCCAAGTCACTCTTCATTGTTCTCAGGAAAGTCGTCTCCCACATTGGACCCAAAGCACAACTATCCAACAGATGAGTTGGCAAAGGTAGGAAAGACCTCATGGGCCATCCATGCAGCCGCATCATCCCTGACTTCCACATCACAGAGGTGGGAGGCTCCAAGCTGCCTGCCCTATAGCCCTTGGGAAGCTCAATCTCGTCCTGATCCAGGCTAGTTCCCAAGTTGGGGTGGGGGGCTGCAGCAGCATCTGAGAGCTCTATTCTCTCATGTGCCCATAGGGACAGTTCTAAGCCCCCTCGGGCCCAGGCTGGCCAGGCCTCTATGAGAATACATGGAGGCAGGCAGGTGGGGCCAAGGGCCATGGTCACTCATCTGAAAGGTTGAGTCTGATGGATGGCCTCATCAAGAATAAGACTGCTGGGCCCAGTGTGATAGCCTAGTGACTAAATCCTTGCCTTACATGTGCCGGGATCACATGGGGGGCGGGGGGAGGCGCTGATTCATATCCCAGCTGCTTCACTTCCCATCCAGTTCCCTACTTGTGGCATGGGAAAGCAGCAGAGGATAGCCCAAATCCTTGGGACCCTGCACCTGAATGGGAGACCTGAAAGAAGCTCCTGGCTTCTAGCTTCATATCAGTTCAGCCCCAGACATTGCAGCCACTTGGGGAGTGAACCAGTGGATGGAAGATCTCTCTCTATCTGCTTCTCTCTGAAAATCTGCTTTTTCAATAAACATAATTAGATCTTTAAAAAAGAAAAGAACAAAACTGCCACTAATTATTGATTTTTTTCTGACTCTCAAGGGTTCCACTTAGGATTTCTCAATCTTTAAATCATGCAAAAGCAGTGCACATCGGTAGAAACTATACTTTGAGTCATGAATTTTGAGCTGTTCCCAGGTTAGCAATAAGCAGTCTGACACTCTCTTGAGACAGTGGGTGGTGGCCAAAACTCGCTCCATGGTCACGAGGGGACACAGCTCACACTCCACAGCAAGCTGTGTCATTAAGCAAGGCTGTTTGAGACATTACATGCATTCAATGCATTTCTGAGTAATGGGCAAACTTACAATGGGTTTAATCTCGATGCAAGCCTGTTGAAAACCTTGGAGCCTCTGCACTGGCTGTTCACTGTGTGAAGCACCAGGCTGAAACCCAACCCACAGTAACTCAATCATTCCCCACACCTCGAAAGGAGTCTGAGAGGAGGATACTTGCCTGGGTTCACCCAGCTAGTGGGTGGCAGAGCTGGGATGCAGCCAGGTAGCATAGTTCTAAGACCCAGAGTTCCACATCACTCCAAGCAGAGAAGTGAGCCAAGCTCCAGGAGGGCTCACATGCTGTTCCTGAGATGGACCCATTGGGGTGCATGTGATTGAATCACAGCTCAAAGAGGGCCAGGTCAGTGAAAAATTCAGGCTTGGTGGGCTCCAGGTGCTAAAACCAGTGCCATAAGGGATGCATTTTTTAATGATTTATTTATTTATTTTTATTGCAAAGTCAGATATACAGAGAGGAGGAGAGACAGAGAGAAATATCTTCCGTTCAATGATTCACTCCCCAAGTGACCACAATGGCCAATGCTGCGCCAATCCGAAGCCAGGAGCCCGGAGCTTCCTCCAGGTCTCCCATGCAGGTGCAGGGTCACAAGGCTTGGGTTGTACTTGACTATTTTCCCAGGCCACAAGCAGGGATCTGGATGGGAAGCAGGGCTGCCAGGATTAGAACCAGAATCCATATGGGATTCCTATGCATTCAAGGTGAGAACTTTAGCCAGTAGGCCACTGCGCTAGGCCCAGGAATGCATTCTAATGGCCATCTGTGTTAGTCAATTTCCCCCAGGGACATAAGAGCAATTGTGCCTATGAGCAGGTGCATTTAAAAATCCATGGCAATAATGATGTTAAGTAATTGTATTCTACTTTTTCACTGATTGGAATTATTGGGATATATTTTCTTTGAATTTTAACTGGAAGACAGAGACAGACAGAAAGCTCTATCCACTGATTTACTTCCCAAATGCCCACAATAGCCATTGCAAAAGCATTCTGAAATTCATGCAATTTTTCATTTTCGTGAACTTTTTATAGTTTCTCATTTGTATGAATTTCACTTTTTAAAGATTTACTCTGAAACACAAGAGAGAGAGAGAATCTTCTTTTATCTTGCTCAATCCACACAGAGCGACAACAAATGGAGCTAGGCCAGGCTGAAGCCAGGAGCCCAGAACTCCATTCTAGTCTCCCATATGAGTGACAGGGGCCCAGGTACTTGA